TGTTCTGCTCCGCATGAACCGATATACCGCAGGTGATGGCGCCACCACCAGGTCAGAAGTATACATTCTTTATATTTCAAAACTAGCATAATAATGAAAGGTCCAAAGGTGGACCAAATGCCACAAAAAAACCAACACCAACAAATGTCTTTCTTTAACGAGCGCTGGAACTGTTTGCAAGTCTGGATCGTTACCGTATGTATAGTTTCTGACGCATAATATTCAGCTGCAGTTAAAGTTTATTACAACCATCTGGCTGTGCAACAGAGATGCAATGGAAGACAATTCTCACACAAATAAATCATATTTGACTAATGTATGTTCAGTGAATGAGGAAGGTCATGAAGTACTGTGCGCCTATGAACACACACAAGTGTGTAGTTAATCCTATTCTGTACCTGCCAGAGGATAAGCCGGTGGACACTGGTGATAATAGCCAGATGATCCTCTGGGCTCTGCACTACTTTCATCAAATCCAGTGTTTCCCAGTTGTGTGTGCGTGTGTGTGTGTGTGTGTGTGTGTGTGTGTGTGTTTGTCTTTGCTTTTGAATGAACAACATTGTACTTTATCGACAGCTCTGTGCAATCAATAGACAATGCGATGCACACTGAAAAGCTACACTCCCCCATCAGGCGTATTTACAGATAAAGTGCAGATTGGTGGTGTTCAGATAAAAGGCTTTCATGGAGGAGGAACATCACTGGGGAACCTTTGTTTGATTGGCCGTGCCCCGGCGGAGAGGGCGTGGTTCTCCTTTAACCACGATGTTGGCGTTGCGATTGGCGGCTCCCCGGGGGCTTTGCAGCAGCCCGGTCCTCCTGACAGAGCTAAGCATGGGTTTAATGCAGAAGTCAAATGTTATCTAGATGCCTCTATGTAAAGTATACTTATGACCTTATTATTTACATTATTTAAATATATTATGTTATAATCTGAACCCGGTTATATCTCCAAATATTTTATTCAGGCTAATTGTTTTCATATTAGTAGGCATTAGAGACACACAGAGGAACAGCTTTTCTTATTCAGTGAGTCATTACAAGGAAATCCCAATATTGGTGACCTTAATTTAAACTTAAAGCAGAATAAAGCTCCAGGGGTGTACGAGTCACAACACAATGCTCATTGTGCAGTAACTCATTGCAGCGCACTGGAGCAGCAACAGAGGGAGAGAAACACACACACACACACACACACACACACACACACACACAATACCTTCAAAGCCTATTCTTGCAGAGGACGAGAGTTCACTTCTAGTTCACAAAAAAGCGATCCTGAAGAGGCATATCTCTTTTTCTCCTTTTACCCTTCCACAACATCCACAACAACACCCGAATGAAAACAAGGGGCTTGTTTTCTTTCATTGCAGGCACATTCCTCTCTAAGCTTAGCCTCCCTCTCTGTGACTCACACACACACACACACACACACACACACACACACACACACACATGTTCACGCAGCTGTTAAAGGAGGAAAAGCACAGCAGCTTGGTTAAGTTTCCCACACCTAGAGAGGCCATCGGGGCGCTGGGACTTCCCACAAAGGAAACCCCGGCTGTACATACTGTACGTTCAGGGGCCTCGTGAAGATACCATCAATATCCTGGAATGCTCACTTTCATGTCACACATTGTTCCCTTGCTTTCCTTCTTTCTCTATACATAGAAAAGCACATACATGAACCCACTCAAATGGCCTTCTGTGGTCAGATATTACCGTGCCGTTGTCTAAAGTCATTCCAATAAAAACCCATGTTGGCAATCACACCGTATACTTTGGAGACTTCTGAGCAGGCAGCATATCTTATAGCCGCGGCCTTCTGCTTTGGTCGTGAAATTGATTCTGAAAAGATTCTGTTTTAGTCTGAACAAGACATCTCAGCGTTTCAAGCCTGCGGACGTCAGAGCAGTGAAGAGTGAAGGATAAAAGCAAGGTCATCCGCCACAATTCACATCATATCAGCACTGCAGGACAGCAGACTTCAACCTAGCTGGATTTGAATATGAAAATGAAAGAGCATTATTTGATTCCTCTTCACAGCCTCAGATTAAATCATCTACGGCTGAGGAGAAAAATCTATAGATTTATGTAAACAAAGCATTCAAGGCATTATATTCTAACTTGACTTAATATCATAATAACTAACCAGGCATTACAAAGGATAGTATAGTATATAACACATTCTGTATGTTGTGTCTCTCTGACATGCATAAGCATCCCCACGCTGAGCCATTTTGAGTGTTTCAATCCCTCAAGTTTCCTGTTTTATTTTGACAGTCTCATTAAGGAACCCTTCACTTCCTGTCTTTGTGACTGAACATGTCTGATTTAAATCAGAGTTGTCCTTTGTATCCCAATTGAATTTATAAAGTTAGTTTGATAAGCATCACAGGGAGGCTAATCAGGTATATCAGTTCCCGCCACAGTTAAATTCAACAAAGCCGAGCTTACTGGTAAAATCTGCTCAAGCTCAAAAATAAAATATAGTAAGTCTCACGATACATAAATAGAGGCTGATCGATTCGGCCAACAGGATTTAAAGTATTTACGTTATGTTTGACTGTTGATTTATTAAATCAGAGTTATAGCGAATGAAACATGACGTTGAATTCAGCGGCTGGACGAGATGAAAACCAACCTTCTAAGATCAAGAATCCAGAGTAAAAGCGCAGCACAAACGCAATTGGACTTAATTTGCTTTTATAAATCAATGTACTGTACTTCGAACATTTCCACTGGCAGCACGCTGACTCTGTAAATCCATTTCATCATTTCAGGGCGAATTGTCTCTTTTCCCCCGCGGACACATTTGTGGTAAAGGTCAAAGAAGGAGGTTGTACTTTTGTAATGACAAAAGATAGGATGGGCGGTCGCACAAGTTAAGCGGTGTTCAGTATTGATCTTTGCGTGCAGCAGTGTGTTACTGAACTAGATAACACGGAACAAGGAGCTCCTCCATCACTGGAGTGGAATGTGACGGCATTGGACTACTTCTAATGTGGGACACTGAATTCAGATGTCTGTAGGTAATATCAAAAACAATTAAAGATCCAGCCAAGATGTTCATCATATTACACTATGATTAATATTATAGTGTTTGAAGAACCGAAGCCACGTGGATACCAGCCTGCTTTTGTCATAATTAGCCTCAGATGCAGCTACATTAATCCACAGTGTTAGCAAGCAGGTGATATTATAATAGTTGTTGCTTGAGGCGTGATGCGAGATGCACAGGCATTTCCACTGAGGATTATGGGGCGATAATGGCGATGCCCGCCAGCTCAGCGTTATGGGCCGGACACGGGGAGCGGAGTGATAATGATGAAGTTGATGACCTGCCGTTACTGCGACTTTTTAGTGAGACATTTCAGTCCAAGCTGCTTTGCATCAACGTGATGTTTCTTTGTTATCTGGTGAGCTTCCCATCAGTTCTCATCAGAACGGTGCTCCGGGCGTAGAAATAGAATAGATCGGAATCCACGCAGCAGGATGGGCATGCAGGGCGGGACGTGAAATGTAGAAATCTAACTGGCGTGTCGGTTGGCTGTTTTCGCCACGTTTTAATGCCAAACCGGTTACAGGAAATGGACCGAGCATCAGGTGCTCGGCGGCAGCGCCGGGTCCAACAGTCCGTGCGCCTCGACGTTGCTAACCGTGGTCACCCATCCGCCTCCGGAGCGGCCTCCCGGCCCCCGCTAACCCACACGGCCCAAAAACAAACATAAAATTCCCATTTTCTTTTGCACTGGTCCACTGACCACAGGGACCGGTTCAATGTCTGTTCTATTTCTGTGGCTCAGAGCTCAGTGGTTTATTGTACGTTCTCCTTCGCTGGATACCGTTGGCCTTCAAAGTGCAGGTTTCTGGCTCCGGGGCTCCACACAAATATCTGAGGGAAGAAATCCACATGAAAAATCTTTTTTACAAGAGTTTTGGATCCCAACTAACCGAACAGATGAGGACCCTCGTCTTTTTGTGCTGAACATGGGACACTGTTTTCTTCCTGTGCACTCCTCGTAGAGCCTTCTCCCAAATCTGTGTGTGAGATGTTTGTGCGGCTGACAGTTGTTGTTGTAGTAGTTGTTGCCCCAACTGGTGAGACTGTGTTCAGGACAATGAAGGGTCAAATTTAAGTTCCTTGAAAGGACTCGACGCCTACACCTCATGTCACGCTGATTTCACACCTTAGATGCAGAGTTCTAGTCGTGTCATCAAGATTTTAGTTTGGAAGAAAGCGCATTGAGCCGCCAGCTGGACTAAGAAGCGTGACATTTACAGAAAGGTGTCATTGTTTACACACTCAGTTTCAGGGACCATTTGAGTTTTTTTCTCAACACGTGTTTGTGTGTGTGTTAGTTTAGTGAAAGGTCGAGTAAACGTCAATCATCTTGAGTTGAAATAATATCTGTCAAATCCCCATCGCGGTTTCCCCGACCACAATGAGCAAAGTGACATCAGACCGCCGCATCCTTGTAGTGCGCACGTCACTCGCTCCGTCTCAGCACCTCAGTAGATCAGTTGTCCAAAGAGTCAAAGCGTCGGTCAAAGTCAGGGCAAGGGGGGCGACTTCCTGAGCGGCGATCGGGTTGCGTCACGCGCGCCGAGCAAGAGGCCAACAAAGAGCCACTGAGTGCCGGGCTCAACTTTCCCAGCGAGAGCTACGAGACAGTCCTGGTTCCATCCGTAACAGCTCTGTGATGTCAGACGAGTTTAAAAGCAAGACATGTGGGGACGTCCTCCCCCTTCTGCTCCGGGGTCTTGGCCTTTTTCCAACTCCGCCACGTCTCCTTCGCCTCCCTGCGTTTGTCACTCCTCCTTTGAGGGTCACTGATTCGGTCTGTCACCACACCACCTCCTTCTCACATGTCCTGGTTTCCTGCTCCGTTTCCAGAGTGTCACCGGTGTAACAGGAGAATGTCCCCTGAGTTGTCTCTGCCCGACTCTAGCGACCTTGTTTTTAACCTCCGTTGCCCTCTTTGTCTTTCTATTGACAGCTGAGATGGCAATGAGCAGCATCCTCAACGCTGATGACATCAAGAAGGCTCTGGACGCATTTGCAGGTAAAAGCAGTTTCCACATCTGGCAGTTTCCAGCCGTTTTTTTATTACAATTTTTTGTTTAAACAATGTTGTTTGTCTTTGCGTTATATTTTACCTTTCAAACGAGTTGATTGATATAAAAGGGAAAAGAAATGATTGTAAAGTACCGACATTTTGCATCATTGTGCGTCGTTTGTCTGCGTTCCTCCGCGTGTGTGCGTTTGTGCAGTGGCTGGTTCCTTTGACCACAAGAAGTTTTTCGAGATAATGGGTCTGAGGGCGAAGTCTTTCGACGAAGTGAAGAAGGTCTTCCTGGTGCTGGATGCCGACAACAGCGGCTTCATAGAGGAAGAGGAGCTCAAGTGAGACAAACACACACACACGCACACACACACACACACAAACATGTATGCAACAAATGTTCTCGTATCCATTGTGCTTTTCTGGTCCTGGTTAGATTCGTCCTGAAGGGTTTCTCCAAAGATGGGCGGGACCTGACGGACAAGGAAACCAAAGAATTTTTAAGAGCAGCCGACAAGGACGGTGACGGCAAGATTGGAGTTGATGGTAAACATCGTTGTATTATTGGGAGCGTCTTGGTGTCGCCAACAGACACAGTGCAAAATGACTGTCGAGAACACACACGACGGCATGATTCCACCCATTAGGGGACTGTCCATAAATGACAGGGGGACAGGGGGCAGGGGTCAAACATTAGGAGTGGAATTAGCAGCAGCCAAAATGACGGTAAACATAAAAAGTGGTGCGTCCTCTTCATTTCTCCACGTTTGAACCAATAAGCACTCGTCACCAACGTGACAGCGTCGGCTAATGGGACCCAGGCAGCAGCGCCTAATGTTTCCCCTTCACGCATTAAAGGTCTCGCTCTTCATCATGGCTTTACCTGCATCACAGACCAGCGCATTTTACACATCATCCATATCATAGCAGCCTACTCTCTATTAGCAGATAAAATCCCTGGTTACGACAAAACATGTGTGATCCACGGTGCCGAACAAAATTCAGATGTGCGTTCGTTCAGCTAAATGTCAATAATAAATAGCCCTCCTTTTTTCGACCCCACTTCCCCGCCTTTTCATTTGAACTGTCCCCCAACTACAAATAATCCATTGTCTGTGTTACCATTATGGAAAGCATCAGTAACTTTTAGATGTATTTCAATGTGGACACCTCTTTCAGAAAAACAAATAATGATTTCTGACATGATTCTTCTTCCTCTCTTGCAGAGTTTGCTGCCCTGGTGAAAGAATAAACAGTCAACCAGTGTGACTGACAAGCACCCCAAGATAAACCCCCGAGCCACTGCTACAACCCAGCCCCCCGTCCCGTCCCCCAGTCCCGTCCCCTTCCTCCCCTGCACCCTCTCCTCCCCCCCCCAGCCCGACTCCCAGCCCACCAGACTAAGCCGACTCCTGCTGACCCTCTCTCCTCTTTCTCCCCCTTCTCCCCCTCCTCCCCCACGGTTGTGTTCACTAGAAATGCAATGCTGCACCATAGGAAGTAAGCGGAGGTGATCCAGGCTCCTCTTTAGATGTCCCTGCGGCTAAATTCACCCTATTTATTTGACCCTTTTTGTACAAACTGATCTTGTTTGTGTTCATGTAGATACAGGAATAGACTCTCACCTTTTAAGGCATGAAGTAGATAGAGAATGATAAAGGAAGACCTCAATGTCCTTCAGTATTTCTGAATGTAGTTTGTTTCTTTTCTTAGCCAACACTTCATCTCACTTCCCCTCTTTCTTTATTTCACGTTGTTCTGTCTTTCTTCTTCTCTCTTCCCTTCCTGCAGTCTCTTCCCTCTCTCCCTCCCAAACCACCACAGCCCCTCCGTCTCTCTTTCCATCCCTTTTCTCCTCTGGTAATGAGCTGTTGTACAACACGGCAAAAGAAGAAAGAGGTCAAGCTGTGAAAGAATAAAATTAAATGAGAAACAAAAAAAATAAAAAAAGGCCTTGAGAACACTGACTCCTCTGTTAATTCCCTCCGTTGATGTGCCACTCCGGTCTGAACGCCGCTCTCCTTCTCTCTCGGAGCAAAGCGAAGCGCATGCTGCCAGCAACCCGCCATTGTATGAAGGGGAGCACTTAAAGAAGGTCAGGATCACCCTGCGGCTTCATTTGTTAGTATTCGTTAGCGTCGGCTGTGTCGTGCAACGGACACCAAGTCCACCCAATCACAGCTCACTTAGGAGCATCTTGCTGCACGCTACGTTGCATTATGAATGAGTGCCGCCCTGCTGAAAGGAGGAAGAGGAGGCGGAGACACACATTATTCCAGAGTCTTTATTGAGAAGTTCTGTGCTAGATTAGCCAAGACGTGCTGTCAAGCCATTAGCAGAATTGGATTCACGCTGGGGTTCAATTTGGGTTAAGTATCCCCGGCGGGGCACCGGAACACTCAGCGCTGGAATCCTCTTTACTGCCTGAGCGAATAAACACAGACCTGGAGCTAAGAAGATATCACTTAAAACACTGTATGGCTCAGAAAGGCACTGCGTCGCTGAGGTCTATGGTAAAAGTTAGTTGGATATTATTATACAATACAATGTTAGAGAAAGAAATACTATATTAAGTCTTTATTGCTGATGATTTTGTTTAGTTTAGTTAGTTTTTAAGACTATTTCTCATGTTTGATGGATCAACATCATCATGGTGAAATCAGTTTAAAAAGGACACCTGAGAGTAACTCCATGATGCCACAAAGACGGAATGTCATTACCCCGTGAACGCCCGTTTCATCGCGATTATGGCTCGGGCTCTTTTACCTCAAAAAATAAGAAAGCAGGGTTACAAAGAGGTGGGACATTTTCGGAAACTTTCCATGGGAAGTTATTGTCTGCTTATGACAAAACAAAATGTCATTCTCATATATGTTATCATCAGAATGTCAGAAAAGTAGTAGTTTACCAGGCTCTAAAAATATACATCTACAGTCCTACTGCGAACCCAAAAATGATCAAATATTCATGCATTTTCTCTGTCCTCTTTCTCCAGCTTCGTGGGTCTCATAGCGAACCGAGTGCTGTTTTAGAAAAACGCTCGACAGCATCCACTCACATATGAACTCGGATATTTCAAAGGTCAGGAACGAGTTGTCGTGCTCAACGCTGTGGGCACGCGCGACATGTTGTGGGGGTGAAGATGTCATCGGCGGTATAGACGCGGGGACGATCTGTCATCGGTGGATGTCGGCTTCAGCTTGACTGTGGCAAACGGGTTGGTGCCCCTTCAAAATAAAAAGAGAGAGCGGTAAATAGGTGCTGGAGGAGGAGAAAGAGACAGAGAAATGGAAGAAATGAGACCATTTCACAATGTTCAGGCCTCATCCAGCCAAGTGATCATCTGAAGTGATCGCGAAAGTCCCGCTCGTGGTTCCAGCATCAGCACTAAACTGCACTTCTGACTCTAACGAAAGTGAAGCAATTCTGTGCCATTTAGATCACTGCCCTCATCTGTTGTTCTCGTTTAATGATCTACTTCAAAAAATATCATTGCTCTCCGTAAAAGGGAACATGAGAACGCAAGTTCCATTTACACATATTACCAGAGAAGCCGCTGGTGTGTTAATCCTACCTGGGGAAGAGTTCTGGCTGGGATCCATGTGGTTCTGATCTCTGCAGAGAAACATGAAGGAGAGAGGAGTAGGTGAGTGAACCCGACCCATTAGACAGGTAGACGCACTAATGGAGGCTCAGCGGGATCCGGCTCTCGACCCCCCCGCCGTGCTCAGCTTCACACACGCACACACACACACTGGTCGCTTTGACCAACAAACAAATAGTTTTGGTTATCCTGAGCGTTTGCACAAAAAAAAACAGGCCTTGAATACACCAGAAACACTTCTGGAATGCTGGAACATTAGTCGGTTATCACAGTTGAGGAGGGCCAGTTATTACATGGGGCTCTCTGCAGTTCTCTCCACGCAAGGTTTGAAAACACATTAGAAAGCATTATCACACTGCAGCAATGTAAAGGTCACGTCGCACACCAACTCGGCTCTCAGTCTAAGCATGCCCAAACAAGAACACACACACACACACATGCACACATCCTCCTCGCCCATACACTGTCAGCAGCTGGAGCTTCCTCCCTGCATCCACCAGAAAGACGGCTGTGGAGCCGTGGAGAGAAGCACCTTGCCACAGAGGCCCTGCTGGACGGACACCATTAAAGAAACTACGGCTTATCAGCGTCGTCGCGTATACTTTATGTCGTCGTTTGACGCACAAATCAATGTGGCAAAGTAGCACTCTGTTATCAGACACCTCGGACAGGATCACGAATTAAAGGAGCTTCTTTAAAATCATTCTTTTGATGCTCTATAGACATAAGAATTCAATATTAATGAGCAACTTTGGGTTTTCCTTTTATGGACAATGACAAATCATCTGCACTTATAAGCGGATTACAATGTTTCAAACTTCATCATAACAAGCAGAAAGTTGGACTTTATGACTAAGTGATAAAAGATGTATTAACCAATCAAAAATACATAATTCATATTTTATAGCCAATTTTCTCTAAAAAGTCTCCAAAGAAGAAGCCCTTGTTGACTGTTCTAAAAAAGAGGGGAAAAGAGAGTGACGTGATTGATATTGATTTACCTTTTTGTCTGAATTAGTCTCGGCCTTTTTATCGGGCGTCGGCGTGACGGCTCGCGTCTCGTACTGTTTGTACGAGGATAAAGGGGGCGGGGCCGGAGGGGGCGGGGCTCCGCTCTGGCTGCTGCTGCTTCTTGGTCGGTCCGGCACGTCGCCCATGATGCTGCTGCTTTGGAGAGAGAAGCTTCTGAAATCACCAAGGCCCAATCAGTCACCTGATAGTGATGGTGATTTCAATCATTGCTAAAAATGATCTCATTCCGAGTTGAACATGGAAAATATGTGTTAAACCGTCTTCCCTAGAAGCACAAGTGTCCAATTCATGAGCTCCGTGCATGTGCAGTCACATTGCCGTCTAGACTTCTCATTAGTTTTGCTCTCAGCAATGGGTCACCCAAGTATCTTAAATAGTTAGTTATTATTCAAGGCCTAATCTTCTTACTGACCCTTTTTAAAGTTTCAGGCCCATAAAACAATAAGGACAGCCTGGGGGAGCTGCAAAGTAGGTCCGGTGTCACGTTTTAAAAGGGAAACATCATGCAAAAGCTTTTGTTTTAAAGTCTCTCCATCAATTCGTAATGTCTGCAAATAAAACATGAATTGCTTTGTTGATCTGTAGGAGGTAAGACACATAAATATGAGGCTGAACCCAGCGGGACCTAAACAAGCAGCTTTGTTCAAAATACCCCGGTTCAGAAAACACAACACAGATGATTTCCAAGTCAAAACATTTTGAAAGAGCAACATCGGAGCTTCTGCAACTCAGTTAGTGTAGTTATTATAGTACATTATAAAAATAATATTTCCTAAATCCTACGAGTCAGGCCAGCTGGTTCCACTCGGTACTTCAAGCTGCACCGGCTGTATGCAGCAGCAAGTCTCCACCAAGGTGGTGAGAGATGTCCATTAATCCCTCTAACAGCTTTGCTAAACGCGCAACATTTCAGTTAAGTGACAGTCCCCCTTGTTGAATCCATTTTATTTCTGTGTTTTACCGAGAGCTGAATGTCTCTGGAGGGTCATCCAATGCCTCCACATAGGCGGCTGGAAACCATCCATCACTGAAAGAACAGAAAGAACATCACCGACAGAAAGTTAAGTATTTTATAAGAGTGTTTTTCTTTTTCTTTCCTGTTTCTGATTTTATTCTTTAACACGTTATTCTTCTTCTGTCGTCCCCTCCGGTCATTTTGTAGCATTGTACCGTCGTAACACTCACCGCGAGCTGCCGTCAACGCGTCCATACAGCCAGCCGTTTTTGGGCTGCTGCACCAGCACGCTGATCAGCTCGCCCCTGGCGAAGGGCAACAGGGTGGGGTTTGAGCCAGCGGGCTGGTGGGCCACCCGGGCCCTCGAGAACCTGCCTCCTGTCGGCCGGGAAATGCTTCCCTGGGGAGACGGAGCTGGACGGGGTGACGAATGAAAAACACACTAGTTTGTTAAAAAGCGCAAGATGACAAACCAGCAGAAATGGCCAAGATGATTCATAAGATGATTCATTAAAATACTATAAGCAGCAATGATTAAATTCTTCAATTATGGCCCCGAAAAGCACAGCTGGCACAATGACTTCCTCTATGTGGAATCATGTCTGCTTGGATGGCCGGCCATGCTGTCCTATGGTTTGCACCAAAGGTGGCTTTGTTTTCCTCACCAGCGGGCATCGGTCGTCGGAAACCAGCCTGCTGCACATGATGTTTCATGAGGGCCAAATTTATGACGACTGCTATTTAGTATTCTGGCGATTATGCGCCGTCTGTTTTGATAGATCGTTACTTTATCTCATTTTTAACCGAAATAGGCAAGCTGAGTAATTAGAGAGACTTCATGCACACGCAACTTACAAATGGGGAGATATGAAAGTGTGTGATGTGCAGAATGGAGAGACAGAGACAGAGAGAGAGAGAGAGAGAGATAAAAAGCGTAAAGAAAGATAAAGCGGCTTGTGGAGGGATATTAAAATGAGCATTAGAGGAGGCTTAACGGGCAGAAAAACCCCAACATGCAAATGTGGCCCTGAAGTAAAACAAGAATCAGCTGTTTTGAGCCCTTGAGCAGCTCAAATCCAGCCCTCACCCCTTGAAGGGACGTTGCCAAGTGACAGCTCCTCTCTGCTCCTCCTCATCTCCTCCTCCTTCATCCCTCTCTGTGCAGCAATCACATGCACACAAACAGACAACTTATCAGTAATCTATTCTAATGCTAATACGCCCTGTAAACCCACGGGAATACAGCGGTCACAATGGCGCGTTCACGTGTGAACAAACAGAAATAAGGAAAAGCAGCTGCGAGGACGCGGCGGGGTTCTGTGGAAGAACAATGCAAATGTGTGTCGCCGTTATGAGCGAAATGTAAATCCCACGTCAAAACAAACACAGAAATGATCCACGCTAGGCCTGCGGTCGATGTTACAGCAGGACGTGTGGTCGGTGGGGTTCGTCGGTACCTTCCAGAGACCGGAACTGAGAGTCTCTATTTGTTGATTAGTTGAATAGCGAATGCAGTCTCTGAACAAATAACTGTGTGTGTATTCATTATTTGAATGATCAACCCTGTTGACATGTGGATAACTTCCTTTTAGACGGAAGCTTTCATTTAATCAGAAAGCTTCCGTCTAAAAGGAAGCTGATTTAAATTTAAATCAGGCTCCAACCACTGGAGGGCACACTAGCAACGAGAATATCATTAGAATCATTTTCCTGGTTTCCCTACAACAAGGGCCTGTGCAGAGTATTGTGCACAAACTGAGAGACTTTAATGATTATTTTAACTACACAAATCCTCCATCAGTCCATTCTCCTAAAACAGGAGTACATCTCAGCACCACGTGTTTTTTTGGAGTTCTGAAAGTCCTCCAACGCTCCGGCGCTGCTTGAACAATCGGGTGAAAACGAGTGATTCCCGTGAACGGAACTCACGGAGACTCCAGCCCCCCTCCAGGAGGGTCGCGTGGCCTCGTGTCCTCTGGTAGCTTCCACCTGCTCGGCCCAGGCATCAGTCGTCTGCTGCAGGGCCCCTCCTGTCTGCCGCGCCGCACGCACACAGACACACACAGCACACAAACACACACAGCTCACGCTCGGCGCTGCCACAGTTTATCTGCACACAACAGCAGCCGCCTTTGTTTGCAGTAAAATGTTGTATGAAATAAGTTGTCAACGTGCAATTTCTCTTTGATTATAGCGTGTTGAAGCTGAAGATGACAAATGTGGGACAAAAATGTAAACAATTTTTGACTTAATATCTGATCTTTTATTTTAAATCAAAAGTTGGGCTTGTTATATAAAGAGTTTTTGGGTGATTGTTTTGACTGAAGGCCTGGTTTTGGATTGTTATTAAGCAATGCTTCAGGAGTAAGGTCGATTTTTTGGGGGGGGCGTCCCATATTTTAGTTGGAGGGCTGCAAATAAGCCGACGACTACACGTGGAAACAAACAGGGGCGACATCCCTGAACCGTACGTTCCCAAAGGGCCTTGTGATTCATTCATTCTTCATGCACTGAAGGTGTATAAGATGTTTAATTCAGTCAATACAGTGGTGTCATAAAAACTGAGCAGAGAGTTTGAAGACACGGTTATAAAGCGCCGTTAGTGTGTCATAAGTCTTTCTGTAGAAACTGAAGGTGCATCTGCTGTTCTGTGGTTGACCTTTGTTATTGGGAAGAGGAATTTCACCACAGGGATCTATAAAGTCTCATAATCATTACACATTATTGAGAATTCCATTTTGAGTGCCGTCCCGTCATTGCTCCCCTGAAAATCCCTTGCATTTGGTCAATAAGCCAAAACAAACCATAAAACATGGAGATTACAAATGCCATTAGGAGACGTTTTTATACCTTATTCATGAGTCTGGCGACGGATTGTATCAGGCTGCAGTGCTTCTCCGACAGGAAGCGGTATCTCCTCTCCTCCTCCTTCTGCGCCTCGCTGTTGCTCTCCCTGAGGAACTGCATATAATCGCTGTAATCCTGCGGATTCACATGATGGACGGCTCACATATATATATATATATACGTATACAGTACATATAAACTGTACAAGGACGCCCTCGTATAAAGTGGTGCTGAATCTTTTGCTCCTGGGAGCAGAAGTAGAGGCGGAGAGGAACCTGTTTTTCTCTTCTCCTCAGCTGTCTGTCCAGAGCTGCTGCCTGGTTGTTGACTTCCATCTCGTAGTGCTTCCTGCTGCCCTGTGTGCGAGACCGTTCACATCACGTCTGCTTCATCATTTCAGTCGTCCGGGTAACACTCGGCGATCCAGTTGAGATTAAAATGAAGAGGTTTTCTCATCAATTCTGATGGCGTTTTCCCATCATGCCGCGCAGCATAATGGAAATAATGATGAGATAACAACTCACTTACTGATATGTAATCTTTGTCTATTCTAATGTTAGTGTCCATCTCCTGAAGGACCTCCGTACTGAACCAGCGGAACTGGAAAGGGACAAAATGGCATTGAGCACAGGAGGAAATGGAGCACATAGAATAGATACGTGCGTCGGTGTGACTTACCATTCCATCCAGCTCCAGCGTGAGCCGCCGCTGGGTCTCAGAGATCTGAATCAGGACATCTCCTTCAACACAACCACATCCGGCCACATGTCACATTGCCACGATTACATCCGCCGCATGTGCTCCCTTCCATCTATTCATAACCCTCTTGAACACCTACATCTATGCAGCTCATCTCTCTCCAATACGAGCTCTATTTTGGATTCATTCAAAGCAGAGTAAATATATATACATATATATATATATATATATTTACTCTGGGTACATTTTGATTCTGTCTGTGTTAAATGAACTAATGTTCTCTCAGGGAGAATCTACGCTGCACCGCGTGTGTTGTTTGGCCAGATGAATCCTTGCTTCTCTGGAACAGTAATGTATCACTGCTGAAACCTGTTGATGTTCATGGAATTCACAGTTTCCTGGTGTGATCGCTATCATTGAATCAGCTGTCAAATATTGTTTTGACAGTGTTCCAGTTGCCGCCAATAAAACACCAACTGCTGTCTTTAACCTTTATTGAAACTGAGCTCAGCTCTTAAGCTAGCGGCGAGCTCCAGATCAGTTCGGAATGTCCCCGTCAGGTTTCCTGAGCCATCACATTGTCCTCTGCGGTGTTTGACTCTGCCGCTCTGCCGCTGAAATGCACGCTGGGAGTCATTTCCTCGCTGAGCAAACAGACCAGTGAGATTGCACCACCGATCAGTGGTGGGAGGGAGAGCGAGCGGGGCACGGCCCGCTGCCTGTCACCCTCAATTATTCATGTTCCCAGCTGGCATCGGATACTCTGACAACACTTGTTGGCTTAAACTCACGGAAAAACCCACTTAAACCAACATCAGTTTGAACTCTACTGTTGTTGTACGGTAAGCAGACATCTAATTAGTTATTTCTGCCCCACTGCTGACTTGATTTGGGCCCGATACAGGCTTCAGGTCAGGTACAAGTTTCTTAGTGTTTAAAGACCCTCATTTAACTTGCTTTTAACACACATATGAAAGAGTGCACTAATTGCATGCACACTCAGCGCTGTGTCCTAGTTAATGTGTAATGAGTAATAAAGCGACGCCAGAAGGTAAACTTTGGTCTTCCTGACGAGAAGAATACCGTTGAATTAGCTTAATAAATGACCATAAACGCGCTGACATCCTGCAGCGAGGCGTGTTTCCGTCGGGTCATCGCCGCGAGTCCGTACTCACCCAGCGGGCGTGACGACACCGTGCGCAGAGCATTTTCTCCGATGTTGGAAAGTGCGCTGAAGTAGGCCTCACTTGTTGCAGCAAAAGCTGAAACAACAAGAGCACGAGTCATTTGAAATGCAAATGCGTTTTGGTGCAGATCATTTCCCTGCTGCCCTCTCATGGAAATGAAGCCGCACACACAAAGACAAAGCCATGCAGACATGTCTTTCTTTAAGGTCTCATTGACCAGCTATTGATGCCTTTTTGCTTCTACTACAATAAACAACATCTCAGGTTTAAGTCTAGTGGCGTTTACTACATCAATAATATTGATTTTTTTAACAAATGGTAGTTTGAAAGCTTTGGTTTATTCAGTCAGCCTGAAAGCTGAAAAGCCTTTTTTCTGTAGTTTCTGCTTTGTGCCTCTGAGGGGCACTGAGAGTTAAAAGGGGTCAAATTGCAGTTTGGTCCCAATTAAATCTCCATCCTGGTGTTGCCTTAGTAACTTGATTATGTAATTAGATCCCTGTGCAGTTGTTGTTGGTTTTTTTATTTGAAAAAAAGAGAGTGCGAATAACTTCGAATCAACAATCTAAATTCCAGAGTAATTTCAACAGCGAAAGAGGCAGTGCTTTATTAACAGTGGATATGGTGAGAGTCTGCTATGGAAAATACACATTGATATTTAAAAGAAGATGGGTAGAATCTATTCTTTCTCTTGATCTTTGATCTCATTAACGTGTCATGAGGATGTTGCTCCACCTTGAACACAGTGAGTGAAGTAATAGCAGCTCTGCAAGTGGAAAACGGACGACTAAACACTTTTTTTGTAGCAGCTATAAATCCGTTGTTCAGGATGTTGCATTACTGCTTTAAAATGAACTAAACAACCGGCTACAATGGAACACAAAGGTTTCATCCTGGCCTCTTCCTTACACAACTGAAATGAGACTGAAATAAACAGCCTAATAAACTCAAGACTACTCTCACAGTGCTAAATCCTGCTGCTGTAGTTGCGTAGTGGTGCGAGTGTAGTCAGCAGGCCTCGGTTACAGGCAATAAAGCCCCAGGATATCCCCAAAGCAAATGGACTTCAGAATTAGGTCTGATGAGATAAATGTCTGACAGGTCACCTTTTCCCGTTAGTTTGTTAAGTTTATTGCGCTCGTAAAGCTGTATGTGTTGACGTCACACACCAGTTATCGACAAATGAGAGTCTCTTCAGCACATTGTGTGTCTCTTTTTATCTTACCCTTAAAAGCATGCATGTATCTGTCACCCAGTGAGACCAGTTTCTGCAGGCTGGGGTTGAACTCATCCATCAAGCTCTGTTTGGGACACACACACACACACACACACACACACACACACACACACACATCACGGTTTCTGTTGAGCATTCGAAAGTTGCAGGAACTTTAAGAACGGCCTAAAGGAGAATAAATCAAATCCATCTTTAATCTAAACTCTGCATTTATGAGCACAGACTCTTTCTCCCAACGGCGGAGCACAGACACCATCAGCCTCCATCCTGCAGAGGAAATACTCCAACAAAGCGTTGTGCATTCACATGGTGTTCGCTTGGCAGAAATCTCACTTCAAAAAACAAAAAAGGTGTAACCGAGATGCACTTGTCAGTAACCAGGATACGTTTCTACATTTACATTTGTCATTCAGCTGACCCGGCCGTCTGTCTCACCGCTCAGTTTGTTGTCTCACACAAAGAGTCTGTTGCTTACCGAGTAAATCCTCAAGGTGGATCGATGCAGGTTGTCAGCGTTCACCCCCGACATGTTTGTATGAGGAACAATGCAACCGCCGTCTTAAACCATCCACCAACGTCCCAAAGCCTCTCTGAGAGATGAACGGCTGACAGCGCTGGACTGGACGTGGCGTTTGGCAAAGCAGGCGGTGTGTCAAGGGGTTTGTACCGGACACCACTGTGGCCTGAGAAAGACCGGAGTAAATAATTAACATGGCTCCACCATAAAACATGTGCTCTAAAAACCCTCACCAGCCTGTGTGTGTGTGTGTGTGTGTGTGTGTGTGTGTGTGTGTGTGTGTGTGTGTGTGTGTGTGTGTGTACTTGCCAAATTGTACGTTATATTTAAGATTATACAGGAGATTCGTTTTTGTTCTCATTACACGTGTACAGCACACGTAGAAATGAGTCATTCATTCTTGTATCTGTTTATTCTGATGAATCCTGAGCTTATTGCACGAGTGGCGTGGGGGGGGGGGGGGGGGAGGCCTCCTGTTCCTGCAGGGGGGTTAAAGTGTATAAGTGTATAAAACCTCCTGTTCTCCTCTTTGACTTGGTCAGATCTTCCTGCTCCTTTTCAGCTGAATTGTAGTCATTTGACTTCTGTCTGTGCTTACGACTTGTGCTGATGATTTCTATATTCTTTATCTTTTGCCTTTACTCTAGTCAGTAATAAATACTTAATCACAAAGCAAGCTCAAGATACTTTTGATTTCTCACATGGGCTAAATCCACAAATTTCCACCACAAGATGCACCTCTTACTTAAACTCAAATGCTATAAAAACATTCTGGTTAATGACAACAGCCCCTCAAAGATGTGGGAGCGTTTGTTTTTACCTTATACTTTTTATACATAAGTATCTTTATGTAGGACTATATGGCCAATGTGTGATTAGGAAATGTTTTTCCAACTATTTACTGTAAATTTTATTCATTTATCAAATTCTTCATTTCAATGTTTGACTGTCTTGTACTGTTTTCATTTATCTCAGTGTTTTGCACAAAAAGGAGAACATTTAGTCTAAGACTATAAATGAAACTTTATTTCATTATATTACAGAAATATCACATAGTGAACCTGTAATTCAAACATATTTTGAAATCTGAGTTCCCAATCCTTTAATGCCACAAATATTTCTCCTTTTTTGATTGGTTGATGCAGAATCCAGTGGTCATATGTGCTAGAAATCCCATAATCCTTTTATTTTAATCACTTTGGATGGCAAAATCCTACTTGCACCGACAGCAAGGGAGAAAGCAGCAGTGGTTTCCCAACATTTTGGATTATATTGAATAAAACATGTTAATTGAATGTATGTTGATGATTGGTCATCATTTTCTGTTCAATTTACAAGCGAGAGAGAGAGAGAGAGAGAGAGAGAGAGAGAGAGAGAGAGAGAGAGAGAGAGAGAGAGAGAGAGAGAGAGAGAGCTTTGAACACTAGATGGCACCATAAACTTACTGGACACATGACTTGAATTTTAAACAGCTTCATGCTTCATGTCCTTGATTTGATCTTTTTTTTTCTTCCCTCTTCTTTCAGCTTTAGAACGTAAAATCAACGTGTGTTCAATATTTCAGCTGTTAGCACATAAACCCACTGCATGCTGACAATTTCCTCCTCAAGAAACTGACATTCATGGATTTAGTCCAACACGCTAACTATTCGATGTAATGCATACTGCCAAGCTGGAGGTTTTATGACCCTTTCCTTAAATAAAAGCAGAAATACTGCAATGTAAAAATACTCAATTACAAGTCAAAAGTATTGAATTGGAACTCATTGTACAGCAGAACAAAACCTTTTAAATAAGAAAAAGTTTAAAGGAGAGTTTAGTCCGTCAAAGTAAGATGTTATATCATTTCTTCTTATTGCATATTGTATTATTATTATTATTAACTATAGTACAAGTTGTACAGAGTGGCGACTTTTATATATTCAAAATACTGTTATTTCAATCTAGAACGCTATTTTGTATTTTATTAGCTGATCACATGTTGTGTGTCTCTATCTAAAGTAGCAATCAGCTTAATTCTAAAAAGAAGATAATACTTTCAAAACATGCAAGTAACTCAATTAAACTACAGCACGTTGCTCAAACAAATGTACTTTGTTACTTCCCATCACTGCAGACCATTACTGGCTCTCCGATGTTTATCTACTGTTGATTATGTTGACACAGTGGACACAGATTTAAACAACTTATTGAAATAGGGCAGTAACAATAAAACAGCAGAAGCACGAAATCCATCAGAAGTAAAAACAACATTGGGACACAAAACAATCAGTCTGAACCCCTGAAATACATTAACCAAAATTAATCAGTTCCAAAATGTATTTTGTGTCCATCCCACCAAGGAGGGGAAACTTTGAACCTCTGAGGTGACTGAAGCACACGGACCATGAAGGTCATGGGCAACATTTGATGAGTGAAGCTCACAGCTACTGGCCACTGAGTCTCCTGGAGGCTCCTACAGACAGAGACGATGAGCAGTGCATTACCAGCACTAACTGGGCAGCAATGACCAGAAGGCTTCACTCTTCTGGCCTTTTTAATGCACCGGTACCCCTCAAACCTCAAAACCTCCTAAAGAGGAACCCCTGAGTGTTCTAATGTGTAAAAATCAGTTTATATGTTTCTGGTGAGGATATAAATCATTATAACACACAAAAAAAAAGAGATTTTTTGAGAATTGCCCAAAATAAAATTAAAACAACCCTATAAAAGATGGAGATACCACATCCAAATGATAGTCCAGTGTGTGGACAACATGTAAAGGTTCACGTTGATAGTCTGGATGACTACTCTAGATGACTCTAGATTTTGTTAAGGCTCAGAAACTGAAGCGTAAGCTGGATGCTTGGTGGCTCTCTTTGTCACGGTGTGGTTCACTTCCTGTCTTATTTTGTAGTTTTCTGCCACTCGTGTCCCGGGTAACTTCACTTCCTGCCTTGTCTTGTCATCCCCTGTGATCGTCTGATAGTTTCCACCTGTGTCCAATCACCTGCACCTCCCTAGTGTATTTAAGCCGTGTGTCTCTTGTGTCACTTGTCGCGTCATTGTCTATTGTCCTGGATGTTACTTGTTCCTGCCTGCCTTTTTTCCCCCCGGTACGTGTTTTTGCCCGTTGGCCTTTTGCTTTGTTGGAGTTTATGATTATTAAAGTCTTTTTGTTGAAGAACTCTGCATTTCAGTCCTGCCTCCCCACGCACCCCTGACAGAATGACGCGACTAAAAGAGGACTCCACAGAGTTTTTTCCCTGGGACCAGTTCCGGGGAACCCGTCTGGCTTTCAGCGGGCCACGCAGCATACAGCTGGCTGCTCGGCATGGGGAGAATGCCCTCGCTGGCTTCCCAGCTGGCTTCCTGGCCTCCTCCGTCGGCTCTCCCAGAGTCCCCAGAAGGAGCTTGGGTCGCCGCTCTCGCCATCCGCCGCCCACCACGCCGCCTCCAGAGGAGGAGGCCTTCTCGTGGTCACTCGGAGACCGATCTCATTGGGATCCATTCCCGCTGGGCCGCCGCAGCACTCTCCCGTTCCCGCTCCCCGACTAGCTCCTCCGACACCAGTACCGGCCCCGAGACTCCAGGCCCTGACTCGGCCAGTCCCCGCTCCGAGACTCCAGTCCCCGCTCCGAGACTCCAGTCCCCGCTCCGAGACTCCAGACCCCGCTCCGAGACACAGGCTCCCTCCCTCCCATCCCGTGGTCCTCTCCCACCCTCCCGTTGGTGATTTGAGGGCCGTCTGGGATCCGGCCCTGAGGGGTTATGGGGGGGGCTGAGCTGGTGACTCCGGAGGTTTTCCTTGTCCCCCAGCAGCCGACGCCGACTGCGGCGGTGTCTCCGAGCCGCCGCCGACTACTTTGAAGGTGTTCCGTGTCCCCGAGCCAGCCATTCCAGGGACGTTCCGTGCCCGGCAGTGACCAAATTACCGTCCGCCGGGCCGACCCCCAGAGGCTCCCCGGTCGTCTGGCCGCCAGCCGCCAGAGTTTCCCGGGCGGTCCGACCAACATCTCTAGTTTCCCTCCCTCCCGCCCCTTGTCTGCTCTCTGCTAGTCTAGGGCCATCTGGGATTTGGCGCTTGGGGGGGGGGGGGGGATACTGTCACGGTGTGGTTCACTTCCTGTCTTATTTCGTAGTTTTCTGCCACTCGTGTCCCGGGTAACTTCACTTCCTGCCTTGTCTTGTCATCCCCTGTGATCGTCTGATAGTTTCCACCTGTGTCCCATCACCTGCACCTCCCTTGCGTCGCGTCATTGTCCTGGATGTTACTCGTTCCTGCCTGCCTTTTTTTCCCCCGGTATGTGTTTTTGCCCGTTGGTCTTTTGCTTTGTTGGAGTTTCACTATTAAAGTCTTTTTGTTGAAGAACTCTGCATTTGAGTCCTGCCTCCCCACGCACCCCTGACCCTCTTTGCTGTGGCTTTGGTAGTTCTATAGCGTCGTCCCGGCTTTCTCTTCATTTTCCTTTGTTACTTCGCTGAGGAGAATGTTACAAATGCACCAACCTGTGCGCATTTCTAGACTAATTTGCATATGATAAACATTGTGTTTGGAGTATTTTCAAACTGATTAGTGCATGTTGGAGCCAAGAATGACTGGTTTCGAACGGTGTGAAGCGTTCATTTATTTGATTACACGATGTTCCTCGAAGCTGTTAGCCGGTGTTTGTAACTTCATCACACTAAAACTTGAAACAAAACAATTTAAAGCTACAAGCATTGCCCCAGTCATCGTTAGGCGTAGTGAGCACGGTGGAAATGACTGCAATAAGAATCCTCGCCACTGCTGCAATGCAATATACAGCCGAAAGTGCCACCAGTGACATTTAGTGTGCACTCTGAATACTGTATAAGTGAGGAGCTCAGAAATCCGTCGTGCTTATAAATGTGAGAATTGATGGTTTTGTATTCACTATTCCCAGGCTTTTGTCTCCACCTCTGAAGGAGTACTTAACAGTCTACTTTACTATTCTAGTGTTCCAGTGAAGACTGAGCTCCCCAGCTATTTTTTGCTGCAGACACGTCTCACGCCGTCTCCCTCACCCATCTTCCATTAGAGCTTTCACCGCCGGGGACTTTGAGAAGCCTTAGCTTAAATCCCACTTAATACTTGTGTGAGAATGCACATCACACACTGATTTCATACATACGGCAAAGAGTTTTCTCACTCATGTGGTGTGTGTGTGAGTGCGTGTGCGTGCGTGCGTGCATGTCTGACATTCACTCAGTCTCTCTCATGCATGCACGACTGAGTATGCGTGTGGGTGAATGTGCAGCACATCAACATTTAAAGCCAAGTGCGGTTTAATGAGACGTTCCCAACATCAGTAGGTCTTTATTGTGCTCTGCGACAAACACACACACATACACCCACGTACGCATGCACGCACACACCTGAACCACGGCTGATGCCATCATGCATCTCTGCTGCTGTGGAGCCGTTCTACAGGGAGCCTTTAGGCTGACTTATGGCCATCCACACATTACGCATTACAGTAGGTCTGCAATGTGTTGCAGAGCAGGAAAACATTAAGCCCAAGGGAGGGGTAAAAAAACAATTTCCTAATGTCAAACGGATTAGTATGCAGATCCAATAAAGAAATTGCAGTTTCGTGGAAATATTTTGGAGAAAATTGTATCAACAAAGACACAAGTACCTCTTATCTGTACCACGTGGCTTCACATTTGCAATGCATGTTAGAAAATCCAATGTGCAAAGGTAAAAATATTCGAGAGGATACACCTACTTTAAAGAATAATGGGAAAGAGGTGAAAATCAATCAACTTTTATTTCAGACTCAAGGCCCAGATAGATCAAATAGACAAAAAAATGTGTTTCTGAAACTCTCTCTCTCTCTCTCTCTCTCTCTCTCTCTCTCTCTCTCTCTCTCTCTCTCTCTCCCCCTCCCTCCCTCTCCCTCCTGATTTCGCTTCAGTGTTGCAGGCTGGATTCTGCCTGAATACAGAGGACATGCGCGCTGAATAGGGGGAGGAGGTCTATCACACTCTTTCAGATGTTTTGTGTTCCCCCACGTTGCACAACCCTTATTTTCTAATCGCTTGTTCGTATAGAAAGGAGAAAAAGTAAGTTGTTTTTCTCTCTCTCCAACAATTTACAGACTGGAAAAATAAATTGACACTTGCATTGTTTTTGAGGTTTTAGTACAGAGTCATAATTAAGAATTTGTATTATTATCAGATTTTTTTCCACTAGTTGGTCGCGCCCGCCCGCCACCCTGAAGTTCATCGTTGTTATCTTGGCCGCCGGGATGGTGGCCTTCGTCGGAGCGGTAATCTGCATCATCGCTGCCGTCCACACCGGTTCCTCCCAGGGCTGCGCGGCGCAACAGCAACCGCCACCGACAATCACTCGCTGTATCCGGACGCGGCGGCGCGGGGCCGCCGGGTCCGTGGCGCGGGCCGGATCTTTGGGCGCTCTCCACGGTTCTGAAACACCAGATTCAGAAGCACCCACCTTCGGCATCGGGCTCGGCGCGTTAGACGGAGTCACCGGACTCGCGGGTCACGACCCAACGGTCAGTCGGCTCATCTGCACGCCGATCCCCGCCGGGGAGTGCAACCCGAGGAACTTTCAGCAACAAGCGGAAGACCCGTCGCTGTACGCGGGGGAAGACTGGGGCTACCTGCGCACCACCGCGGAAGAGCTCCGCCAGACTGTTCTGCAGCAAAAAGACCAGATATTAACGGACCAGCGCACCATCAGGGAGCTGACGGGGAAACTATTCGAGTGCGAGAAGGGGCAGGACGGCCAGAGCAGCCGCGCGGACAGACGCGGGACCGCCGCAGGGCTGCAGGGGGTGAAAGGTGCGGCGCCGCAGGAGAGGCACCCGGAGCGGGTCATGGTGCGTGACAGCCCGGGTTCGACGGCTGACGGCGCTCACGTGCTCACCGTTATGGCTGTGAAGGAACTAGAGCAGGCCATCAGTCAGCTCAAAGACCGCATAGAGAAACTGGAGGTGAGTCCTGTGTGAAGAAAAATGCCCCCTTGACATGCATCGTACAACAATAACGCACTTTCTTTTGGTAAATCCATATGTTGAAATTGTGAGACCATAAAAAAGGATCCCAAATTGAACCAAGAAGGTTTTTTCGTCATTTCAGAAATGAAATGATTTTTTCTCCCCTTAAGGATGAGTAGTAGGACAATGTGTTCAATATTGAATGAGAAAAAGTGAGTTATACCCAAAAGCTTTTGTGTGTGATATTGGATATAATTGCTAATGACATTTATATTTATTGATTTCTAATAATCATAATTTGCCATTGGTTTATGTAACCAATAACCCAAGCGAATAGATTGAGAATTTAAGTTAAAAGAAGGGGAGAGGTGAGGAGAAAGGGGAGGAGAAAAAAGAAGCCGGTAGCATGAGGAGGTGGAGGAGAGAGTACAGTGGTGTAACATGAAAAATGTTCTCATCCGAGTAGAATCCCATGATGTATAACCTAATTTCTGGCTTAAAAAATACCATACATAATATATGAGCATACCCTATATTTGTAGAAAGTGCTGACATGATTCTCTTCGGTGTAGTACTCCTCACTCTCATTTGTAAGACGATGTTAGTGTGGGTCATTTTCTTTGTGGATTATACTTTGTTGTTATTCCACAAGGTAACTGACAGATGGAACCCTTTCAAAATGTAAAATGTTTGAATAATCTCCATGTTTAACTCTTTTCAGGGACACATTTTACTAAGGACTGCACAGTACGATCCTGTTTTCTGGAACACTTTTACTATCCAAGTCACGTTTACGAGTACAGGAGCTACATGTTCAGTACGTCAGCAGCACATTGTGCGGTTTACATCTAATGCTGGTTATATAGAAGAGATGTATTCATCTGCGATAACTACCCCAGCAGCTTACATCCTGCAAAAATGAACCAGATGCAGTGGAACATTCTGGTGTTTTTAGCTTGGTGCATTTGTCCCACTATGTATTGGGGCATAATCAATATTTTTTCTGGCGTACTAAATATGGTAATATGCGTCTAGGAACACACATTATGTTCAATTCATTTTATTATTAGCATTCAATACCAGACGCCGGGAAGCTCCCGGGGTTGCTAATGGTGTGAAAATGCAGTCACTGGAATGCTTGTATTAATCACTACACTTGGTACCAATGATTCTGGCAGCCTGTTGTGAGTATTTTTACACTAAATGTGAGTAAGCACCTTGTGATATCTCACTCATCCACCTCCAGTGTGGAAACTGAGGTTTAACTTTCTTAGTGACTGTTGTTTTCATGCAGACGTTTTGCATTGGGCGTTAAGAGGCAGCATGGATGTTATGTGACTGAAGCTCTTTCAATGTTCATTTGGACAATAAATACTGTGATGCTGTTCTGGTACTTTTAGAAATCTGGCAAAAAGGCAGAAAATGGAGCCTCCCTGAAAAAGAGGGGACAATTATAGTACCTCAATAACAGTGCAGTGTATCTTCTACCTGGGGCTTCTGTACTGTTTTACTACAGTTTAATAACCTATAAACCTCATTATGATGCACCAGTTACACATTATTATTTGTTAAGGGAAATACAATGTTGCAACTTTGTTGCCAACATTGTATTTAGCATGAGAAAAAAAATCAAAACTACAGCAAAGAAACACTCAAGAGCAAGAGTTATTCAAGTATTATTTTTACGACGATATCAGCTATATGATAAAAACAACACAATGACACAAATTAACACGCTACTGCAGATGTACAAAATCACAGACACAAAATCAGTTCACTTACCAAATCCTGTTCACTATTTAAAGACAAAGTTCATACTGAACTCCTAATTCTACTTCTTCTATTCTTCTTCTCAATACTAAGATCTGCTAGCAAGTATTCTGTCTGACACAAGTCACGCTTGCCCACTGACCAATCAGAGCGCACGTTTACGCTGTATTTTGTTAATAAAAATAACTATTGATTGAGTGATTCTGTTGAGGCCAGTAGAGAAGCCTTAGCTGCCCTGAGGCCCCCACTGGTCTATACGTTGATCAATCAAGGAAGCTTTAAGCTTGAAGCGATCTAAATCTAAAATGAATCCAAAAGTTCACAGCCTCCTACTCCAGCCTTGTTTAGAGCTGGATGCTAACATTAGCATGCTAACACGCTCACAAGGACAATGCTAGCTTGTTGTTTTAAAGCAGGTATTGTATCATGTTTTCTGTCTCAGTCCACCCTTTACGCTTGCTCCCACTAGCAAATTAACACCAAACAGCTTACAGCTTCTGTCCTTAGCATTAACAGGTTAATGCAATTAACAATAATTGTTTAATAACCTATTCTCAAGCACACATGGTGGCATAAGAGATCAAGGGTCAAGGGATCACCGATTCATCAGAACTCCTCCTCTGGGAAACATGAATGTACAATAACAGGCTTTCAAATAGAAAAGCAATTTCAGAGTAGTAGACATTTTCACCTGCAACGGATAAAAGATGAACTAGATCAGAATATTTTCTTAGCAACAGCTATTGAAATGTATCAATAGAGGCTACATATGCTAACCTCCCTCGCTTTGCGGCCGGTAAACTTGATCACTTATTTCTTGCTTGGATTCATGTTTCCGGCCAAATATGTGCTGGGATCATTTATTTTTCTTAATGAATTTGTTTGTTTCGCCAAACTGAAGCCACTCACGCAAGTGCAGTGCCCGAATAGTTAATGAAAGTGAAAATGAACGCTGACTACTTTCTCTTTGTATCCACGTACAACAATGCTGCACCACACCACAGGGTATTGAGCAAATACCCTTTTTTCAGGATATTGCAGTTTTGATTTTCTCTAGAAATATTTCTGGAATGTGTATAAAGCTGCCTAATATCCTAGTCCTGTGCTTGATGAAATAACTATCAGATAGAGCGTGTTGGGACTAGATTCCCTATCGTTGCTGTACTCTGGGAAAGCAAGTGTATCATAGTGAACAATGCAGCATGTTCAGTGTAACTACTTAATAAAACGTGTTTAACAATAAGGACTTTATTCAGCTCTGCCCTTTGATAGGTATTTTAGGATAGTAATGAATCACCTGGACGCATTACATTGGAAATCTTAACCATCCATCTTTTTGGGGAAAACCATCCTTACCTGCACAATGTTCTGACTTCACGAGCTCCATGCATGTGTGACATTATGAGGTTGTCATATATAAGTTCTTGTAGGGATTAATTAACCTCTATGGCTTTACTTTATCGGTATCTCATGGCTAAATGTAAGCACTGAGCACTTGTATTCTGCATTAATTCCTTTCTGGGACCTCTGATTTCTACTATAGACTGTATCCCATTGCTCAGTGGACATACTGGACCCCAAAGGTTTTATGAGTCCTGCAGCGTCTGAATGTCCCACATTCCCTTTTTGTGTGGTTTGGCTATTTATTTTAGTGGACCATTGTGCACGCAGGATCCTATTTATTTGTTGTTCAATGAAATTCTTTGTTATCTTTGTTGCCTTTTCTGAAATGTAATCTATTGTGGTTGTATACTTCATTGAACGGCTGAACTTGAAGATGACACTTGGATGCAGTTTTTTTGATATGTGAAATTCTTTTTCATAAAAGAGCTTAAAGTTGCATAACCTGCTTTAGCCGTGCCAGACATTCCAGAGCAACATCAACAAATAAAGTCCTCAATCAATTCCAATAATTCTGAGAGAACAGCTCCAGCCAGCATGCGGTGCGCTTAGCTTAGCATAAAGACATGGAAATAAACGCCCAGCAGCTTTGTCTGAATGTGACAAAATCCAAAGGTTTTCTAATCAAGCCGTTGAACCTAATTTGAGTAACATGGAGAAAAAACAAGTGTAAATCAACATTTCATTGTGTTTACAGGAGATAATGTGATTTTTCTTTTTACTGTAATATAACATAGTCTTATGTTCAAGACTATTTCTGGCCGGTCATCTAGCAAGCCCCCAAAAATCTGTTTAAAAGAAAGTTGAACTTCTTTGTAAGGACGAAATATGAACTACTATTGTGAACCCATAATAAATGTATTTCCAACGGGAGATGTAATGTATCCGCAAAGTCAAATATGAACATAACGTTTCCTTTCATAGGCATGCAGCCACTGCTATATCTGTAGTAAGTACAGTACTTCCGGAACTGTTGGTTTGTTTAAACAGAACAGCAACTATTTACACAGCAAAAAAAACAACACACCGAACCCGTTTCATCCACTGCCTCCCTCCTCTGCAGTCAGACATCGGCCCGTTTCCACACAACCAGACGGACGGCAGCGCCTCAGCAGCGCCGGGCGAGGGAGGCACAGAAAGGTCGACCCATGCCGGGCAAAGAGCCGGAGCCGACAGGCCTTGGAGGATGGAAGACTTGGAGGGGGAGCTGGAGAGGAAGGTGGAGCTGCTCGAGAAAGAGAGAAAAGCCCTGAGGCTGGAAACGGAGCAGCAGAGGCAGGAGATCGACCGGGGCATCAATAAACTACACCACCGACTCTCAGGGCTGGAGGGAGGTCGGTATTAACATTTAGGGGAGGACAAGCAGGAGATGATGTGTAAATGGAAATATAATAGTAAGAGAGGAGGATAATGATGTGACTGTAATGAATCACTTGCAGAAAGACCCTAATGAAACATTAGAGGTAATGCATTACTCTTTAATCAAATCAGACCATGGGATTTATTTTTAATGAATAAATTATGCTAAAAAAAAACACATAAAAGTATGAAAAAGACTGTGGAATCCAAGCCCTGCATGAAGAAATATCAGATCAGATGAGGAGGTATAGTTACAGCCTCTGGGAAAGGCAGGAAATCGATGATATGAATGATTTAACCTATTTTGTTTCCATACTTTGCTGCTCTCAGGTGATTCGGGGCATTCCTTCCCGGAGGGCTACAGGCTGTCCTTCCCAACACGGACCAACTACATGTACGCTGTGGTGAAACACTCCATCCCGGCGCTGCGGACCTTCACCGCCTGCCTGTGGCTGCGGCCCGCGGAGGGAGGGATCGGGACGCCGCTGTCCTATGCTGTTTCCGAGCAAGCCAACGAACTGGTGCTGCTGCAAGGCCTGCACGCCCCCACTGAGCTCCTCATCAACGACAAGGTACTCCGCCGACGGGTCCACTGCTTGATTTGACCAATGGGATTCTTGCTGCAGCTTGTGGTTTGTACTTCAGACTTTTTAGTGATTGATATAATATGTATTGACAGGTTGGCACAATTACAAACTCCCTCCGTTGATTTTCAATTTTTTTAATTACTGTAATTATTGACTATTGACAATCATTCTTCGATTAAATGAAATACCATACGGGCACCAAGAATGCATGCATTTGGACCTGAATATATTTACTTGATCCAAACAAAGGGTAAAAACAATCTCAAACACAGAGGGCTACCTGTTGAGAACTGCAGCAGAAAAGTCTGCAGCACCATTCTGGGAGAGATGTGGGAGACTTGATGGCGATCAGTGTGCGCATTGTTTGCTTTTTACATCACCCCACTATCCCCCACTACGGCTTTCTACCAAGCTCACACACCTCTTACAGAAGAAGCCAATTCAGCAGATGAGCTAAAAAGGCTCATTCACATGCTTAATGACACATTAATGCATCACCTCGACAGCACTGCCGGGAAGTGACTGGTCTAAATTTAATGAACTCATTATGGTAATTGATGCCTCGGGGAAGTTTGGTGTCCTTGGAGGGCTTAGGATGTCTTTGGGACTTAAGGAATAATGCGAAACAGCCGAGAGGGGAAAGAGGAGAGAAATACGAGAACATAATTTGCAGCTATCAAGTGGTCTCAAATCCTGATGCGTGACAGGACGTGTTCTGAACTACCCTACTGATCTCCCCTTTTGCAAGGTGGCACAGTTGCCTCTAAACCTCTCCAGAGGCAGCTGGCAGCATATCTGTGTGAGCTGGAGCCAAAAGGGAGGCGTCTGGCAGGCCTACCAGGGGGGAAAGCTCCGGGGCGAGGGCCACGGGCTGGCCACCGGACACCACATCCGACCCGGAGGAGTGCTCATATTGGGGCAGGAGCAGGTGAGCGAGGCACTAAAGGACTAAGTGAAGGTTAAGACCTATAATCTAAAAAGCCGAGTCATTTTATACGTCTTTCCTCTCTGTGACTTCCCTCTTCTGTCTCTCCAGGACTCCGTGGGCGGAGGGTTTGACTCATCCCAGGCCCTGGTTGGGGAGTTGTCCCAGGTGGGTCTTTGGAACCGGGTCCTGTCTGCCAACCAGGTGACCAGCTTGTCCCGCTGCGGCCGAGTAACCCAGGGCAGTGTGGCCCCCTGGACCGAGAGAGGAGTTGAGGTTTTTGGCGGAGCAACCAAGGACCCGGGCGAGCCTTGCAGTAAACACCACAGGAGTTCTCAATGAGCGACGGGCCGACGGAAGGGCACAGATAGAAGGGAGGGGTAAAGTTGTAGGCCTTTCAAGAATGTGGGCCGCTGCCCACTGCTACAGGATTTCTGAAAAATCTCTATGTGGCGAGGACTGACGAGTTTATGAAAAAATGAAATTGAACGGTACGCACGGTATCTGTATGACAGAAGTACTAGAAGGTTTGCCGTTTCTTTACCACACTTTTAGTAATCGATCCCGTCGTGGAGGCCCAGTGGAAAGGAACTGGGCTCTGCTACAGATTGATGCCACATTGTTTCACCTCTGCATGATGTGTTCATATGCCGCTAATGTCTTGCCACTGCACAGTGTCTCCTGCATCCATGGCTGGCAGGTGACTGTCTATGTGTTTCTATATAAAGGCCCAAGGGGCGCTAAATAAAACAAATCATTCCCTGAGGAACCCACCACCACAAGCAGAATGTTATCATTTTTTGGAGAGGGGTGCTTAATATATATTTCTGAAAAGCCGTTGCCCCAATTTCATGTCACATGTCTGTTGCATGTTGTGTTCCTTTAATAAATACTTAACATTCAAAATATATAATGCACTCAATGTAAATTTAACATTCCTGGAAGCTGACTGTTTCATCTTTGTATTTTTATACATGCAGCCACTCAGTAACGTGGTTTGATGAATTAACAACCTGCAACCTCCAACTCTTTGAACCTTCCGACATTCCGTGCATGAGCTCTGCTGTATGTTTGTGATATGCCTTGGATGCATCTAATATGTTTCTGAAAATCCATCTTTGATCTCTTTGATGGTTATTCTTCACTGTATGATTAAAAAAATACATGTTTTTTCCAAGCATAAAAAATATCCTGACTGGAAAGTGCCTGTCCGGGTGTCTGAACCCATGTAATTAAATCCACATCCTGATGGAAAATTTGGACTGTAAGGTATTTTGAACTAATTAATCATCAATGTTTCTGTGAACTCCCTGGTGGATTTTTAAGATTTAAGAGGTTTGATCAAACGTTTCAAAACACGGGACTTCTTTGCAGTGCTGCCAAACTGATGCTAAATCAGGTCAAAGTCATCTTGCTGTGTTCAATAGTGTCTTTGATGATGCCTCTCAGTCTGCTGTGTTATTAATGAAATTATGCCTGCTATCGGTTCAGCTTGTTTGAGCTTCTTGTTTTATGCTTTTTAATAGTGTTGTGGCATTATTCTCATTATAGTTATTGGAATTGAATACTTTTTAACGCTATTGGGAATTTATTCCTTCCATGATATCAGCTTTTATTTCACTGTGTGTATTGGTATCTGTCTCTCGTTGTAATTTGTATAAGTACTGTATGTCCACGTCTCGTAGGCTGTTGTATCTGCATATTTACGTGTAAAAATCTCAAATCTTTATTAAAGTCCTACTTTTCAGATTATGTTCATAGTATGTAATATATGAGAAATTGAGGTTGATTTAGTCTTAATAAGGGGCTGTTTTATTCAGGGACACACACTTGTGATCCAAGGGCAGCCGCAACAAAACCTGCTGTGAGACCCTCGTACACCAGACATTGACAGAAATAATGACATACTCCTTTGCTCTCCACGGTCACTCTTCTCAAAGGGAAAATAAAAGAGAGTTTGAAGGAGAAACGCCTGGAGCTTTTCCCCTCAAGGTGTGAGTTACGAGTAAATTGAGGATTTGTGAATCCCATGAGTCATCAGTGAGTCAGTTGGGTCTCAGAGCAACACATCTGCATGTAAGAAATGCTAAGCTAAGCCAACTAGCTGCTATAGCCAAAGCCTCACATTCAATGGAATATATATGAGAATGCTTTCAGACATATCATCTAAATATTGCCAAGTAAGCACTCAATAGTATTCCCCAAACAGTTGGACTAACCCTTTAATGAAACTCCTACATCAAACAATAACATCTACAAGCTTTGAAAGCCTGCAGGTATATAACTGAGATGTTTAGCCATTTGTGCCAAGAGTGTGCAATCTCTATGTTTCAGTTTTGTAAACATTAAAAAAGTCATTTTCAAATCTCACTCTTATGAGTAATTCTCCCCTCGTCTCTATTATCCTTCATTCTCACCTCCCCCTCTCCTCCTACCGGGGGACTCCGGGCCCTCCTCCGCTCTCCGTCGCCTGGCTCTTTGCTCAATCTCAGCATTCCTCATGTCCCATTTCTAAGACACATATTGCACTATAGTGGACTGAAGGTTGCTGTATCAAAACAGATATTTGTAAATTGGAGAGAACAAGCACACACGAGAGATTTATAAAAACAAAATAGCTGACTGAGTGAAACAGGGATCACATCCATGCATTTATGCCTCTACACCTAAATCATGCAAGACATTTAATTTACCCATGGGCCTGTGTAGACACAACACACAACTAAGGGAAGGAAGGGCCACAGCTAACAGATGACTACAGCAAGTTTCAGCAATCCCTAATTAGAATGAGTCCATCAGTCTAACGGTTCCAGTGGATAAGACACCACTGAGTTTCTCTTTTTCAACCACTCCCCTCTTTTACTAACGGACTTACAACTTAAGTCCATCAGCGGCTCTGCTGCACGTGCCAAACAGTCCTACTCAGCTCGCCAGTGTCGCACGATTTAGATCCAAACCAAGTCAAAGTCCCGTTAATCTTGTTACCGTTTGGGTAAAGCCTGCTGCGTGTGTGAGGAACAGAATCCTTCTCGCCCTTTCAACGTTGACTTTACACACTTTACAGTTTTTATTGGGTGCAATACGAAACCGCTTTAACTACATGCTATCTAATCTCCAGTATCGTTGTGAAATCTACCTGTTGAGGTTAAAGAGGTTAAAGTGTGCTCCAATACAAGAAGGAATCAAGTTTCATGGCTCGTGTTGCGGTTTGGCAGATGTATCAGTTCACATATGCAATATGCAACAGGCTCATTTCTTTGGTGTTTGCTTCGTGTGACACCTGCTGTGGTGCTGCAGCTGTAACACAATTGCCCTGCAGACTTGTAGCCGTACACGGCCGTCTGCCGGCTGTTCATTTCTTTCTCTGCGCTCTGAGCGTTTCTAAGGCAGCAGGCGTCAAAGAGACGTAGGAGGAGGACACAAATTCACTGTGTGATTCGCTCACATGAAATCAAATCCCACCGAATATTCTTTTGGCTTTTCAGCACCTCAAAGATGCGGGAATTGGCATCCGCATTGTGTCACTGAACAGCCTGCAGCGCCGTTGGAGGATTCTCGGCTGTTGGCTGCGGCCGGCGTTTAACCCTCCGGTTGCTGTGAAACCTCTCAGGCCACCAGGACGACCACCTTCAAAACAGATCATCCACCATCGCGGGTCGGATTATCAATCCCCATCTAATCCATAATCTTCCATCTAGGAATGGGCAGATTGCAATCCCATGTAATCCAGGAAGTGGATGGACCATCAAAGGAAGGGTTTTCCCCACTAAATGATCTCTGAAAGTCCTCCGTTTATCAGTGGAAGTGCTTTCCTTGCTGTCTTTGACTGTTAAAGTGTGTGTACCTTGACAGAGGATTAGAGACCGGATGGGTTGGCTCTTCTCTGTATGGGAGACTCAAAGCTGTTCAATGAATCTCATTGGGTTTTAAAATGATTTTTCACTTGGATGTTAAACATGGTGTATTTTTCCTTTTTGTAGTAATATTTAAAAGTATTAAAAAGCCCTTTACATGTACGGGATTCTCTTCACACTGCCACGGCTTAGGTCACTGTAAAATGTCCAGAACACACAGTGATGTCACCGGGTGCTGGAGTACACCTGTACGTAAGAGCCAGGTGAGGAGAGGCACCACTGGAGGTCAGCAGAAATGAGCTTTTCAGGGGATGGTACCTACTCTTCAAACTGGTCCTCAAGAACAGCTGTCGATTGGTGATACATGTTGTTACTGGTGGTTAACAACAAGTGTGAAACTATATACTGCATCACATGTTTTTTTCTAAGAATTGCATTTCAATGAGTAAAACAGCTCCATAAAAAATCCAAAGTGCGAGTGCCTTGAATGTTTGTGGTTGAAAAAAAAGCTTTTGGCATTCCGTGGTCGTTTCTATCAAACGCCTTGGATCCACCTACTCACCACTTTCCCACTTGAACCAGAAGCAGGTAATCCGCCTACTCAACCTCCACATGGCAGCGCACCAGAATCGTTACTCTTCCTACACACAAACATACACAAATACACACACTGTCCAAAATCCCCACCGAGGCTCCATCTGGACGGGAACACGCTTTGCTCATCCTCCGTCTTTGTCTCCCACTTTGCATCTCATATCCCTGCCACCCTCCCCCGCTGATCCTCCCTGGCTTCATACAATATTATTTCAAGTGGAAGTGGGTGTCTTCGTAAAACTCCCTGGACAGAGCAAAGCTGCTCTAGAAAATTACTTGAGTGTTTTTTTTATTTTCCTCTGATTGCATTTGTGTTAAAAATGTTTGCATGACGCTAGAAAGCTTCACGTTAAAAGGGTTTATTTGGTGAAAAACAAAAATGTTAGTTTGATATCCCGTCAGACAAACCCAAAAGTTTTAGTTATTTGGTGCATTGTGGCTTTGTTTGACTTTAAAAGTAAAAAGTAATCCAGCGTTGCTGACTCACCTGACGTTGTGTAAGCCATGTTTCTCAATTAATTTCTTTTTGGACACCTTAATTCACACACATGTGCACGGCCCAAGAGTGAATAGTCATGTTTTGGGTGTCTTAACTGTAAATGAATATTTTTTTACGTTTTCATTTATTTAATAATGTTATTTTATCATTAAAGCTGAATAAGTACGGTTGCATGAAGTACCTGAAATCATGGCAGGTTTACAATACTATAAACACACCACATAACTTAACTTAAATTAATTATAAAACCTTATTTTCTAGGGTGCACATGGTTTGTTATACGACAATGAAGTTTGTATACGATTCGCTTTTAATGTCAAGATCCATCCATACATTAATTATTTATTTAATTTAACCCCTTACAGCTATGTATATTATTTCATCAAAACATTAGTTAGAATACAATTAATATATTTATTGAGCAGATAATATCTGGATCGGTTATTTATCACACTGATTTTTAGCTCAAAATCTCCCTCATTCATTTTGTCTAATTACATCTCTGTAGCATTCTGATCCTTCCTCGTCTTCCAATTCCTCTGCATACTAATTACTGAAGCATTGGACTGAGTTCAACGAAATGCTTTGGCAAGTGTGTGTGTGTGTGTGTGTGTGTGTGTGTGTGTGTGTGTGTGTGTGTGTGTGTGTGTGTGTGTAAATGTGCAAACACAGTGTGCTTGTTGTCGTTGAAGGCTGTCCATTTTTGTTTTCATTTTCTATGAAACCCAAACCCGGTTCATAGGAATTTTGGAGCGATAAAGTGTGTGTGTATTTGTGTGTGTGTCTCCAGGCAGGAGGCTGTCAATTATTTATTTTTTATCTTTATGATAAACAGTTTGGTGCTTGGAGTTGAAAATCAATCAAATTTCAGCATTTATATTCAACAGCACACCTTTTTTGTTATTCATCACCTGAGACGTTATTTTCTGCATAAACGACAACAAAAAGGAGTGAAATTGGAGAGTGAAGTAATGTGAGCGTGGGCAGGACGAAGGGAGGGAGGAGCAGCGTGGAAACGCAACTGTCAAAAGTCATTTCAATGTGCAGCTTGTGTGTCTGAGTGGAATGTTCATTAAGGTCTTTGTGTTTTGTCCTCCCAAATGTTTTGTGTGGGAGCTGTAATTGGGAAAATATATGTAACCCTCCAAGTGTTCTATGGCTGAAGTGTCTCATACTGATAAGACGTCCCCGGTCTCACGGCTGATGTGTAACTAGTTGGTTCACATGTGTTGGACGTAAGCGAGTTTCTGTTGATGCCGCCTGTAACCGGACTGAGGTATAAGAACCACTCTGCCCTGCATGTGAGAAAGAGATTTGTTCTTGGCGGTGCACTGAGCACGAAGCTGTTCCTTTGCAAGAAAACAGAGAAAGACATATTCAGAGACTTTATTCTTATTGTCTGTGTCAATCTCCCCCCACAGTGCACACGCTCGCGTCCTCTGAGGGCTTTTCAGGCAACTTGCTGAAAATCCACTTTTTGCTTGAGAGAAAGATATACAAAAGCGCACACATACACACACACACACACACACACACACACACATGTATTTTTGCTGGAAACCATAACTTGACAGAATTAAGGACTGCCCCCCTCCCCTTGTCCCATGAGCTCACTCCCCTCCAGTTTTAACACAACGCGAGGCAGGAAAATAAACGCACAACCCACGTCTTCAGACTGCCCGCATGAATAATGCATCATTGAAATCCCCCACGCAATCACCGAATAAAACGCATCAATTAGGAGTCACGAGCGCGTTCCAGCAGCGCGACACTAACAAAGCTCTCTTAGTCACTTCTAATACGTGTGATTTTCCGTCTATCGCGCAGCGCGCTGTCGTCTCACGCGGCATTAAAGGTAAGACGTAGTAAACAATCACGTCCAGCTGACGGCAGGGAGTACAAGCGAGAAAGGGATGCTGTGTCACCAACTGTGGAGACGCTTCGTTACAGACCGCCCGAGGGCCCCCGTTGGTAAGCTGCGACCTCTGACCTTTCCGTGGAACTAATCTCGCCACCATCCACGGCGGCGCTCTGACGGGAAACAAACAGCTCGTCTGTGCGTCCGTCTCGACATTTGAGTCCGATGCAATCGAATGAAACGGATGGGAAAAGAAGCACTTGCAGCGACCGTTGAGAGCAGGTGCACGGGGGGAACATCAGATTTAGTTCTAACACGGTGCAGTTTATTCCACAAAGAATATTGTTGTTTTTTTCTCTGTTTTGGATTAGGGACCTCAACTCCCAATGGCTGCCACAATAAGTCACTTAAAGGATTTTGCCGGCGGGCAAGAAAAAATAATCTGTTTTTATTTAAGCTTTACTCTGAGAGAGAGAGAAGCTGTCTGCTGAATCAGTTCAGATGCATCAACAACAGAAAGTGTGTGTTACAAACATTTGACAGGTTCTAGGTCAATAGATCAAAGTACTCCGTTCAGAGTACATCAAACGACTTGTTGACTCCCAAAGCGTTGGGCCGCGATGATGATGAGCACTTTTACCCCAGTTTTCATCCCTCCAGGAGCCTGGTGGGCGGAGTCAGGTCGGCAGGTAGTCGTAGACTCAGCTCACCTGGTTTCTCCGGAAAGACTCTGAAAGCTGCTGGTATTCAGTCGGCTTGGTTTTCATGAGTGACATTTTATCTGAATGCTCCTTTAAGTCATGTTGAATTAACATTGTTTCGGTCTCAGCTCAAGTGTGATCTCCCCTCTTCAGACGTTGTTTCACATTGGACGTCGTCTGGGGTCAGATGAAGCGTGTGGTAAACTGGCCTTTCCTGGACTGAACATACTCAAATCTCCAAACACTTTTTATAGTGGTTATAGAGTAAAGAAATGTTCTTGTGTGTGGTTTCTTGTTTTTATTGATCACATTTTGCATTTTGTTTTTTTCATTTTATGTCTATGTAAAAATAATAGAACATGGACACAAATATTTAAACATGTTGCCCTGTAGAGGAACAGCATATATGTACATGTCAGCATTTCACACTGTAAATGATCAAACTGTCATTTCAGCACATTGTACTCGAATGAATAATCTTAACACGGTGCATGTGTCTTATAGTCATGCTGAGATTTCTAGTCTTCTTTCCTGAATGCCCCACACATGAACTAATACAACACATTGCCACAGTCGATAATGAGATTATCCCACAAGCTGCCATCTTGAAATGTACGACCACGCAGAGAGAGAGAGAGAGAGATGAACACAGGGTTATGAAAGATGGACGGAGGGATGAAATTTGTGGACGATGGGAAAGATTAAAATGACTCCACAAGGAATACAATTGATTTGTTTGTGTGTGTGTGTGTGTGTGTGTGTGTGTGTGTGTGTGTGTGTGTGTGTGTGTGTGTGTGTGTGTGTGTGTGTGTTTTGTTATGCTGTGGATGTTCACAGAGGAGTCAATTCGTCCCCCGAAGATAAAATGTATTTTTCAAGCAAGTTGTCTCCTCACAGTCTCCATATCTCTCCTTTTCCTTCTCATCCCCATTTACATTTGCTCCTCTTTGTCTTTAGTTGATGCTCTCACCTTCTCCATCCCTTCTGTCTAACCCTCTTTTCCTACTCTTTCTTCTTTCTCTTTCTTCTACTTCTTTCAATTCCACCCTCTCCCCCCTCCCCCCTTCTCTCTTCCCCCTCTCTCCCCAGATGAAATATTCATGCCCATCTATACTGGGAGTGTAGAAGCAGCAAAAGCCACAGGACTCAATGCTTTCAAAGACTTCAGGCCTCTCGGGGGACGAGCGAGAGAAAGAGCGGTTGTGGGGGAGGGCGAGAGGGAGGGGGAGGAAAAACGTCCGAGGAGGTGGAGGCAGAAGAGAGCAGGTGCGGGGAAGCTGTGATGGAGCAAGAATGGAATAGGATGGGGAGGATGAGTGAAAGACTGAGGACCCCCTCCATCACATCAAACACCAGGCAACGCATGATGAAACGCTCCTCGTGCATTTCCCTCTCTCACAAGCACGCACCTGCACACACACACACACACACACACGCACACACAAAGAAAACCACAGAGATGCCTCCGGCCCTTCGAACATCACTCGGCACATAATTAAACACGTTGGTCTATTTGTATTCCACACTCGCACTTGGCCGACTCCTTCCCCACGGTGCTCGTGAGGCCGCTTGAGCCGTTTAAACATGCAGGCGGCGCAGAGACACACACACACACTGAAGACACGCGTGTGGAGAACACTTGCTCTCTAAACATTAGAGCCTCCTGGGCGCCACGTGATCGGATCGCCCTCTAATGTTGGTAGTTGTGACCTTAAATCCACTCTTTTACCCGGAGTTTGCACATCAGGGTCACCGTCCGCCCGCCTGCTGCATGAAGAGCATGCACGCTCCAATCAGGCGCCCAAATCCTGGGTTGTTTCCAAGCAACCTACATCAAGCTGCAACCGCTGCGAAGGAAAACAGGGCTTTAAAGCTTTGAAGGATGTTTTTCCGTGTTTGAATGTGAGTGTCCTTGTGTGTTTGATGCATATGTATGTGTGTGTATGGGTGTGTGTGTGTGTGTGTGTGTGTGTGTGTGTGTGTGTGTGTGTGTGTGTGTGTGTGTGTGTGTGTGTGTGTGTGTGGACTCAGCGACTCACGACTAAAATATGTCAGTGTTTGATTACCTGTGATGAGCGCAGCACACTCAGATTATGTACAGTAGGAATTTGCCTTCATTTCATCCTTCCTATTGAGCCGCTGAACCCCGAAGTGACCCCTGACCTCCCTCCACAGGAATGAACCAGTGAAGAGACAGCGAATCACAAGGTATCACATCACATGTCGCTAGTTAATCATAGTGTATAGCTCTCGTCATGCTTGAGCCATGTGTGTCGCTGTGTCCTCCACTCAGGTCTTTAGGATTACACTCCACTCTTTATTTCCCAATAGTGACTTTGATATTATCCATATTTTGGTTCAATCCTCTCACGGCCGCGCTGCCATAAATAGTCACTGAATCGTATCGGTCCACAGCTGAAAATGGTCCCCAACAAGTGCACCATTTATTCCAATTTGTGTTGTCAGGGGAGCGTGGGAGGCAGGACTCAACTGCAGAGTTTAAAGCAAAAAGACTTTAATAGTCATAAACTCCAACACAAAATGGCCAAGGGGCAAAAACGCATAAAGGTACCAGGGGGGGGTGGCAGGCAGGAACGAGAGACATCCAGGACTTTCGACAATGACCATCCGGGACAATAGACAATGACGCCACAAGTGACACAAGAGACACATGGCTTAAATACACAAGGGAGGTGCAGGTGATTGGACATGGGTGGAAACTATCAGACGATCACAGGGGATGACAAGACAAGGCAGGAAGTGAAGTTACCCGGGGACACGAGTGGCAGAAAACTACAAAATACGACAGGAAGTGAACCACACTGTGACATGTGTGACATTGGCTCTCTAAGGGGAGCCCTTAACTCTGCAGTTCCAGTTCCAAAACTGCAATATATTATGATCACGGCAAATAATTGATATAAATTGCTGTTGTTAAGCATTTCAATTTCACAAATTTGCAGGATTTTTTTTATTTATTTCTCACTTGGGACAATCAACAGCTGTTAATGAAACACTTTCTGAGGCTGCATATAATACCACAGCATACTGCCCCAGTTTCAAAAGAACACCAACCTGGTGGGACTTGCTGCAACATACATAATGCATTCTCTCTCAGAGCAAAGTTAGCTAATTAACAGAATTACATGTTTGGCTAATTAGCAGCATGCCTTTTTGATCCTCAGAGGACAGAAAGCGCTGAAAGTCGGATAAAAGGATTCAAAGTCCTAGCAGGAGAACCTATGGTTTATGATAACAACCTGGGCCACTTTAGAATTTGAATTTGTTAGTCAGCCTGTATCTCTGTGGGAACTTTAATGCAATCCAGCTCAGTGCCATCAGCAGACTATCAAAGCCATCCATCACGCAGTTTTTCAGGCATTTTTAAATGTCGGTAATCTTCCTGGGGATGTAAGACTTAGTGAGGGGTCAGTGGGGGTCCCAGGCTTTGTTTGACTAAATAAACTCCTTCATTTATTACATATTTGTATCAGTTTGTAACCGAGTGAAATCACCTACAAGCAGGGTTTAGCTATATCAAATGTGTTGAAGCACTTGTATTAGTGTTGCTTTTGGGTTTTATTATTTTATTTTGAAGGGACTGCCAGCAGTGGTACATTTTCACCCAATCTACAGCTTTAAACTAAGAGTTAAGCTTCATATCAAACATCCTCCAACTCTTGCCTTGCTAAGAATATTCCCCAAAAGGTCCAACTACTACTACTACTGGCCTTACAAACAGTTAAAGTTTATTCTCAGATCTGCTTCATTAATCGTATACCACACGTGTGCTGAGAGTACTTTTATGAGTCACTGATTCTGTGCCCCGATCACTGACCCTGCATCGATCCAGGCGGACTAAAAGATAATTTGGCACTGTATTGTGATTCCCTTCCTCTCAGCTGTGGGTCACGCCGACACAGGTCACTGCAGCCTCGGCGCGCCGGTCCTCTCACTGCTGTTTGGATTGCAGTGGCCGAATGATAGCGATCCTCCTGGCAAAGAACAGGTCAAAAAAGGGGGTAGAAATGTCACCAAACTCTGAGTATCTACCTCATTAACAGGGGAAGAGGAGCGGAATAGAGAGGGGGAGAAGAAAAAAACAAAAGAGAGAGATGTAAGTAATTCCTCCAACCTGACGGTCCACACAGGGAATTTGGGAACAGTAAGTTGTTCAATAATGTATTGATTTTCTTAATGAGCTTTCTGTCCGTCTGTCTTTCTGTCCACATACATAAATCAGTGGCGAGTTAAATCCTCCAAATGTTTGCATACTAGTGCGTTTGTTTGTGTGTGTGTGTGTGTGTGTGTGTTTGCCTTTCCTACAGGATGGGGAAAGAACAACAGCCCGCTAGTACACAGTAGTGTAGTTTATGTATAGTGAAAATGATGCAAAGTGCATGTTTGCCGTAGGGACAGCTGCATTTCAGGATTCATTGTGTTTGTATAGACAATCTTGTTGTTACCGTAACACTTGTGTTCCTACGCGTCTGATGAACTCTTCGACAGCCATGTTGAAACTGTTTTCATGGCCGTGTGGGAGCTGATGTTGTTTAGTGGGATATTAGGCTCCCATACCGGGGAGGGTTAAGCCCTGAAAACAGCAACTCATCGTTATGTTCAGCATTCGGATCCCATTGATATTTCCACTAAATAGGACATTTACAATGCATCACAATAATATATATTTTTTTGCTCTTTATTTGTTTTTTGATAGATTTTATCTACCAGTGGGATGTTCACATTTTGGGTTTTTGGTGTAATATCTTGTATCGTACGGTTTGTCATGACACGTGGTATGTCGCTGATACTGAAGAAGAAGAAACGTTAAAAGTTTGGAGTTCCCTTCACCTGATCAGACGGATCAGGGCCTCACTGATTTGGCTAAGGATATTCCTGCTAAACCTGTTAGCATCCTCGTTGTGAGCGAGTTAGCCTGCTGAAGCTCAGTCTGCTGTGTACTAAGTACTGTGCCTGGAGCCTCTTTTAAAGGTGGAACATCACCAATTGGAACCAACCTTAATACAACAGCCTTTGTCACATCAAGCCAGTATTTTTCCTCTCTTGTCCTCTCTTGTAGAAGTGTGAGTGGAGTGCAATGACCATGTTTCATCATGATCCCGTTTGAAGGCCTGGCTGAGCTCCTTGTTCCTTCAGCTGTCTAATGTCTCTCTGTTTTTGCCTCTTTCCCTCTAGCATGATCAAACCGAGCCTGGGTGGATCCACTCGCTCCATCTATCTGGGTCTGGCGTGTCTATCCCTCTCTCTCCACCTCCTTCTGGCGTTCTTTTGCCTCTCTGTCCTCCAGACAGCCTGTGTCCTTCCCACCTCCTCCCCCGCCTCCACTCCAACTAGAACAAATAGTCAGCACAGTCAGTCCATCTCCCACTCCTCCTCCTCCTCCCCTTCTTCTGCTGCATCCTCCTCACGCAAACTGCCAACGATCCCCCGCAGTGAAGAGCATCACCCGCTGAGTGCCAACACCTCCAGCGATGCCACTGGGACGCGAAAGAAACGGATCGGAGCCGGGAAGGGCCAAAGGGTCAAGAGCCTCTCCAAGCTGGAGGAGCTGTTCAAGCACCCGCTGTACAACCTGCCGCGCCCGCAGCTGCAGGACGATGATTGGCTACTGAGGCTGAAGACAAATGAACACGGGAGTGATGGAGAAAGTGAGGAAGAGGAGAGGGAAGACGCCGTCTTGGACGAGAGTCAGTGGTGAGTGAAGGAAGCAGAGGAAATAAAATCACTGCCCTGTCAACGTTTGTTGAACGAGGGTGAGGTGCAATCACGTACCGTTGTATCCATATCCGTCAATGTCCCCCATGAAAGTCAACCTGAAACCAACCCTTTGAACTTCAGCTTGGCTGAGCCTCTCGCTGACCGGCTCTGCCCATTTCTCTCCTCCTCCTCCTCCTCCTCCTCTGCTGAAGGCACAGCGCCAGCGGGCAGGAAGGCTACGACAAAGCCGCTTGGACGAGCAAGGCGGAGACCCATCCTCCCTGGCTACGGTTCCACCTGGGCATCTCCCGCTGGGAGCTGTACGACAGGAAGGATCCCATTGTGGCCCAGCTGACTCACTATTTGGCAACGCAACGTGTCCTCGGCGCTGGTGAGCAAATGGGAGGTGACAGGCTAGAGGGCGGAGGGAAGGAAACACTGAGCCAGGGGAGACGCGTTGGAGGAGGTCACAGTGAAGAAGGTTCTCTTCAATTAGTCTGTTCCTTAAAAAGGCTCTTGAGGTGTCAACCGCACATAATTGCTTCTCAATGACACACAGCATACTGAAGACATGATCTTTAGATAATAATAACCAAAACCTGCGCAACAGCTAATATGCACTTGATTTATGCATTATTACAGTACAGTTTAGATTGAAGGTGTTTACTGAAACAAGGCTGACTGAGAAGCCAGTTATTAGGTGGAAATTGGTGTCTAGTTTGCTAGAAAGCAAAAGGTTTTGGGTAATGTAACTGATAGGATCACACAGCACTTCCCTCTGTAGCTCCGCATCACACAATGCATCGATCTTTAACTTGGAAACGGATTCTTAAAACCGGGAATTTACCTTCAAGTACTCCGATTTCATTTCAATAGGATCATTTATTCATATTGACACAATTACAACGCAGGCTGCTTTCATCATTGTGACACAACAGCTTCATGCAAACAAGCTGGTGAGAGCCAGAGGCAGCGCAGGATTCCCCAAAGTGTCCACTCAGGGAAACTGTGCCAAAGTTCATATTTAGAACAGCGTAGATTACATTTTTGGAAAACAATCGTGTGAGAGGACAGACCCTTACATGCTCGTGTTGCCGCTTCTCAAAATACTTTTCGCGACTGAACCCAGCAGGATTCAGAGAACTGTTTGTTCGTTGACCTACAAATCCTTTTGGTCACAAAGTGAAAGCTTTGAGAAGGTGGAAAAGCAAACACAGAGGAGGCCTTTGTGCTTTGTTGTTTGTTTGGGCGTTCAACATTTTTTAGGGCCGAGTTTAATAAAATGTAGTTAAAGCTGGAGGATTTTTAAATAAGTTAAAACAGATACGCAAATAAGACAAAGTAGAAAATGCTTTTTTGAAAACAGATCTTATACATGCACATTCATTGTTTTTCATGGTGGGGGACTTGGGGAGGGGTTATAAATAAAATCCTCTCACAAATTGACATTATGTCAACACACACACGCAGACACCCTGACCCGACTGCTCCAGTATCACCCACAAACCAATATATGTCACACAACTTCTCCTCGACAAAGGTTCTGTGTGTTTACTCACCTCGCACACTTTGTCCCCGTCGCACCATAAACGATGCATTGAGATCTGTGTTATATGCTGCAGATTAAACACTAATCTCCGCTTCTGGCTGATTTGATGTGACTGCATCATCCTTTTTCTTCTACGGTTAATCTCAGCCCAGCGTACATACATGTTTTAAACATTTGACTTGTGAGTATTCCCTCTAATCAGACTGACGTCTGTCATGAATCAATACGAGAGGATTTGTATCTTTTGAATAATTTACTGGACTTGCTCCTACAAGCGTAGCATGACGACAACCAACGCAGTCTCTTCTTCCTGATGTCTGCAACTGTAACATTCATTCCATGGAACTCGTGCTTTCATTTGAGTCATTATCCCCGCCGGGCTGTGAGGAGGGAGGCTGAGGTGGCAGAAGCCTTTAAAACTGAATTTAAATTGAGTTGCCGAAAAGGAGTTGGAATAATTGTCCATTGAAATCCTTGAAAGATATATATAGAGGGACTGGCAGGAGTGAAACAAGTATACTGCACAGACCTGTCCTCAGATGACCCAACGTGCCTTTATCATCATCATTTATCATCTGATATTTCGGTGTGTGATGGTCGCAGAAACAATGTGCTACATGAATTCTCTTTCAGTGCAGAAGACGGGGGGCACACAGCTCAAACTGCTCATGTCGTTCCCAAACCACGGACAAGCCCTGCTGAAACCCATGAAGTAAGAGCTGATGCTGTAAACACAAACTACTGACACCGTGTTCAATGATGCCCCAACCGCTGTTACACACCACATCCCCATGAAACCCCGCTGACGTGTGTTTGTCTGTCGTCTCAGACAATCCAGAGACGCGGAGACGGACGTGAACCTCTTCTACTTCTCCGACTTTGAAAGACACAATGCAGAGATCGCCGCCTTTCACCTCGACAGGTACAGAGCTTCTGCCGCTGAAAGGAAGGACATTCTGAAAGAACTAGAGGCGACACGCAGGGCTTACACATGGGCATTCAGCAGAAATAAGAGCTATTTCTTTTAAATTTGGCACAAACGTGGGCAAAGGTTACGGACCTCATTTCCGTCTGGTCCATCGTATTGAACACAAGATCTCAGAAACGCCGTTCAAAAGTCCACCTGGACTCTGGGATGAAGCGATTTGATTTTGTAGGTAAAACGTCAATGTGGTCTTCCGTAAGAATTGATATGCTTCTTATAAGACTTGAACAACAACAGTATTAGATGATGAGCTGAAGACATTTTACAAGAAACTGCAATTTGACTGATATTTGTATATCTTTTGTTTTTCCTTTTTCCAGATTATTGGGCTTCAACAGGATCCCTCCAGTGGTTGGCCGACTCATCAATGTCACTTCCGAGGTCAGAGAGATTACATCTGACAAAAAGCTGGCTAGAACCTTCTTCACTTCCCCTGGTGTGTGTGTGCCTTCATTTAGCTTCTATTCAACATTGATCATCTTTGAGTGTGAAAATCAACAGTTTGTGAGGACTATAGCAAACAAATTCTTTTATCTTTCGTCTCTCCAGCGGGGAACGTGTGTTTTTACGGCGTGTGTGAGTACTACTGCTCGTCAGAGCACCCGGTGTGCGGCCGTCCGCATGAGCTGGAGGTCTCCCTGGCTGCCATGCTGCCCGACCTCAGCCTGGCTCCCCGCAGGTCCTGGAGGTCACCATGGAGACGCTCCTACAGTCGCAACAAGCTAGCACAGTGGGTACACTGACATTTGATACTTTTCTCATCAATACTAATTATGAGTTGTCAATACTGGCGTTAATGGTCATGTGATCACTAATGTTTGCAGAATGTGTGTTATGAAAGATTGATTTGAACGGAATATCCGACTATTCATCCGGTCGATGGGCAGGTCATTGGAAATAGTATACGTTGTAGTAGTTCTACCTTGTTGCTTGTTTGAATTTATACTTGAGATTGTGAGTCTTTACTGTTCTCTGGTGGTCTAAAGAAAGAAGTGCGGCACAACATTGAAATGGGTGCTTACAAATCTCCAGTGTAATAAATACAGGTGCATGTACGATTACTCATTTTGTGCATACTTATTACAATCAGTAAGAGGACAGTGGTTTGTTACACGCTCATGTGTAATGAAACAATGTCCATATGCACATTTGACGATGTTTAGAGGCTTAGAGAGAAGTAAAAGCTTTACCAAGCCATTTCTTCTTGTCTTCTTCTAACCTGCCCTGATGTCCCCAGGTGGCAGAAGGACCCGGCCTACTGCGACACAGTGAAACAGAAGCCTCCTTACAGCGAGGGCACCCGCCTGGTGGATCTCATAGACATGGCTGTGCTGGACTTCCTCATGAGTCAGTCTACACCTTTATTGCCCAGGTAGACGTACCTGTGATGTTGTCATGACATTTCAGTTAATTGAGGTAAATGTCTTTCATTCAAAGGCAACATGGACCGACATCACTATGAGACGTTTGAGAAATTTGGCAATGAGACTTTTCTGCTGCACCTGGATAACGGACGGGCGTAAGTACCATGAACATCCGCCACTGACCGACTGCCCTGAGCTCCGGACGTTGGTAAAGTGTGGTGGAAACAACATGTTTATAGTAAAACGCGAGCAATCTTATAATTTGTCTTGCAGATTTGGGCGTCACTCTCAGGACGAGCCGTCCATTCTTGTTCCTTTGCAACAGTGTTGCAGGTAAAAAACAAACTTAAAACAAACATTTAAGGATAATGGAAAATCAATAGTGAGACGCTTGAGTAGCCCTCATTCGAAGTTGCAAAGTGTCAAACGGAACTGATTTGTGTCTAGAATTAGACACACACACACACACACACACACACACACACACACACATGCACACACACAATTAAAGTCCCCAGACAGGATGATCAGCAACCCTTTTCACAGCGCTCTTCGATATTTCTTTAAAATTTTGCTCTCCATCCACCTTTCTAGGATTCGTCGCACCACCCTGCTACGCCTGCGCATCTTGTCCCTCCCGGCCTTCCGTCTGAGTGACGTCATGCGGGAGTCGCTGCTCAGTGACCCCCTGGCCGCCGTGGCCCCCGTCCTCTCCGAACCCCACCTGTCTGCTTTGGACCGACGCCTCGCAGCCGTCCTGCAGGTGGTGGAGGCCTGCGAGCAACACCACGATGACGTCATTTACGACGACTGGGAAGGATGAGATGGGGGGGGGCAAGGAGGGGTTACACAATAAAGGATCATTCTGTACTCATGCAATCTGCTTGGGATTTTTTTCACATTCTAGTTCTCAAGTTCTCAGTAGGTGTGACTGTGAGCATGTGGTATGTTTCTTCTATCGTCTTCAAACTACTAGATGAGGTTGGATTAAAGCGTATCAAATCACTTTGTGTGACTCCCACCTGTTGTCATGAGCATTAGGCATTAGACCACAATGTCAAGTTTTACCCTGTGCTCCTATTTAAGGTGGTGCAGTTTTCCCACTTGAAAGGGAACTGAGATTTCATTTGATTTCACTCAAACCCTTTGATACGTTTACGAAAAACGAGAAAACTGTTTTCGTTTTATGGTTTTTAGGTAAAAGGGACTATGAAAAAGTTACACGGACCCCGCTGAATCCTGTCTGTCAGCTGTTCGTTCTCTTCTCACCTCTGAGGTCCTACCGGGAAATAGCTCCACCCCCTTACCTTTTACCCGGGTTCCCTCCCATCAATTCACCTACCGTTGCTCTCCATACGCAATATATAAACTTCATTTTCAGCGTGTGAGTAAACAATGACTCAAAACTGGATGCTGCCACCGACCGGAGCTGCGGTTTACCGGCGCAATAAGTAACTTTCACTTTCCAAACGTCACCGACGGAGAAGCGGCGGGTCAGAACATCTGACGAAAGGAGGGAACGGTGAATCCAGTTGAGGCCCTTTCTCTATATGCGCAAACAGATGATGTTTAGGTACATTTCAATTTTAATTAATCGTGTTGTTTATTTTTTCAACTGGACAGGGACACCACACTGATTATCGTCCTCTTGGGGTTTGAGTAACAAGAAGACAAACCTAGGTGTGTATATGGAATGTACCCCTATCGACTAAAATATTTATTCATTATCGTTGCTATATCAAATCATCTATTCTACATACTTTATGAAACCTTTACAAAGCCTATGCAGTGTAATGTAATGCCCTGAATTAAAAGTTACGTTTTGTGTGTTTCATCCATTGAGATATTTTGACAAATTGTCTGATATAACAATTTTTTTGTATTTTCAATGAAAACGAAACAATATTAAAAACTGTAGAAAACAATAGAACTGTTTTTAAATTCATAAGCAAGATGTGACGTGGTGACGTCATTATGACGGTTTTTGTCCAGTTGCGGAAATGACCCCCCCCCCCCCCCCGCCCTGTTTATTTTACGCAGTCGAGCACGGAAGAACCTCCGATTCTTTTTTAATCTACAACCAGAACCTTAATATTGGCCATTTTTGATATTTTACGCAAAGCTGAATCTCTGCGCGCAAAATCCGCAAATGGAGCCTGTCTCACGTTGGATTTAACGTCCACCAAGAACGAATGTTTCTGTGGAACCACACATGGACCCGATGGACTGGCTGGAGAACCACGAACTCTTGCGGTTTTTCCGCCGTCATAAAACCGAAATGTCTTGCATGGAGAAGCCGCGCACGTTCCTCTGCCAGCTCAGGGATCACGACCTGGTCCCTGAGGACCGATACAAGGTGAGCTACCGAGGTGGAGACCTTTCTCCTCATTTGTTACTACATGGACCACCTTAAATGGACGTGTTTGTGTGGAAAAGTGTCTCAAACTTACCATATAGACGCTCTGACTGTCATTTACAATACATTGTTTTATATTTACATTACCAAAGGGCTCTCCGCTCCGCTGCTGCGAGCGCCACACGGACTTATTCGCAACACTGCAACATAAAGCAGTTACAATTACTGAAATTGAAATGAGTTCGTTACTCGCGTTACTTACATATAGTATGTAAATAGCTGTGGCCACCAAACGTTGTGTGTCACAGAATAGTCGCCGTACGTGCACGTAAACAGCATCGCGTCGCTCATGACGAAAGAGCGCAGCCCCGCGGATGCTGCAGGCGCCGCTCCACGCAAACAACCAGGGCTCCACTTCACACGGACTGCAGTGCAGCCGATGAACCGGGCAGAGCTGAATAGATTGATCGCTCGCTATGTTGAAGATGAGATGCATCCTGTCAACTGTCGAGTCAGTTGCCTTCAGGCAAATGCCTGAAACTAATTACTTTTGATACACAGTAACTGGTAGTAATTCAATTACCTTTAAAAGAAGTAACTGTAACGAAATACTCATTTTCAGTAACTTGCCCAACACTGGTTATAACATTGGTTTGCTACAAACTTGTGCAGAATTATTAATCCCTACTGTTCTCTATGCTTTTGTATGTTTGCAGAAGGTGAGCTGCATGAGGAGTAAAGACAACATGAGGAAAGGTCTCTATGAAATTCTGGACTGGTTTGAGAGAGAGCGATCACAGAAGGTCAGAGAGTTCTGGAGCTGCGTGTTCAAGGACTCCATCCTGAACCAGTATCCCACGCTGCGACTGCTGCGCAACAGCCTCATGGACGGTCAGTCTTTTTTATGGTCACAGAGGGGGTCAATCACTGGGATTCTGAGTTCCTGTGCTTACTCTGTCACGTTTGTCCATAAATCCCTGGGAACACATTTACATTTTAGGGTCTTTCCATTTTGACATATCAGAGAAGGTGGGGAAGGAAGAGTCAGACAAAGGGAAACGGAAGGCCCTCTCAGATAGTGAGAAGGAAGAGGAGGAAGAGGAGGAGCAAGAAAAGTCTGTGACCAAGAAGAGAAAACTAAGAAGTAGGAGCGTGTGTCGCAACGACAACGAGGAGGAGCCGGCCGGTCCATCGTCTCAGTTGACTCCCAGGAAAAGGTCCAAGAAATTATGCTTCTGTAAGTCATCCCCCCAACTTTCCTCTTACCTTTGTAGACATGGTCGGTTGTTGAACGCTTGACTGCTGATTAAGTGCACCGCTACAAAAAAGACCTGGACGAGCTAGACAGGGTTTCGTCAAGCAGCAAAGAAAGTTCCCCAGCTGTCCCAGGTGCTTGTCTCTAGGGTTGCTCAAGGCTCTATCACATGCTTGTCTTTACTCTAAATGGCCCTCAAAGTGCATCCTATCACAGTGTCACCACAGCAATGGTGATGTTAAACACACTTCCCTTGTGTGCCCACTGTAGACGAGGAAAGAGAGGAACGGGCTGAGCAGCAGCCACAAGCCGGCCATGACAAGAGGATGTTCAAAGTCACATGTGGAGCTTCAGACGGGACCTTGTACAAGAAACGATTTGCGTCAGGTCGCTAATTCTCACTGTGCAGGTATGGCAAAACTTGTGTAACGAAAGGGGCACTAACCAGCGCACACTTGGTCTGACCACCAGGGACTCGTGGGAAGAGTATTCGCACTGAGACGAGCTGGATGACCCCGGTGGAGTTCCTGGAGTTGGCACTTGGTCGGAAGGATGCCTCTTGGAAGAAAGACATTGAATGTGAAGGGAAGCCACTCTTTGTCCTCATAAAGGTGAACTTGATCAGGGTGCCGTGTCTGTCCCGATAAGTCCAGGGACAGGAGACAGGGAGGACTCAAGCGCAGACTTCCAAAAATCAAAGTACTTTATTTAAAGTAGAATACAAAATGTCTAAGGGCAAACAGGGACCAGGACAACCAAGAAAAGAGCTAAACTACGAGACAAAGAGGACAACTCTGTGGATCTGTCTATTTCAGGCCAAGACCCTGAGGATCCACTCTCTGCTGTGTAATTGCAGCCTGTGCAAACCAGATGACGAAGACCAGGTGAGTTTGTTCATCAGACAGTGTCCTCATTCTGCACCGTCCTTCATTAAACAACACGATGGCCGTGTCATCAGTGACATTAAATAGTCCCACTTCTCTCACGATGAGATACGGCACAACAAGAAACCCTTTTCTGTCGGATGCATATAACATGTAACTGTGTAATTGGCCGTGCCGTCATGTTTGTCTTGGCAGAGGAATCAGAAAAACGATGATGAGTGTTGCATCTGTAGGGGGGAGGGAGACCTGGTGATGTGTGATAACTGCCCTCGCTCCTTCCCCAGACATGTCACCTGCCTCATGTAGAGACGGCCTTCTACGGTGAGCTTTGATCACACTGGAGTGAAGACAACCGCAACATTGAAATATAGATCTGTTCCTTTGTCAGTGAGATTATTTTCGTCTGGTGAAAGAAATATGAAGACGGATCAATTTTCTGTTAAAGGTTGAAAATACATTGTGTGTGTGTTTGTGTGTGTGTGAGCAGGGACAACAGTCCGTGCTTTTGTACGTTCTGCGTATTCCGATCCAATGAACACTATTTTGGTTCGGAGGAGCTGGAAAGCGCTCTGTCGTACAACATATCCCAACGCATGTTGGTGAGTGAACCGTGCGCCTCTGTCTTTATGGCATGATGAAAAGAAGCTTTATTCATGTGCATGTACACACCAAAGTCAGATTCTGTGCATGTGTAAACACTGACTGCCTATGAAGCTGAGCCCCTTTCCTCACATCAACAGCAGTGTCAGTGTCTCCTTCTGTGTCTGTGGAGTGCTGATGAGGAACAAATATTTGCTGCAAACCCATGCCGCTATGTAAGTCACCTTCTCTGCACTAGTCAGCTGCCTCGCCATTCGTGACTAACAATGACGATTTATTAAAATGCTTTTAAATTGCAATTAATTGTCTGATTAATGGAGGACTCACGCCACAGGTCAGTCTGCGTCAGAGGTGTCAAGTAAATATGTACAAATACTTTGTTACCTTACTTAAGTAGACATGTGAGGTATCTATACTGTACTGAAGTATTTATTTTTCATACTTAATCACGAACAAGCTTAAGATACTTTTGATTTTTCTCAAGGATATTATCCGATCTACCGCAACTGGTATGGCTCCATACCTTGTAACCCTTCCGTCTATATAAAGAATATTCTCGCTGAAGTAAAATCAAACATTCGGTCCATTATGAAACGAGGCACACAGCAGCTCAGTTGTCACGTGCTTCTCAAAGAGCGTTGATGACCGCATTCATTTTCTTCTTTTCACCCTCAGTTGATCGACTACTCCGATGTGATCGAGACTCCGATGTGGTTCGGTCACATAGCAGGAAAACTCCAGAAGACACTCTACCAGACCGTTGGAGAGTTTGTGACTGACGTCCGGCTCATTTTCTCCAACTGTGCTTTGTACAACCGGGTAAGAAACAGTCAGTAAAAACCCTTTAGACAGCATGCAGGGTAAAGAGGTTGCATTACGTTTTTACATGTGGTGCTATAACATGATATGGTACATTTATGACATGGTTATGTTCTTTTTCAGGAAAATTCTGAAGTTCTCGTCAAGGGCAACAGACTGAAGGAGTTATTTGACAGAAAATTTAAGAGTGTGTTCAACATAAAATAAATAGGCTGTTGGCGCCGTGTTCTGGTGTCAAGTTACGCCCGTGTAAAGGTTGAGAATATTCAAACATGCCTGTGCAATATATATATATATATATATATATATATATACATATATATATATATATATATGTATATATATATATATACTATGTGGTTGCAATATCTCAAAATACAATATCTCAAAATACATTATGGAAAGAAAAGTGTTTAACCGCACATTTTTAAAACAACAAAAATGGACCACCAGTTTTAAAATGGAGGCATTTAATCTCAGTGTACATTTCTAAACGTTTGCACTATTTTCTTGTGTGTAACTCTCAACATTTTTTATCCCTTTTTTAAAATAGTTTTACACCACTTGTGATGAGGGTTTTCAAAATGAATGAATGGATTGTTAAATTGTGAAGTCTGTTTGTCTGGCAACAGTGTCACCGCAAAGCCTTTTTAAGTGCAATTAATGTTCTAATTTCTACTTTCTGTCTTGATCGATGTGTTGCTTGCTTGGGGATGTATGTTTTTAAAATAAAATCTTTAATGGCATCAACCAACGCAGTCTCTTCTTCCTGATGCCTGCAACATTCATTTCAAAGAACTGCTTTCATTTGAGTGACATGGCTGTGCTGGACTTCCTCGTAAGTCAGTATACACCTTTTATTGGCCAGCTAGACGTAGCCTACTTATGATGTTGTCATGACATTTCAGTTAATTGAGGTAAATGTCTTTCATTCAAAAACAACATGGACAGACATCACTATAATGGACTGCCCTGAGCTCAGGATGTTGGTGAAGTAAGGTGGAAACAACATGTTTATAGTGAATCGTGTAAAGTTGAATGAATTATATCGATCTTACATTTGTCTTCCAGATTTGGGCGTCATTCTCAGAACAAGCCATCTATTGTTCCTTTGCAACAGTGTTGCAGGTAAAAAAAAGTATCTTAAAACAGCCCATCAATGAGATTGGCACACTTTAAATTAAGGATAAGGGTGTGAGGTCGCAACCCCAGAGTGGCGGCAGGAGGCCGCAAGGGGGCGCCGAAGAACGCGTCCTCCGGAGCCAATCCCCAGAATTCTAAACACCTGCGAGGGAGGACGCGTCCTCCTCCGGAGTCAATCATCGGAATTCGGAACACCCACGAGAGAGGAGACCTATAAGAGCATATGATGGGGTGTAGGAGGGAAGAGGTAGTGTGGAGTAGATTAAGGCATGGGCACACAGGGTTGAATGGCACGCTGAGAGTGGTGGCAAAACATGACACAGGTTTGTGTGATAGATGCGAGGTGGTGGAAACGGTTGAGCATGTACTCAAGGACCTGACAGTCAACTTTGGGAACTCCGTACTAACGGCCACTTTGACCGCTAAGAACCTCGGCGTCACACTCGACAGCCAACTCTCCCTGACTCCCAACATCGCCGCGACAACGCGATCCTGCAGATACACGCTCTACAACATCAGGAGAATACGTCCCCTTCTCACTCAGAAGGCAGCGCAGGTACTGATTCAGGCTCTTGTCATCTCACGCCTGGACTACTGCAACTCCCTCCTGGCTGGTCTCCCTGCCCCCGCCATTCGACCTCTGCAGCTCATTCAGAATGTAGCAGCTCGACTGGTCTTCAACCTTCCGAAATTCTCCCACACTACTCCACTCCTCCGCTCTCTTCACTGGCTACCGGTGGCCGCCCGCATCCAGTTCAAAACATTGGTGCTCACGTACCATGCTGTGAATGGATCGGGTCCAGCTTTCATCCAGGACATGGTCAAACCCTACATCCCAACCCGCACTCTCCGCTCTGCATCTGCAAAACTACTCGTCCCTCCCTCACTGAGAGCAAAACACTCGACTAGGTCTCGACTCTTCGCTGTCCTTGCACCGAAATGGTGGAACGAGCTCTCTGAAGACATCAGGACCGCAGAGAGCCTTTACATCTTCCGCCGCAAACTAAAGACACACCTCTTCAGACTCTACCTCGACTAAAGACTAACAAATTGTAGCACTTAAATTGTACTTGTAACGTCACTCATCTATAGCAAATTGTAAATTGGCTTATTTGAGGAAATTGCACTTTCTTGTTTCTTGTTCTCCTGAGTTTGTACCCTATGGTTGAATGCACTTATTGTACGTCGCTTTGGATAAAAGCGTCAGCTAAATGTAATGTAATGTATGGTCAGGGAGACGAAGCTGGGACTTTGGTGGGGTGCTTGGGGGTGGAAAAGGGAAGGAGGCAGTAATGAAGGCAGTATTTCTTTTTCTCAGGAACACGGGGCTTTACAGCAGGATATAGAAGGGAGGCTGTGACCGGCCTCACACTCCAGTGCAGTAGGTGGCGGTATATGCACCTTTAAGTTGGTTGCGATCTGCCAGTAAATGAAGAGCACAGTGTGAGGTATTGCAAGTACGCTTCTCTGCCTGTATTCCTGTAGAAACAGTGAGCTTCCGCCTTCCCTCGACTACACACCTGCCTACTCCCTGGATCAGATCTGTCTCTTGCCTTCCCGTGTCACCGAACCACTGCCTTATCCTGTAAGACTACAGCTGCCTGTCGTCCCAAATAAACATTGAGGGCTCTTGGGTCTAAGTCTATCTCCTGAGTCCATTCATTACAGAATACCTCACCGTATTCATATGGACCCAGCGGAGCTCCAACATCGACTCACCCAGCAGGAGGAACGGGTTGAAGAGCTATGCCAGCTCCTACGCCAGTCCGCCACACCGGCGGTCCAACCCGCAGTTCCTTTTGCCTCAGCCGGAACCGCCCCGATGGCTATGCCGGACAAATATGACGGCTCCCCAGGCAAATGCCTGGGGTTCGTCATGCAATGCAGAATGCATGTCGCCCACCACTCTGTGAACTGCCGTACGGAGAAGGATAGTCTACTTCGTCATCTCCCTGTTAACCGGAAGACCCCTCGATTGGGCCACGGCCCTCTGTTCAGCGGGAGCCCCAGAGCTTCTGTCCGAGCATCACTTCCAAGCACAATTTAAGGATGTGTTTGACCACCTCGTCACCGGGAAGACCACAGGGCATTTGCTGTGCGAAATCAGGGGTCGCAGACGGTGTCGGACTACGCCCTGAGGTTCCGGACCCTCGCCGCTGGCAGCGGGTGGAGTGACACCGCACCCCTGACCATCTACCGCCGCGGTCTCCATCCCGAACTCCAGACCGAACTAGCATGCCGAGGGGATGTCACCGAGCTCGGCGACTACATCGGGGTGTCCATCAACGTGGGCCACCTCCTCGGGTCCCGACGATCTCAGCAGACCCGGTTTACAGCAAGGTTCACACCCCCGGTAACACCTCCTCCGACCGACGCGGGACAGGAGCCGATGCAGTTAGGGCGCCTGCCGGAGGACATCACCCTACGGGTCGGAGCGTTACATGAGGAGGACATAAGTTTCTTCATTGTGTCATCTCCCCGGGAACCACTGATCCTAGGACACCCGTGGCTGGTGCTTCACGACCCGGTGATTTCGTGGCGACAAGGGGTGTGCATTGAACGCCATCACAGTGAAGAACCAGTTTCCCCTGCCACTCATCCCGGCAGCTTTGGAACAGGTAGGAGGAGCACGCATCTACACCAAACTCTATCTCCGTAGCGCGTACAACTTGGTGCGCATCCAGGAGGGCGATTAATGGAAAACGGTGTTCCTCACGGCAAGGGGGCACTAAGAGTATCTGGTGATGCCCTGCGGGCTCACCAACGACACCTGCAGTGTTCCAGGCATTAATGAATGAACTCTTGCATGATATGATAAATCGCTTCCTCATTGTGTACATTGACGATCTCCTCATATATTTCCACAGTATGGAAGAACACGTCCAGCAGGTGCGTTTAGTGCTCCAGCGTCTGCAGGCCAACCGGCTCTACGTAAACGCGGAGAAAAGCCTGTTCCATGTCTAAACGCTCACCTTCCTAGGATACGTGCTGTCACCAGGAGGGGTCGCCATGGACCAGGCGAAGGTTGACGCGGTGTGCAACTGGCCCACACCCAACACGGTAAAGGACCTCCAACGATTCCTGGGGTTCTCCAACTAGTATAGAAGCTTTATCCGGAACTTTGCAGCAATGGTTGCCCCCCTTACTGCCCTTACGAGCCAGAAGAAAGGCAATCTTCCATGGTCCACCCGTCTCCAGTTGCTCGGACGTCAGGAGCTGGCCGTGGAGAAGGGGGCTCTCTGAGGTCGCAACCCCAGAGTGGCGGCAGGAGGCCGTAAGGGGGCGCCGAAGAACGCGTCCTCCGGAGCCAATCACCAGAATTCTAAACACCTGTGAGGGCGGACGCGTCCTCTGGAGCCAATCACCTGGAATTTGGGAACACCCACGAAAGAGACCTATAAGAGCAGACTGACGCAGCGAGCACAGTGTGAGGTATTGCAAGTACGCTTCTCTGTTGAACCCCTTTGTTTCTCTGCCGGTATTCCTGTATAAACGGTGAGCTTCCGTGAATCAACCTTCCGCCTTCCCTCGACTACGAACCTGCCTACTCCCTGGATCAGATCCGTCTCTTGCCTTCCCGTGTCTCCGAACCACTGCCTGTCCCCAGATTCTCCGTACTGCCTTATCCCGTGAGACTACAGCTGCCTGTCGTCCCAAATAAACATTGAGAGCTCTTGGTTCTATCTCCTGAGTCCATTCATTACAAAGGGAAATCAATAGTAAAACACTTGAGTAGTCTTCATTAAAGTTGATAAAGTGTTAAACAGAAGTGAGAACTTGACTAGAAACGCACAAATATACACACACACACACACACAATTAAAGTCCCCAGACAGGATGATCAGCAACCCTTTTCACAGCGCTCTTCGATATTTCTTTTAAATTTTGCTCTCCATCTACCTTTCTAGAATTCGTCGCACCACCCTACTACGCCTGCGCCTCTTGTCCCTTCCGTCTGAGTGACGTCATGCAGGAGTCGCTGCAGTGACCCCCTGGCCGCCGTGGCCCCCGTCCTCTCCGAACCCCACCTGTCTGCTTTTGACCGGCCCCTCGCAGCCGTCCTGCAGTTGGTGGAGGTCTGCGAGCAACACCACGATGACGTTATTAACGACGACTGGGAAGGATGAGATGGGGGGGGGGGCAAGAAGGGGTTATGTGGTGAGCATGTGGTATGTCTCTTCTACGCTCTTTAAACTACTAATGAGGTTGGATTAAAGCGTATCAAATGACTGTGTGACTCCCACCTGTTCTTATGAGCATTATATATTCTTTTGTAATATGTAATTGATGTAATGTAATTGAAAATAAAAAGGCCAAAACACAACGGTGACTCTGCAGTGGAGGATGCCCCCTGCTGCCACCGACCGGAGCTGCGATTTAGCGACGCAAAAAGTAACTTTCACTTTCCAAACGTCACCGACGGAGAAGCGGCGGGACCAAACATCTGACGAAAGGAGGAAACGAGAAAAAACAGGCGGATGAATCCAGTTGAGGCGCTTTCTCATTACGCGTACTTGTATGTAGTCGTGGACTCGTGAGACGTCATCAGCCGCTGCCTAAGTACTGGTCCCATTATAAACCCGACCCGTTTTGTTGTTGTTCCAATTGCGGAAATGACCGTTCCACATTTTTTGTATTTTACCTAGTCGAGCATTTTTTGTTGAATCTACTGCCTGTGATTTACCCACAGAACGAGGAAGTTAATGTTGCCCATTTTTAATCTCCCAATTCCTTTGAGGACATTTTACGCAAAGCTGAATCTCTGCGCGCTGAATCCGAAAATGGAGCCTGTCTCACGTTTGCTTTAACGTCCACCAAGCATGAATGTTTCTGCAGAGTGGAACCACACATGGACCCGATGGACTGGCTGGAGAACCACGAACTCTTGCGGTTTTTCCGCCGTCATAAAACCGAAATGTCTTGCATGGAGAAGCCGCACACGTTCCTCCGCCAGCTCAGGGATCACGACCTGGTCCCTGAGGACCGATACAAGGTGAGCTACCGAGGTGGAGACCTTTCTCCTCATTTGTTACTACATGGACCACTTTAAATGGGCTTTTATTTCCTCTACTGAACGTGTTTGTGTGGAAAAGTGGCTCAAACTAACGATATAGACGCTCTGCTTGTTGTTACGGTGTGTAACTCATTTACAATACATTGTTTTATATTTACATTACCAAAAGGACACAATATATGAATTTCACATTCTTGTTGAAGTACTTTAGTAAACACAGTGTCCATTACTGTGAAAAGGTTGCTACAGTGAATCTGTTTCACTAAATGGTCCAGTATTTTTTCTAAATTGTGCATTTGTCCAAAAGGGTCTATTACCCTTTTCATTTTTTTTCGAGATGATGGAATGGAATATTGAAACATGAATCAAAGAAGTTTGTATTTTAATTTTTGGTGAATTAATTGTTAAAATGATGGTGATTAATCAGGAATCAGGAAAAATGTATTGCCATATTATGTTAGACATACAAGGAATTTGACTTGGCGGTTGGTGCGTAACAGTAGACAGTAGGACAATGGACCACAACGGTGCACAAGTAATAAAATAAAATATAATGCTATGGGTTAGTAGTATAAGGCTATGGGTTAGTTTAAAATAAATGAGTAAAAGTTAAAGTTAAAAAATAAAGTGCACCAGCGAACAGGAAGTGACGAGTGAAAAGTGACAAGGGAAAGTGACATGTGCAGTATGGAAGAAAGTGACCGGTGGAATGTTATATGTCAGTCAGTGGGGGACCGGGCTCTGTTGATGAGCCTGACTGCCGAGAGGAAGAAACTGTTCGTGTGGCGGGAGGTCTTAGTCCTGATGGACACAAACAGTTTTTGGGGTGAGAGGGGTCGGCTACCATCTTTTTAGCTCGCTTCAGAGAACTGGAAGCGAACAAGTCCTGCAGGGACGGCAGATTGCAGCCGATCACCCTCTCTGCAGAGCGGATGACACGCTGCAGCCTGCCCTTGTCCTTGGCTTGCTGCAGCGTACCAGACAGTGATGGAGGAGCAGAGGATGGACTCGATGATGGCCGTGTAAAAGTGCAGCATCATCGTCTTTGGCAGGTTGAATTTCTTCAGCTGCCTCAGGAAGAACAACCTCTGCTCAGTGATTAATGCCTACAACACACAGATATATTACTCTACTTGGGATGACCCTAAATTACCATGTAAGACTTTGCATTCACCTTCTTTACAATGGAGAAGTCCTAAAACTCACAAAGTCTTATCTCACAGAATAGAAAGGTTCTAATCACTATGCACAGAATTAAGTGCACATTGGACACAGCAGGGGGAAGAAAGGAAATGGGAGACATGCCGTGTCTCTATAACTAAACCATTTCTTTATAATAGATGAGGGTCTGTTATAACATTGGTTTGCTACAAACTTGTGAAGAATTATTAATCCCTACTGTTCTCTATGCTTTTGTATGTTTGCAGAAGGTGAGCTGCATGAGGAGTAAAGACAACATGAGGGATGGTCTCTATGAAATTCTGGACTGGTTTGAGAGAGAGCGATCACAGAAGGTCAGAGAGTTCTGGAGCTGCGTGTTCAAGGACTCCATCCTGAACCAGTATCCCACGCTGCGACTGCTGCGCAACAGCCTCATGGACGGTCAGTCTTTTTTATGGTCACAGAGGGGGTCAATCACTGGGATTCTGAGTTCCTGTGCTTACTCTGTCACGTTTGTCCATAAATCCCTGTGAACACATTTACATTTTAGGGTCTTTCCATTTTGACATATCAGAGAAGGTGGGGAAGGAAGAGTCAGACAAAGGGAAACGGAAGGCCCTCTCAGATAGTGAGAAGGAAGAGGAGGAAGAGGAGGAGCAAGAAAAGTCTGTGACCAAGAAGAGAAAACTAGGAAGTAGGAGCGTGTGTCGCAACGACAACGAGGAGGAGCCGGCCGGTCCATCGTCTCAGTTGACTCCCAGGAAAAGGTCCAAGAAATTATGCTTCTGTAAGTCATCCCCCCAACTTACTTCTTACCTTTGTAGACATGGTCGGTTGTTGAACGTTTGACTGCTGATGAAGTGCAGCGCTACACAAAATGTCTTCCTGGTTTGCAGCCACTCCACGGAAGAAGGGAGAGGAGAACAACATTTGGAGCTGGCCCATCTATAAGCTCCAGCTGCCTGTGACCTGTGGAGACCGTAAGGGCACACTGGTCAGACAAAGACTGGCTAAAGGTAAAAGAGTCAATGACCGAAGTATCTGCTTATGAAAAATAAATACTCTAATCATTGTCTTCTAGAAAATAGGAAAAAAAGGAATTAGGCCGAGGCAGAAACTGGTTGACATGAACACGTTCCCCATCCTTTGAACGTTTCAGGGAAAAAGTGCATCGTAGTCGAGAAACAGTGGTTCAGTCCCCCTGAATTCAAGCTTTTTGCGGGAAAGAAGAGTTCCAGGAAATGGAAGTCAAGCATTCGATGTATTGAAACCCCGCTGGGAAAACTTATACAGGTTTGTTGAAAAGTGAATAAACACAGAGACTTGCTTTCCTTCAACATGTGCAATGTTACATCCTTTTGTTTTCACATTTATTTTGGTTTTTCTTTTTTGTTTCTTTTGCTTCACTGCAGGAAGGTCATTTACAAGCAGCAAAGTACAAAAGAGACCCTAAAAAAGTAAGAACAAAAACTGAAATCACAGATATACTCCGACTCTGTAACATCTCCTTGTTGCTAGTGGTCCTGATCTGAGCCATGTCCTTGTTGTCTTCTCATTCTTCCTGCTAGGCCGAGAAGTCACTGTTCCCATCTGGTGATGTAACCATAGGTTTGTTGTATTAGTGCGCTGATACACTAAGACAGAGCGACTTCACCGCTGATGTGAGTGAAAAAACAACATCCTCCTCCCCTTTGTTAGTGTCCAGCAGAGATGAAGAGGAAGAGGAGGACCGAGACCTGGACGAGCTAGACAGGGTTTCGTCAAGCAGCAAAGAAAGTTCCCCAGCTGTCCCAGGTGCTTGTCTCTAGGGTTGCTCAAGGCTCTATCACATGCTTGTCTTTACTCTAAATGGCCCTCAAAGTGCATCCTATCACAGTGTCACCACAGCAATGGTGATGTTAAACACACTTCCCTTGTGTGCCCACTGTAGACGAGGAAAGAGAGGAACGGGCTGAGCAGCAGCCACAAGCCAGCCATGACAAGAGGATGTTCAGAGTCACATGTGGAGCTTCAGACGGGACCTTCTATAAGAATCGATTTGTGTCAGGTCGCTAATTCTCACTGTGCAGGTATGGCAAAACTTGTGTAACGAAAGGGGCACTAACCAGCGCACACTTGGTCTGACCACCAGGGACTCGTGGGAAGAGTATTCGCACTGAGACGAGCTGGATGACCCCGGTGGAGTTCCTGGAGTTGGCACTTGGTCGGAAGGATGCCTCTTGGAAGAAAGACATTGAATGTGAAGGGAAGCCACTCTTTGTCCTCATAAAGGTGAACTTGATCAGGGTGCCGTGTCTGTCCCGATAAGTCCAGGGACAGGAGACAGGGAGGACTCAAGCGCAGACTTCCAAAAATCAAAGTACTTTATTTAAAGTAGAATACAAAATGTCTAAGCAATGACCAAGACAACCAAAAAGACCAACTCCCAACAAGGAGACAATCAAGGACACGGCAGACAATCACACCTGGGAAAATACACTAAGGCCACGCAGGAAACTACAGAATAAAACTGAGAGAGACAGTTGTAATTCTTAACGTTTCAGTCCTGGTTGATATGTTGGCAGCTGTGGTTACCATGGTAACAGCAAAGGCAGTTTAATACTAGTGGAAATATTAGATTGCTCATTGAGCATTGGCTTAACGCAGTTCTCAGACATTGACAATTCAGTGCTGGAATGGCGGACTCTTCCACTAATGATTAAAATTCCACATCGAGAGACAATTATAGTATTTTGCTGCATCAAATGTCTATTGTAGAAACAAATCTCACCATTAATCTTGTCAAATTGAATTTGATGTAGGGAATATTTTGAGGTTTGAACTTTAATGTGAATTTTGTTATTCAGTCAGTTACTCACACTTTCAAGATCATGTGCACACATTCACCAAATGTACTTTAATGTGAGCCAACATCACCTCCAAAGGCTTTCCATGCGCTGAAAGAATGGCAGTTCTAGAAGGATCTGATAACAATAGACTGCAGAAAGAGTAACCCCCCCTGTCTATTTCAGGCGGAGACCCTGACGATCCACTCTCTGCTGTGTAATTGCAACCTGTGCAAACCAGATGACGAAGACCAGGTGAGTTTGTTCATCAGACAGTGTCCTCATTCTGCACCGTCCTTCATAAAACAACACGATGGCCGTGTCTTCAGTGACATTAAATAGTCCCACTTCTCTCACGATGAGATACGGCACAACAAGAAACCCTTTTCTGTCGGATGCATATAACATGTAACTGTGTAATCGGCCGTGCCGTCATGTTTGTCTTGGCAGGGGAATCAGAAAAACGATGATGAGTGTTGCATCTGTAGGAGGGAGGGAGACCTGGTGATGTGTGATAACTGCCCTCGCTCCTTCCACAAGAAATGTCACCTGCCTCATGTAGAGAACGGCCTTCTACGGTGAGCTTTGATCACACTGAGATGAGACAACCGCAACATTGAAATATAGATCTGTTACTTTGTCAGTGAGATTATTTTCGTCTGGTGAAAGAAATATGAAGACGGATCAATTTTCTGTTAAAGGTTGAAAATACATCGTGTGTGTGTTTGTGTGTGTGTGAGCAGGGACAACAGTCCGTGGTTTTGTACGTTCTGCGTATTCCGATCCAATGAACACTATTTTGGTTCGGAGGAGCTGGAAAGCGCTCTGTCGTACAAAATATCCCAACGCATGTTGGTGAGTGAACCGTGCGCCTCTGTCTTTATGGCATGATGAAAAGAAGCTTTATTCATGTGCATGTACACACCAAAGTCAGATTCTGTGCATGTGTAAACACTGACTGCCTATGAAGCTGAGCCCCTTTCCCCACATCAACAGCAGTGTCAGTGTCTCCTTCTGTGTCTGTGGAGAGCTGATGAGGAACAAATATTTGCTGCAAAACCATTCCGCTATGTAAGTCACCTTCTCTGCACTAGTCAGCTGCCTCGCCATTCGTGACTAACAGTGACGACTTATTAAAATGCTTTTAAATTGCAATTAATTGTCTAATTAATGGAGGACTCACGCCACAGGTCAGTCTGCGTCAGAGGTGTCAAGTAACAATGTACAAATACTTTGTTACCTTACTTAAGTAGACATGTGGGGTATCTATACTGTACTGAAGTATTTATTTTTTATACTTAATCACAAACAAGCTTAAGATACTTTTGATTTTCTCAAGGACATTATCCACTAATTTCCACCGCAATTAGTATGGTCCATTAAGAGTGCCAGCTTAGAAATGTGGGTTGTTATTATTATATTTTTTAAAAGCCCACACCTTGTAACCCCTAAATATTATTCTTGATGAAGTGAAATCAAACATTCGGTCCATTATGAAACCAGGCACACAGCAGCTCAGCTGTCACGTGCTTCTCAAACGTTGATCACCTCATTCTAGTGTTAATTTTGGCAGCTATTTTTGATTTAGTCTTAGTCTTTAGACGAAAAATGCATATTAGTTTTAGTCACATTTAGTCATTTTAATCCTTCTTAGTTTTAGTCGACGAAAAATAGACTAAAATGTTATTAGTTTTAGTCACATTTAATAGCCATATTAAACTCCTTTTCTTCCCTTCTCAGGCCCAGGGACCCCCTGTGTTGTGTCTACAACTGCATAATAGTCTAGCTTGCAGTACTTGGTTGTCCATTAGACGTCCCTCATAGGACAGGTCTATAGCAGCGGTCGGCAAACTTTTTGACTCGCGGGCCACAATGGGTTGTAAAATTTGACGGAGGAGCCAAGAACAAATGGTTGAAGTGTTTGTGTGAGCTGATATAAATGACATGTGAAAAATCATTACATGAAGGGATTTGGATTTTAATAAATAGCAAAGCATTTATTTGCAAGGCAATTTAACAAATTGTCAACGGTCAAACAACTTCATGAGGACCAGGGATCTAAACGCAACACTTTGTTGTCTTTGTCAGTTTACTTGCAATGCTTTTGACACGGCCACCGGAAACTTCGTGTTCCTTCATTGTTTCCTCTGTCCCAACTAAAGAGACCTTAACGTCCCGCAATCGGTGCAATACATTATTTTCTTGGCTTCAGAACCTGCAATGAGTTTATTACGTTAGACTGTGTTATGTTTGGAGAAGCGTGTAACGGACCGTCTCATCCAGCCGAGGAAACGCTGCCTGCCGTCGCCAGAGAACAGAGCAGAAAGGTCCGACAGTCTTTAAACGGGTCTTCATGTTTCTGTGAAGCAGCGCGGCTTCAGCCTGCTAACAGTCAGCTAAACCGAGACAGATGAGCTAAACTAACGAAGCCACATTCAAACTCGCCGAAGCGTAAAATAGTCGTCGCGGTCCGTAGGCGGTGCACAAGAACCACCGCTGCGAGCGCGCGTTCTGGGTTCGTGGATGACGTCATCATGACGCATTAATAACCGCGGGGCCGTACTTTGCCTGTCTGTTAGCTACGTGCGAATTTAGGGGGAAAAAGTATTGTGACTTCGTCAACCACCAACATGTTCGTCTCGTCTCGTCTCGTCAACAAAAGTTAGAATAGATTTAGTCATAGTTTTTATTTTTTAAGATCGTTTGTCACGTCTTAGTCATAGAAAAAAAGGTCGTTAACGAAAAATTTTCGTCATAGTTTTTGTTGACGAAATTAACACTGCCTCATTCATTTTCTTCTTTTCACCCTCAGTTGAACGACTACTCCAATATGATCGAGACTCCGATGTGGTTCGGTCACATAGCAGGAAAACTCCAGCAGAAACTCTACCAGACCGTTGGAGAGTTTGTGACTGACGTCCGGCTCATTTTCTCCAACTGTGCTTTGTACAACCGGGTAAGAAACAGTCAGTAAAAACCCTTTAGACAGCATGCAGGGTAAGGAGGTTGCATTACGTTATTACATGTGGTGCTATAACATGATAAGCTACATTTATGACATGGTTATGTTCTTTTTCAGGAAAATGCTGAAGTTCTCGTCAAGGGCAACAGACTGAAGGAGTTATTTGACAGAACATTTAAGAGCGTGTTCAACATAAAATAAATAGGCTGTTGGCGCCGTGTTCTGGTATCAAGTAACGCCTGTGTAAAGGTTGAGAATATTCAAACATGCCTGTGCAATATATATATATTGTGATGTCACGAGAGGCGCTGCCGCTCTCTCCGGGGTAGTTCAAATAGTGCGAGGACACCGGGTTCAAAATATAAACAAAGGTTTTAATTTACGTCATTCAGATTAAACAGAAAACTGTCAAAACAGGGGGTAACTCAGGCTTCGGTCGATCTTCGCCGGTAAAACTTAACTAATGTCTTGTCTTTGGAGGGGAAACGGAAATACGCTTCTTTAAAGAGAATACACCGTCCTCTCGGTCTCTCCTGCCTCCGGGAAACCTTCCGTCTTGGTCTGCTCTTCTGCAGCGGGCCCAATCTGCAGCTTGTCTCTCCCCCCTCAACGGTGTGTCTTAGTAGTAGTTACATCCATCTCCGGTGAACGTATCTCCCTTCCAAGACCCAGCCTCTCGTGACATCACACCCCCCCCGACACAGACGTCCTCGTCGGGGTGAAGGAGGTGCAGAAGGCGGTACCAGTCTTGAGAGTGGTAATCCTACTGTTTGTTTCCTTTTTCTTGGCCATCCACTGCAGAGGGGCATGATCCGACACCACCGTAAACAGTCAGCCCAGGAGGTAGAACCGCAGGGATTCCAGGGCCCAGGTAACTGCGAGGCATTCCTTTTCCACCGTGGAATAGTTCTCTTGGAACTAACTTCCTGCTTATGTAGAGGATTGGGTGTTCCTCCCCCTCACGTGTCTGGACGAGTACCACACCCAGACCCACCTCTGAAGGGTCCGCCTGGACGATGAATTTCTTCTTGAAGTGCTCTCCGCTTCCGAGGTACTCTGCCTAGCCGCTCCTGAGTCTGCCTCCACAGCAGGTGGAAGGCTGGGAAGTCTCGTCCAATTAGGACGGGGACAGGCAAGCAATCAACCACCCCCGCCTCCGTGAGTATTTGTCCCCCGGGTAGTGGTCATTGTGAGTTCAACGATGGGGTGTCTGGTGTCTTCATGGTCACAGGAAACGGGAAGGACTTTCCCTGGGGTCAAACCAAGTGGACCTACCAGGTCCTTCCGTACCAGGGTATCTCGGCTACCTGAATCTAGCAAGGCCTCCACGTCCAGGTGATTCAGAGTCACCGGGCAGGTGGGAGGTCAATCTGGGGGGGGCATCTATAAGTCCTATGAGCGAGGCAAACCAGGGGGCAGGTGATGAGCTGGATGACTCAGCCGTGGGCATAGGCTCGTCACTGCCAGGAGAGGTGTCCCACTCCCCCACACCGGTAATACTGTCTGGTTTCCCTTTCCTCGTGTATTTTCTTTGGACCCAGCGGGTTTCTGCCTCCCCCTGGGGCTCCTGAAGAGCCTGGGTTGGTAACCTTGGGACGGGTTGCTTCAGTCTGTGGTAGGCCCGTGCTCCTGGGTTCTTTTCTGGAGGCCAGAAGCATATCTGTTGTGGCTTGATATTTTTCCACTGCTTCCACGGCCTGTTGACTGAAGAACCGCTTCACCTCATAAGGCAGGGCACGTAAGTATTGATCCACCACCACGGCCTCTACTACCGCAGGCGCCGTATTCCTCTGCGGTTCCAGCCACTTCCTCGTGATCCGGACAAGTTTGTGCATCTGTGCACGAGGAGGTTGGTCAGGTTGGATGGTCCAGTTGTGGAAGCGCTGGGCCATACCAAACTTGGTGACGCCATTTCTGCTCAGGATCTCCGTCTTCAGGGCTTATGATGGACTATGGTCCATCGCCTGGTCAGGCCCCAGGTCCAACAGCATTCAGTGCCTCCCCCGTTAGAAAAGGGGCTAACAGCCCAACCCACTGGTCCCTGGGCCAGGCTTCCCTAGTGGCTGTGGCTTCAAAGGCATGCAGGAACGCCTCAACGTCATCCGTGGCACCCATCTTGGATAAATAGTTACTTGCATTTATTGGGCGTACATGCTGGTCGGCCATGTGTTTCTGCACTTGTAATTCCTCCACCTTCAGAAGGTTGGCTTTCTTTTGTTCTTCCAAGAGAGCCAAATTTGTTTGCATCTGGGCTTGCTGGCCAGCAATAAGGGTTTTCAAAATTTTGTTCGGTGGGGGGCCTACGGTCAATCTAGAAAAGTGTCGAATCCATCTTTCGGTGTCCTCCTCTGACATGCACTATATCCGCTTGAACAAGACCATTCTCCACCATATGTGATGTCAAGAGAGGCGCCGTCGCTCTCTCCGGGGTAGTTCAAATAGTGCGAGGACACCGGGTTCAAAACGTAAACAAAGGTTTTAATTTACGTCCTTCAGATTAAACAGAAAACCATCAACATGGGGTAACTCAGGCTTCGGTCGATCTTCACCTGTAAAACTTAACTAATGTCTTGTCTTTGGAGGGGAAACGGAAATCCCCTTCTTTAAAGAGAATACACCATCCTCTCGGTCTCTCCTGCCTCCGGGAATCCTTCCGTCTTGGTCTGCTCCTCTGCAGCGGGCCCAATCTGCAGCTTGTCTCTCCCCTCTCAACGGTGTGTCTTCCATCCTTATGAAGGCCTCCCGGTCGTCATACCCTGATGGGTTTCAGGTGTGAGTTTCGGGGTGGAGTTCCTAACACCACCAGCAGATGGAGCCATAGTAGTTACAGCCATCTCCGGTGAACGTATCTCCCTTCCAAGACCCAGCCTCTCGTGACATCACAATATATACATATATATATATATATATTTTGAGATATATATATATATAGCTCAAAATATATATATATATATATATATATATATATATATATATATATATATGTATATATATATATATATATATATATATCTCAAAATCTCAAAATACATGAGCCAAAGTTTTAAAATGGAGGCATTTTATCTCAGTGTACATTTCTACGTTTGCACTATTTTCTTGTGTGTAAATCTCAACATTTTTTATCCCTTTTTTAAAATAGTTTTACACCACTTGTGATGAGGGTTTTCAAAATGAATGAATGGATTGTTAAAGTCTGTTTGTCTGGCAACAGTGTCACCGCAAAGCCTTTTTAAGTGCAATTAATGTTCTAATTTCTACTTTCTGTCTTGATCGATGTGTTGCTTGCTTGGGGATGTATGTTTTTAAAATAAAATCTTTAATGGCATCAACCAACGCAGTCTCTTCTTCCTGATGTCTGCAACATTAATTTCAAAGAACTCATGCTTTCATTTGAGTGACATGGCTGTGCTGGACTTCCTCGTAAGTCAGTATACACCTTTTATTGCCCAGCTAGATGTAGCCTACTTATGATGTTGTCATTTGACATTTCAGTTAATTGAGGTAAATGTCTTTCATTTAAAGACAACATGGACAGACATCATGTCACGGTGCGGGTTCTTGGGGGGGGCGTACAGAGTCGGTACGACACAGCGGATACAGATTCAATACGTTTCTTTATTCTGCGAGCTCTCCCAGCGTCTCGCTCTCTCGCCGTCGAACTCCACTCCCGCTCTCTGCTACTGCATTTTAAAACCACAATACAAAGAGTTAGTGTGCAATCAGCTCAGCTGAGGCCATTGCCTCCACCTGGCACCGTTCCCTGAGCCACTCCCTTCTCCTTCCCCTCTGCAGCCGAGCCAAACCACGGCCGCCACCACATACCCCCACCGCCCGACTTAGGCCGGGGAGCCGTCCGGCCTAGCCGGTTCAGGAGCTCAACGACCCGGGGCATTGGGTAGGCATCGAACCGTGAGACGTCATTCACCCTGCGATAGTCCATGCAGAACCGTACAGATCCATCCTTCTTTGCCACAAGGACGAAAATCGGCCGATTTTCGGCTTTTCGGCACCAGCAACTGAGTGTTTTCCTGCCCTGTCCGAGTGTCACGACTCACTCTCTCGACTCTATACAGTCTGTCCCTTATCAACGAAAAGTGTGAAAATGACTGTGCTGCATCAGGGCGCACCGGGTGACCATTAATTTGTATCACTTGGTCGTAGGCTGAGCATAGGGTATCGTCACGAGACTGTTCGAGTGGAAAATCTTCCATGGAATGAAACCCGGGAGCCGGCGGAGGCTCCACGGAAGACTCCGCTGGCTCCCCCTCCCCGTCTGCAGTGTCGGACGAGCCTGCGTCACCGCTGAGCACAGCGCACATCTCGCATAACCCTGTCGGTCGTGAACGCACCCCCGTAGCCCCCCCCATAAGCGTATCAAACCCCGGCCAATCTGTACCCAAAATGACGGGGTGCGTCAGAGGGGAGCTAACCGCGACCTTCATTCTAGGCTTTTTCCCCTCATACCTAATTTCCACCGATACCACGGGATACACCCGTGAACAACCCTATGCACACACCGTATGCCCCCGGCCGAACCAGGCTCTGATGAATCATAGACTGCGTGCAGCCACCATCGCCTGGCGTATACCCCCCTGGATTCTTACCGGAACGTGGTACGTCGCTCCCGGGCCGGGGGAGGGTGTTGGAACGCCGGCAACCCGAATCACCTGCCCCACCTCCATCAGCGGACACTCTATCTGGAGGTGTCCGGCTGCCCGCACCTCCAACATTCCTGCCCCGGCGCTTGAGAACCCCTCTGTGGGTCGGGAAGGGCGCCGGTGCTCTCTGCGGTCGGTGAGTAGCTGGTCGGGAGGAACGATGTCCGTCATAGGGTCGGCACGGGTCGCTCCGCCGGCTGCTGCTGCCCCCCTCCCCGTTGCGCTGGTCGGGCCGGGGATGGCGTACTCCCCTGGTCCCGCTGTCTGCCGGGGTGCACCGCCAGGTGATCCTCCTCAGAGGTGATGGCAGCTTTGAGGGTCGGCGGGCGGTGGTATTTCACCCACGCTGCCGTCCGGGTCGGGAGCCCCTCCGCAAACTGCTCCAACACCACCTTCTCCCTCACGGCTTCCACTCTCCCGTCGCCGTTAGGCAGCAGCCATCTGCTCGCGGCGTCCTTGAGCCGCTGCCCGTACGCGAACGGCCGGTCCTCTGGCTCCAACCTAGTCTGCCGAAAACCGCCGGCGGTGGTCCTCTGGCAGCAGCCCCAGCCTTTCGATGACCGCCCTACGCACAGTCGCGCCAGTGGCAGCCCCATGGCCGCCTTCTGCGCCTCCCCGGACAGGAGAGGCAAAAGCCAGACCGGCCACTCCTCCGCCTGTCAGCCGCACGCCTCCGCCATCGCCTCAAAGGCCACCAAAAAGGACTGGGCGTCGTCCTCCGCCGTCATACGATGGAGCGCCAGTCCGGCAAGCGCCACCGGCCCAGGCGTTGGCCGCGCGGCGGCCGATTGCGCCGCCAGTTGCTCCAGAGTCCTCACCTAGGACCTCAAGTGCCATCAGCTCCATCACCAAGAAGGCTCAGCAGAGGTTGTTCTTCCTGAGGCAGCTGAAGAAATTCAACCTGTCAAAGACGATGATGGTCCACTTCTACACGGCCATCATTGAGTCCGTCCTCTGCTCCTCCATCACCGTCTGGTACGCTGCAGCCACAGCCAAGGACAAGGGCAGGCTGCAGTGCGTCATCCGCTCTGCAGAGAGAGTGATCGGCTGCAATCTGCCGTCCCTGCAGGAGTTGTTCGCTTCCAGGTCTCCGAAGCGAGCTAAAAAGATCGTAGCCGACCCCTCTCACCCCGGACAAAACATGTTTGTGTCCCTTCCATCTGGCAGGAGGCTGAGGTCCATGAGGACTAAGACCTCCCGCCACACGAACAGCTTCTTCCCGGCAGTCGGGCTCATCAACAGAGCCGGTCCCCCACTGACTGACTCTGACATTCCACCGGTCACTCCCCTTCATACTGCACATGTCACTTTAACTGTCATTTGTCACTTGTCACTTTATGGTTACTCATCACTTTGTCACTTGTTCGTGCACTTTATTTTTTAATATTTTTTAACTTTTTAAATATTTTTAATTTTTAACTAACTTTATTCTTATTTTATACTAACCCATAGCCTTATTCTACTAACCCATTGCATTAGCATTTCATTTTATTTTATTACTTGTGCACTGCTGTCTTGTTGTCTATTGTTACACTGTCTACTGCCACGCACCAACCGCCAAGACAAATTCCTTGTATGTTTGACATATTTTGGCAGTAAATGTTTCCTGATTCCTGAGGTGTGAATGTGAGCATGTCGTATGTTTCTTCGTCTTCAAACTACTAGATGAGGTTGGATTAAAGCGTACTAATCACATGACTTTGTGTGACTCATGAGCATTATATATTCTTTTTTCATGTAATTGAAAATAAAAAGGTCAAAACACAAAGGTGATTCTGCAGTGAACGATGTCCCCTGCTGCCACCGACCAGAGCTGCGATTTAAGTTAAGTAACCGCTAAGTAACTTTCACTTTCCAAACGTCACCGACGGAGAATCGGCGGGACCGAACATCTGACGAACGGAGGAAACGAGAAAAACATTTTTAGTCGAGCCTTTTTCTTGTTTAATCTACTGCCTGTGATTTACCCCCAGAACGAGGAAGTTAATTTTGCCCGTTTTTAATTTCCAATTCCTTTGAGGACATTTTACGCATAGTTGAATCTTTGCGCGCTAAATCCAAAAATGGAGCCAGTCTCTGGCGCCACACCTTGGTTTGAACGTCCACCAAGAACGAATGTTTCTGTGGAACCACACATGGACCCGATGGACTGGCTGGAGAACCACGAACTCTTGCGGTTTTTCCGCCGTCATAAAACCGAAATGTCTTGCATGGAGAAGCCGCACACGTTCCTCCGCCAGCTCAGGGATCACGACCTGGTCCCTGAGGACCGATACAAGGTGAGCTACCGAGGTGGAGACCGCGTTTGTTACTACATGGACCACCTTAAATGGACGTGTTTGTGTGGAAAAGTGGCTCAAACTTACCACATAGACGCTCTGGTTGTTACCAACAGGACACAATATATATTTTTCACATCCCTGTTGAAGTACTTTAGTAGAAACACAGTGTCCATTACTGTCTAAATGTTGCTACAATGAATCTGTTTCACTAAATGGTCCAGTATTTTTTTCTAAATTGTGCATTTGTCCGATAGGGTCTATTACCCTTTTCATGTTTTTCGAGAGAAGATGATGGAATAGAATATTGAAACATGAATCAAACAAGTTTGTATTTTTATTTTGGGTGAACTAATTGTTAAATTGATGGTGATTAAGTGATTAATGCACACACACACACTTTACTCTACATGAGATGACCATGTAAGTTTTTGCATTCACCTTCTTTACAATGGAGAAGTCCTAAAACTCTCAAAGTCTTCTCTCACAGAATAGAAAGGTTCTATTCACTGTGCACTGAAGTCCAATTAAGTGCACATTGGACACAGCAGGGAGAAGAAAGGAAATGGGAGACATGCCGTGTCTCTATAACTAAACCATTTCGTTATAATTGATGAGGGTCTGTTATAACATTGGTTTGCTACAAACTTGTGCAGAATTATTAATCCTGTTCTCTATGCTTTTGTATGTTTGCAGAAGGTGAGCTGCATGAGGAGTAAAGACAACATGAGGGATGGTCTCTATGAAATTCTGGACTGGTTTGAGACAGAGCGATCACAGAAGGTCAGAGAGTTCTGGAGCTGCGTGTTCAAGGACTCCATCCTGAACCAGTATCCCACGCTGCGACTGCTGCGCAACAGCCTCATGGACGGTCAGTCTTTTTTATGGTCACAGAGGGGGTCAATCACTGGGATTCTGAGTTCCTGTGCTTACTCTGTCACGTTTGTCCATAAATCCCTGGGAACACATTTACATTTTAGGGTCTTTCCATTTTGACATATCAGAGAAGGTGGGGAAGGAAGAGTCAGACAAAGAGAAACGGAAGGCCCTCTCAGATAGTGAGAAGGAAGAGGAGGAAGAGGAGGAGCAAGAAAAGTCTGTGACCAAGAAGAGAAAACTAGGAAGTAGGAGCGTGTGTCGCAACGACAACGAGGAGGAGCCGGCCGGTCCATCGTCTCAGTTGACTCCCAGGAAAAGGTCCAAGAAATTATGCTTCTGTAAGTCATCCCCCCAACTTTCCTCTTACCTTTGTAGTCATGGTTGTTGTTGAATGTTTGACAGCTGATGAAGTGCACCGCTACACAAAATGTTTTTCTGGTTTGCAGCCACTCCACGGAAGAAGGGCAAGGAGAACAACATTTGGAGCTGGCCCTTCTTTAAGCTCCAGCTGCCTGTGACCTGTGGAGACCGTAAGGGCACACTGGACAGACAAAGACTGGCTAAAGGTAAAAGAGTCAATGACCGAAGTATCTGCTTATGAAAAATAAATACTCTAATCATTGTCTTCTAGAAAATAGGAAAAAAAAAGAATAAGGACGATGCAGATGAAAACTGGTTGACATGAACACGTTCCCCATCCTTTGAACATTTCAGGGGAAAGGTGCATCGTAGTCGAGAAACGGTGGTTCAGTCCCCCTGAATTTGAAATTTTTGCGGGGAAGAAGAGTTCCAGGAAATGGAAGTCAAGCATTCAATGTATGGAAACCCCGCTGGAAAAACTTATACAGGTTTGTTGAAAAGTGAACTTGGAAGAAACACAGAGACTTGCTTTCCTTCAACATGTGCCATGTTACATCCTTTTGTTTTCACATTTATTTTGGTTTTTCTTTTTTGTTTCTTTTGCTCCACTGCAGGAAGGTCATTTACAAGCAGCAAAGTACAAAAGAGACCCTAAAAAAGTAAGAACAAAAACTGAAATCACAGATATACTCCGACTCTGTAACATCTCCTTGTTGCTAGTGGTCCTGATCTGAGCCATGTCCTTGTTGTCTTCTCATTCTTCCTGCTAGGCCAAGAAGTCACTGTTCCCATCTGGTGATGTAACCATAGGTTTGTTGTATTAGTGCGCTGATACACTAAGACAGAGCGACTTCACCGCTGATGTGAGTGAAAAAACAACATCCTCCTCCCCTTTGTTAGTGTCCAGCGGAGATGAAGAGGAAGAGGAGGACCGAGACCTGGACGAGCTAGACAGGGTTTCGTCAAGCAGCAAAGAAAGTTCCCCAGCTGTCCCAGGTGCTTGTCTCTAGGGATGCTCAAGGCTCTATCACATGCTTGTCTTTACTCTAAATGGCCCTCAAAGTGCATCCTATCACAGTGTCACCACAGCAATGGTGATGTTAAACACACTTCCCTTGTGTGCCCACTGTAGACGAGGAAAGAGAGGAACGGGCTGAGCAGCAGCCACAAGCCAGCCATGACAAGAGGATGTTCAAAGTCACATGTGGAGCTTCAGACGGGACCTTCTATAAGAATCGATTTGTGTCAGGTCGCTAATTCTCACTGTGCAGGTATGGCAAAACTTGTGTAACGAAAGGGGCACTAACCAGCGCACACTTGGTCTGACCACCAGGGACTCGTGGGAAGAGTATTCGCACTGAGACGAGCTGGATGACCCCGGTGGAGTTCCTGGAGTTGGCACTTGGTCGGAAGGATGCCTCTTGGAAGAAAGACATTGAATGTGAAGGGAAGCCACTCTTTGTCCTCATAAAGGTGAACTTGATCAGGGTGCCGTGTCTGTCCCGATAAGTCCAGGGACAGGAGACAGGGAGGACTCAAGCGCAGACTTCCAAAAATCAAAGTACTTTATTTGAAGTAGAATACAAAATGTCTAAGCAATGACCAAGACAACCAAAAAGACCAACTCCCAACAAGGAGACAACGGACACACATTGTTTAAATACACTGGGAGGGTGCAGCTGATTGGCCACGCAGGAAACTACAGAATAAAACTGAGAGAGACAGTTGTAATTCTTAACGTTTCAGTCCTGGTTGATATGTTGGCAGCTGTGGTTACCATGGTAACAGCAAAGGCAGTTAAATACTAGTGGAAATATTAGATTGCTCATTGAGCATTGGCTTAACGCAGTTCTCAGACATTGACAATTCAGTGCTGGAATGGCGGACTCTTCCACTAATGAATGAATGAAATTCCACATCGAGAGACAATTATAGTATTTTGCTGCATCAAATGTCTATTGTAGAAACAAATCTCACCATTAATCTTGTCAAATTGAATTTGATGTAGTGAATATTTTGAGATTTGAACTTTAATGTGAATGTTGTTATTTAGTCAGTTACTCACACTTTCAAGATCATGTGCACACATTCACCAAATGTACGTTAATGTGAGCCAACATCACCTCCAAAGGCTTTCCATGCGCTGAAAGAATGGCAGTTCTAGAAGGATCTGATAACAATAGACTGCAGAAAGAGTAACCCCCCCTGTCTATTTCAGGCGGAGACCCTGACGATCCACTCTCTGCTGTGTAATTGCAACCTGTGCAAACCAGATGACGAAGACCAGGTGAGTTTGTTCATCAGACAGTGTCCTCATTCTGCACCGTCCTTCATAAAACAACACGATGGCCGTGTCTTCAGTGACATTAAATAGTCCCACTTCTCTCACGATGAGATACGGCACAACAAGAAACCCTTTTCTGTCGGATGCATATAACATGTAACTGTGTAATCGGCCGTGCCGTCATGTTTGTCTTGGCAGAGGAATCAGAAAAACGATGATGAGTGTTGCATCTGTAGGAGGGAGGGAGACCTGGTGATGTGTGATAACTGCCCTCGCTCCTTCCACAAGAAATGTCACCTGCCTCATGTAGAGAACGGCCTTCTACGGTGAGCTTTGATCACACTGAGATGAGACAACCGCAACATTGAAATATAGATCTGTTACTTTGTCAGTGAGATTATTTTCGTCTGGTGAAAGAAATATGAAGACGGATCATTTTTCTGTTAAAGGTTGAAAATACATCGTGTGTGTGTTTGTGTGTGTGTGAGCAGGGACAACAGTCCGTGGTTTTGTACGTTCTGCGTATTCCGATCCAATGAACACTATTTTGGTTCGGAGGAGCTGGAAAGCGCTCTGTCGTACAACATATCCCAACGCATGTTGGTGAGTGAACCGTGCGCCTCTGTCTTTATGGCATGATGAAAAGAAGCTTTATTCATGTGCATGTACACACCAAAGTCAGATTCTGTGCATGTGTAAACACTGACTGCCTATGAAGCTGAGCCCCTTTCCTCACATCAACAGCAGTGTCAGTGTCTCCTTCTGTGTCTGTGGAGTGCTGATGAGGAACAAATATTTGCTGCAAACCCATGCCGCTATGTAAGTCACCTTCTCTGCACTAGTCAGCTGCCTCGCCATTCGTGACTAACAATCAATTCATGTTAAAGCTTTTAAATAGCAATTCATTTTCTGATTATTGGAGGACTCACGGCACAGGTCAGTCTGCCTGCATGAACAGAACTTACGTGTCGTGGGAGCTCTTGCTCCTTCAGTGGCTGCACGGCCACAAAAAAAGTTCACATTAATTTCGAACTTCCTATTTAAAAAAAAAAAAGCACTGTGGTGTCTTTCAGTGGATATAATCTCTTTATTTGTTAACACCCGGATTTTATTCTGAAACATTTACATGGCAGTGTAGTGGAATATGCCGTGGGGGTTGCAGACTGGGTTTGGGGGGTGAAATGTATTGATCTCATGCACACTAAGTGAACTCAGTGACTCCTTATCTTTGTCCATTCTGGACTGAAACTAATCCACAATGGCACAACTGGAAACATGTGGTCTTGATCAATCCATTGGTCTGACTTCTATTTGGCTGTTGAACACGATTGCCTATGGTCAAACTGAGGAGGGGGGGCAGTGTTAATTTCCTCGACGAAAACTATGCCGAAATTTTTTCGTTTGCGAACCTTTTTTCCATGACTAAGACGAGACGAAAACTATGGCGTTATATTTGTGCCACAATCCTGAGCGCGTAATTTTAAGTTTTGAGCACAGAGAACTATATTTTAGCAAAGAAAAACATATTCCGTGGGCGCAGTTTCCTCAGGTGCCCTCTCCACAAACTGCGCTCGCTCCACCTCTTTACGCTGCGCTCGCTCACGTGCTCGCGCGACTTGCAGCAGCGTTACATTTGTGCCACAAAACCAAGCAATCAGAGAATTAAAGAAGGTCCATTGTGATTGGCTGTTGGTCTCCAATCACAACCCTTCCTAAAGAAGACAAAAAACGAGTGATATTAGAAGTCCGGCTAGCCACCATCAGACATGACCGAAGCAAATGATGAAAACAGCAAGTGTTTTAATCCAGGCCATTAGCATTTAGCACAAATGCTGCAAACTTCAACAACTCGCTGAGCTTCCGCGATGCTGTAGGTAGTTCTACTAGCGTTGTGATTGGAGACCAACAGAAGCAGGAAACGCTCCCTTTTCAGCTCAATTGAGTCATTGAACTCATGTCTGTACTTATGGCTCGTATTTGATGTTTTGTGTATTTTTTATCATTGTTCTACATGTTAATTTGTAATAAATACTTAATCACGAACAACCTTAACATACTTTTTGATTTTTTCTTGACATTCCACCACAACAGGTATGGCTCCATGAAGAGTGTCAGCTTAGAAATGTGGATTGTCATTATTTTATTTTTTTAAAGCACACACCTCGTAACCCTTGTCTGTCTGAAATATAAATAAATAATATTCTTGATGAAGTAAAATCAAACATTCGGTCCATTATGAAACGAGGCACACAGCAGCTCAGCTGTCACGTGCTTCTCAAAGAGCGTTGATGACCGCGTTCATTTTCTTCTTTTCACCCTCAGTTGAACAACTACTCCAAAGTGATCGAGACTCCGATGTGGTTCGGTCACATAGCAGGAAAACTCCAGCAGAAACTCTACCAGACCGTTGGAGAGTTTGTGACTGACGTCCGGCTCATTTTCTCCAACTGTGCTTTGTACAACCGGGTAAGAAACAGTCAGTAAAAACCCTTTAGACAGCATGCAGGGTAAGGAGGTTGCATTACGTTTTTACATGTGGTGCTATAACATGATAAGCTACATTTATGACATGATTATGTTCTTTTTCAGAAAAATGCTGAAGTTCTCGTCATTGGCAAGAGACTGAAGGAGTTATTTGACAGAAAATTTAAGAGTGTGTTCAACATCAAGCGGAAAGGTTTGGAATATTCAAACATGCCTGTGCTATATCACAGTAATAAGGTACAAGAGACTGTACTTTATCATCCAATAATCTAACAGTTCGGGAGCGTTATTAGGCCCGACACAGAGCAGAGGGCCGGCAACCCTCATCCCCCATCATTATTGAAGATAAAGTACGGCCTCAAGTACCTTTATTGCTTTTATAATACGGTTGCCAGCAAAATTATAAATAGTAAGTAAATAGCGGCCTTTCAGTATAAAATAGTATCAGCCACCAAACGTTGTGTATCTCATGTCAGTAGTCTCTAGAGAACAACTAGTCCCTGTACGTGCATGCAAACAGCATCGGGTCCCCCACCATCTCATTCATTCACATCGCTGATGACGTCCACCTTCATTGTCCGGTTGCGAAAGCTCGCATTGCCCCAAACCGACCATTTGTGGGATTTCCGGGTCTTATTTCGCCGATCGCCACCGAGCTAAAAGCTAAAATGTCAGCTAACGGTCGCGCAAAAGCTGACCGGTTACTTTGAGTGCGCAGTGATACGGAACGCTCGGGTCGGGTATATATATTGTATGTGGTTGAAATATCCCAAAAATACATTCTGGAAAGAAAAAGCTTCATTAACCAAAATGTTTAACAGCATATGTTTAAAACAACAAAAATGGACCACCAATTTTAAAACGGGGGCATTTTATCTCTGCATACTAGGGGTGTAACGATTCATTTTAACAACGATTCGGCAACCACAAATCACGATTCATGGTTGCTGATTCGATTCATTGACGATCTGGGTTAATTTAGAACGATTCGATTCAGTGACTTGAAAACGATTCAGTAACTTTACTGGACAGTGCAGGCAAAGTTTCTGAGATCCCTGTTGTTTCTTGTAAAGAAATCAGGTTTAAATTAATTATGGATATTATAAACAAGCAAACAACAATTAATGGCAAATGTATTAACCTTTTATTTGAATCAAGTGCCCTTTTCAATGTAAACATTACACAATAATTACACAATGTTTGGATCAATTCACAGAACCCCGGATTTTCAACCACATTGTAGGGTTGCAAGTCTTTACAGATAAACTTGGCAATTATTGCTGTGATGTTGAGTTTGGTGCTGGCGAGGCCTGAGGAGTCTGCAGAGCTGGAGTTACCTTCTGCTGCTGCTGCAGCGGTGACGCTGCTAGAGGTCCTGACTGTCGGCGTTGTTTAATCCCACGGCGCCTTAGAAGATTCTTTGTGTTTCCGTGTTTTTTTATTTTGCTTCTACATATTCTACAAACAGTGACCGACTTATTTAGAACACCTCGGTGTTTGCAAAAGCCAAAATGTTTCCACGCGCTGGATCGATAAGTTGGTTTGTAAATGTCTCGCTCAAGGTCGTCTCCTCCACGCTGTGTTTTGTTGTTGTTCAGAGTTTCGCGCGGCTGCCGCTGCGTACTGATGACGTCACACACAGGCAGACTGAATCCAGTAACGTTTAACGTGTCTAAAGTGCTAAAAACAAACAAACAAACACGCATCCATACCGTTTTTGTACTTAAAATCCAATGTGCAGTTTCCAAGTATTGATACAATCGATTCTGTACCATTTCAATCGATTTGTAATCGTCATCAATCATTTGCGGAGCACAGATCGATTCAGTTGGATCGCAGGAATATAAATCGATTATTCGATTCACTGAATGAATCGTTACACCCCTACTGCATACATTTCTTATTTTCCTGTGTGTAACATTTTTTGTTTTGCCATTAAAAAAAAAAGGTTTGACACCTGTGATGAGGGTTTAAAAATGAATGTATGGATTGTTAAAGTCTGTTTGTCTGGAGTTCTTTGAGTAAACAATGTCACCGCAATTAATGTTCTAATTTCTACTTTCTGTCTTGATCCATGTGTTTCTTGCTTGGGGATGTATGTTTTAAAAATAAAATCATTAATGACATGTCTTTTATTGTCTATTATCGTGCTTCTTAAAAGGTTAAATATAGTAAGTATATGTCTGGATGTAAACAAAAGATTGACATAACTGCAACTGAAGTTCGCAGCAACCCAAACATTTTCACGATGGGCATCAATTCCCGATAAAAGAGTCATTTTGAAGCTTCAACGCTCCCTGTGTTTGACTCTGTCCTGCTGACGTCACGGGCACACTTTCCAGCAGCAAATCTGGGCGCAGAGCTGCGCAGACGCTCTGCGCATCCGTCGGCCCGCGCAGCCATTTCTCTTCCCCCTCGTGAAAACAACCAACCAACGCGGCGCGGCGGGAGAGTCATGACGTCGGCTGCACACAACGGGACCGAACACCACCACCGCCGACCCGAGACCCGCGCCAGCCGCAAACTTTCCCCCCCGACTCCCCGCCTGCGCGGGCTAAAAAACCGCCCGCCGTGCTGCCGCCGCTGCTCGCCTGCGCGTCGGCCATGGAGGGGAGCCTGCGGGCGGGAGGCTGCAGCGACGTCGCGACGATGCACGTGAAGATCGAGGAGCTCGACGAGAAGACGCCTGCGCCGGTCTCGGGCAGTCGGGAGTCGCCTGCGCGCTGCGGAGATGCCGCATGCGGAGGAGGAGACCAGCTGGCTGACGCGACCACCGCTGCCGTGCTGCTGTGTGAGTGCCGCCGTTTGAGAGTTGGAAGGTTTTTGCGTCACGTCAGCACGCGCCATCGTTTTAAATCGTTTGACGCGATACGTGCGACCCATGTGTGCCCTGCATCAGATCCCGTGAGCACGGACCGCTTCTTCGCCACATCAGGGGATGGAAAGACGTACCTGAAGATAGCGCCAGGTGAGTGGATCCCGCTGTGGCTGCTGTGGTTGTTGTCACAGTGCGTATTCTATAGCACGCCTTTGTTTGGTAAACAAACCTATTGGTGCTTCTCAAACTGTCTTTACGGTGTAATAGCAACGTTAGGTTTACTGAAAACTTTATAACAATGTTATTCACTAGCAGTGCGTTTTTAAGGAATTTGTTTCAGATTGCAAAAGCTGTATTGGAGCTTTAGATCTGGGCTCTTTGGATATAATGTTAAAGACTACTCAAATAATATTCCACCACATTTAATATCTTCCAGCTAAGCCCCGCCCACGTCAAAACAGCATATCTCTCATGTGAAACAATTTAAAAATATTTTTGGGGTTTTCTTAGAAACTGAAAATAAAAGGTTGGAGTGTGACGTTACCCAACGCAGACATCAAATGACGGAACCAATGTGCCCAGAGACTCATCTAGTTTAACCAATAGGCTGTAGATCTCAAAGGACCACACATGCTCTTATTATACTGATTCAAATGTCAATTACCTTCAAAATCTGTAATTGCAACTGAAAAGAAAACATGACTGGATCACGACAAACCCTGACTACCTCCACTCACTTACCAATGAGGACTCAAAACGATCAAAGCCGCCTGTGTCCTGTCCTCCAGCTTCAGCGATGCCATCTGGCCCCTCAGAAAAGACGCTTCCCTCCGGCTCCGATTTCTCCTCCAAAGCCGTGCTGTGCCTGATCGAGGCCGTCGGGCGCCGCTGGGGCCTCTATGAGACCCGGGAGCGCTCGCAGCTCTTCCAGAGCGTCCAGGAGGAGATGGCCTCCAAGGGCCACGTGCTCCCCGTTGAGAAGATCCGCCGTAAGTGGAACAACCTCATCGTCACATACAAGAGGGTTAAAGACCGCAGCCGGGAGACGGGGCACGCCAAAACGTCCTGGGAGTTCTTCGATGTGAGTGTTTCCACACAGGGAATATTTCCCCCCGACTATTATTATTAACTATTTACTGCTCTCCATATCATACGGGTTGCTGGTTTGTTTCCCCTCTCTGCCTCCCTGTGCTCCTGTTCTCTGGCTCTAGTTGATGGACTCAACCCTCTGTGACACCGTTGGCACCCAGATCGCCAACGCCAAGAGGCCCCGAGCGTCCGCGCAGCCCGGCCCGCTGGCAAAGATCGCCGCGAAACCGCAGTTCCCGCAGCGCACCACCGTCATCCGCCCTGATGGGGACTTCGCTCCGACTGGTGGGGAGGACTCGGCGGGTCACGGGGCCGCCGGCTGCCAGGTCATCAGCGGCGCTGCCGCCGTTGGCGCGATGACCCCGGCGACCGTTAGCCCGACAAATGCGCCAGAACTCAAGCCCCTGATTGTCTTCAACAGCGAGATCGTTGCATCCAGTGTCCATCCGGCCGCCGTTGTGCCATCGCCATCTTTCATCTCCTCGCCTTGTTTCACAGAGACGGCCTCCACTCCCCCCTCGCTCGGCCTTACGGGCAGCGCCGACCTCAACGCGCCGCACCACGCGGACCGCAAACCGCTGCCGTTTTCGCAAGGCCCCACGTCCTTTCGCCTTGGCGGGGCGCCGCCGAGTAACAGTCACAATATCCTGGGCCACTCCTCACCGTTCCCGCCCACTTCCTCGTCTCTCTCCTCCTCTGCTTCCACCTCACTATCGGCAACCACCCCGACGGCGAGCGAAGGGGCGAAGCCGCAAAGGGGACGAGGAAGCGGGCCGGGCGCCGCGTTGTTCCAGGAGGGCCCTGAAGCGGCAGGAGGGAGCAGGCCTACCTGGAGCGGGTGGCTCGCCGCCGGGTGGAAGCCAGGGAGAAGAGGCGCGAGAGGAGGAAGGTGCGGATGGCAGATTCCCTGGGCAGGATAGCCACGGCCCTGGAGCTGCTCTCCTCCAAGCAGGACACCGTCATTGCCCTTCTGCAGAGACTGGCTGAGCGGAAGTGATGGAGGGCTCCTGGGATCACGCTTTTTAAAACTTCTTAATCCATAACATAATCCCCCCCCCCCCCCCCCCAACATGAGTGTAAATAACATTTTTAACTTTTCTACATGAAGCATGAGGGGAATGGGTCGCTTTGGTAACATGCTTTACATATGAGTGCATTACAGTTTGCTTCACCAACATCAATAAAAAAAGATCCTGAACAGAGTGATAATGGTGAATAATTACTCCTCATGGCCGACGAGAGACGTCTCCCGAATGCAACTCCAATGTGTGACGAGTGGGTGGGACCATGTTCTGTCCAAAAAAAAGGCACTACTGTGGACGGTGGATCTCCTGAAGGCTTTTCATCAACCTCTAGTCTTCAAAATCCACATCATTAGTTAGACGGTTTTGAGTATCTGCCAATAAGTCTTTCAATCGGGAGAGACAAAGTGAGATAGTGAAAGATAGCAGTTTATTAATAAACGACACGTGATGATAAAAGTCTCTCTCAGACGCCGCAGGGAGATTTGCAATGGACGGATGCCTTGAGCTTTGAGAGGATGAATTCCCTGGTGGTGGTGTTGGCTGATAAGGCGGCTTGAATGAGGAGTTGATGAAGACTGGGTGGAGATGAGGAGGTGGAGGGATGCACAACGGGTTCAGCCCATGTAGAGACAGCAGCAAGGTGCTTTTGCATTTTTTTTTTCTTTGTGCTTATTAGACAGAAGAGACCAGCTGATCTAAACAGCTGATGTCCTGATGGACAGCTCCAGACGGTGACAGCGAGGGATTGATAAGTGAGCACAAGGAGTGGTAGATGTAGATGGGTTTTCCTGTCTGAACCTGTGCTAGCTTTTGTTTCATTCATTTACAGTACTTCTAAGAACACAATACATTCAACTTTGCTGGCGTTTATTTTGACCGTCCGAACCTGAGAGTTTGCCAACCAATTAAAATGCATTGCACAGTCAACTGTGTATAGAGCATGTGACATTTATTTGGTTTGCATCAATAAATCATAAATAATTTATTAAAAACATATCACGAGCACTGTCCATGCAAGGTTTAAAGGGCTGTTGGACAATATGCTTATAGGACAGTATATAACAGTTTCAGCCCTTTAAACCTATTTCTTCTTACTTTAAGTTTCATTTACTCGGCAGCGATGGGAGGAAACTGGTTCGACCAGAACTTGAAAACGCTTCTAGGAACAGTGAGACTTCTGAGACGCATTCAGACAGAACTTAAAAAATCTGACATTTCTGAGACGCAGTCAGCCAGAACCTGCTGTGAGAACTGAAATCATCAGATACAATCGACGTCTCTAACTATCAGTTTCTTCCTGCTGTTTCCAAAATTGCCGAGAAATGTGTTACAGAACAACTTATTAAACATCTCAACAGCTCTCCATATCAGCTTCATCCTATGCAGTTCAGTTCCAGGGTTTATTATTCGACTGAAACAGCCAACTGCTTCGTCTTAGAGAATGTGAAGATTAAAATGGATAAAGGGGTTGTGTTCTTTCTGTCTGAACTTGCTCGAGCTTCAATTGTTTCATTCTACTTTTCATTCACAGCACCGGGAACACGTTGAATTTGTTTCCCTGGGGTTCATTTTGACCATGTGAACCTCAGAGGTTTATTTACAGCCAGTGTCCCGACTGTTAAATTTCCTCTTACTTTAAGTTTAATTTACTCGGCAGCGACAGGAGGAAACTGGTTCGACCGGAACTTATATTTTATAGTGTAATTTTTCTCAACTGTGAATCCCTGGATTACCACGCATAGTATTTGGCTCCGGCACACATTTAAATGTTGGGATAGTGGGAAAAACTAATGCGTGGAGCCCCCACAGCTCACTTTCTTGACACATGCGTTTGATAAAATGTCAGGATGATGTTTTGGGGGATTTCTCCCTCACCCGTAATATGTGTGTTGAACCTTTTACCAGCTGGCCTTATGTCGGCTTTCTGGGGAACCACATGTTTGGCTACATACTTTTCCCTCTAAGATTCGGTTTTGTCCTGTGACGTCTGGTTCAGAACGTTGCTATACACAGAAACGCAATGTGCACTAACATCATCAATTGTTAAAAGCTAAACCACGCCAATTGTTTTTATTTTATTTCATTTCTTGGATCCCGTGGTCTCCCTCGTGCTCCGCGGTGACGCACGATAAGCAAACCAAACCCTGTCATACATTTGTATTAAGTGCGCCTCCTCTTTTATCCAGGTGAGTGTTGTGTAATTTCACTTTCGACCCACTGCCACTCCCACTGAAATGAAAAAAAAGCACCAACCCTTTTTTATATCTGCGTGACCACATCATGTCCATAACTAAATAAGTGTCACGGACAGGCAGCCCAAAACCGCCTCGAGAAAAGGTCCGCTCGGTCGGCTGCTTTCACCTCAAACGTTCTGCGGCGCGAGGGCCCCGCGCGCCTGGGAGAAGCCTGTGACGAATGCTGCGAGGCGACGACAGGAGGAAACTGGTTCGACCGGAACTTGAAAACGCTTCTAAGAACAGTGAGACTTCTGAGACGCAGTCAGACAGACCTGCAGTGAGGACTGACATCGTACAGACATGGTGGCCACGGTTGGCAGATTGACTGAGAACAACCCTGATATACCCGATGAACAGCAGCAGAAACGTGAGTGTAAAAATGATCTTTTGGTTAGTTTCTGTTTTTAGCTGCCCATAAAGAAAATGATTAATTTAAGTAAACTCAACTCCATTCAAAAGATGTTTACGTCAGTTTCACGGGACAATCCTTCACTTTGGCATCATTGTATTCTTAGTGAGAGTTGACTTGGCAGGTCTGCATTAAACAGAGAGGCGGCTCAGCTGAGGTGTGAACACTTCTTTCACCAGTAGCAGGCGGTTTGCATTAGTTGCATTTGAATCCCTTCGCTTTGCATGAAAGACGTAATAACTCACACTCCCTTTTGAGAGTCATCACATTCAGATTTTGCAGAAAGATTATTGAAGATTTTAAACGTTTGTGTCATTTATGAAAACTTTTATTTCATTGTATTGTTTATGTCGTCTTATTTAAACAGGATATCCCTTTGAGATTTTTTTTAATCTCTTTTAGAAGATGTTTGTGTTCAAAAAGGTCACCACATGAAAACACAAATAGCAGAAGCAATGCACTGGAAAGTAAGATAAAAACAAATGTACGGTTGTTCAGCAGCTACAAATGCACAATGAACTTAACCATGACTCACTGTTTGTCAAATTCTTGCCACGCCTAACGTACCAGTTATACCAGTTCAACCCTGGTCAGTAAAAACACCATAGTGTACATTGTACACCACCATACATTGAAATCGGAGCAAATATGAGAAATGTGACCAAAAGCATCTTTGGTCGTGACTCTCAAACTGTGGGGTGCGACCCCCTAGTGGACCGTAGAGGTATCACAGATGGGTCGCATGGTGATTGAGAACCACTGATTTAAGTTAACTGTGCATCGTGTACTAAAACTTCCGTCTGTTGACTTCACAGCGCCCCTGAGAATCATGCTTCTCGGGAAGAGCGGGGTTGGCAAGAGCTCAAGTGGGAACACCATCCTCGGGCGGGAGGCGTTTGAATCGGACATGAAGCTGACGAGGGTCACTAAATACTGTGAGAAGCAGAGCGGGACGGTCAACGGCGTCCCCGTCGCCGGCGAGGTTCGGGACGTGCCCGTCTCCGTGATGGACACGCCCGGCCTTTTCGAGACGGGCCGCAAGGAGGAGGTGGTCCTGCGAGAGATTCTGAAGTGCGTCAAACTCCACGAGCCGGGTCCTCACGTCTTTGTGCTGACGCTGGCTGTGGGGAGGATGACGCAGGAAGATCAAGATACCAACAGACTGATCGAAGAGATGTTCGGCCCCAGAGTGTGGGACTACACCATCGTGCTGTTCACCTACGGGGATCGCCTGGCTCACAAGAACATAAACGACGTCATCTCGGAGAGCGACGGCAACCTGCGCAACTTCATACGCAAGTGCAGCGGCGGCTTCCACGTCTTTGACAACAAGAGCCCAGAGGACCAGGACCAGGTGACCAGCTTTGTGTCAAAGATCCAGACGCTGGTGGCCCTGAATGGAGGGGGACATTACGACAACTCCCTGTATCCCCAAGTGGAGAGATGGATCAGGAAAGAACAGGAGAGGATCCTGGCGCGGAGAAAGAACGAGATCGTTGGTCAGGAGAGAGCGCTGCTGGAGCGTTTCCAAGGGGAAGAGTTGGAGGAGGAGAAGAACCAGCTGTGGAGGAGAGAGGAAGACAAATCAAGGGTGGCTGCAGAGAAAGCGGTCCGCAGTTTCTTGTACATGCCGATATTCATCCTCTTCCTGGGAGCAATAGCGATGGTAGCTTTTTTTAATCAGCTACCAATTCCGTATCTTGAGGCGGGGATTCTGGTTATCGCTTTGATTTTCTTATATGTGACACGTGAGTCTATTTTGCCAAAAATACCTGGGCTTCTCCAGAGAATTCAATGGCCAGAGATGCTGACACCGAGGCATTGATTTAAATTCTTCAGTTAATAATTAGACACCAAAGAAACAAGTTCTGAATTCTAACGATTTCTGTGACTCTGACTTAATCTACTGTCATGTAACACAACTGTAAAACTTGCTAATAAACATTGTATTATCAACAAGTCAAAATGTATTCATCTATTTATTATTGATTGTTGTTAACGTGAGGTGATGCCCTCTGGTGGGAACTTCATAAGCAGCTACAAGGGAAAGCAAAAATAAACAAATAGGCACGGCATGTTGGATGATTTAGATCAGGGTTCAGTAACGACGGCCTGTGACCTCTGCTGGATGTCAAGTTGCAAGGTTCCCTCCATACATTGTGGAGGCATTTGAAGACTGACCGTAGCCCACACATGGCGCACAATGTGAGTATCGCACATTTTATGGCAGTTTGGGGTTGTATAGTGCATTCCTTAACAAACCTAAAAGTTGTTTTGAACCAAGTGAAATCCAACGAGCGAGGAGCTGCAAAAATGAAAAGATGAAAAAAAAGAAAGTTCTTCTTTTGTACATTTGTATTCGGAGATCAATCAAAGCAGTGCATTTTTACTTTTGCTACTACAAACCCTATTCTGTCATATTGTCTCCATCATTTTCCATCTCCTCCTCCTCCTCTTCATCTTCATCAAAATATTTATCCTCTGCATCTCTGCTGACTATGTCCAAGTTGTCGAAGTCAGGGTTCTCGTCCACCTCACTGTAATGGACACACGCACACAAAACAACACATTCTTTTAAAGCAACACAAAACGTGTGGTGACATCTAGCAACTTGATTTAATCTGAACTCAATATTATAGGACTTTTTTGTATTTAAAAGTTTTTTTTAAATCAACTTGTTCACTCAGCAGTTATTTAGTTATATCTCAATTTTCTGTTTATTAGAAATCCTATTTTTAACATTTGTAATGACACACTGTTCCTTGACTGTTGTATGTATCCTTCACGTCGCACAAATGCCCATTAAGTGGTGGCGTGTCTGACCTGTAGTTGAAATCCTTGTCTTTGCCATCTAGGAAGCGCTGGTGCATCTGGCTGATGAACTCCTCCCTGAACAGTGCCTTCTCCTCTGGGGTGGGAGCCCATTGCTTCTGCTGGACAGAATAACCTAGAGCAGAAACACAGAGAGCGATGCTCAATGACTAACGGATACGCAAAAGGGCAAAGCAACTACATTTATTGTAAAACCTCAGCCTTCCTCACCATCGTCGTCGTCCTCCTCCTCCTCACGCGCTCCATCCTCTCTCTCCTGCTCCTCCTGCAGGCGATTCTGGATGAGACGCTCCTGGTAGGAATTGAGGAGGAGGTGGGCGAGCCCTCCTGCGCCTCCCGCTGGTGCCCCTGGTCCCCCCTGCGCATCGCCCTGCATGGCCTCCTGGGAGCGTTCCAGCACCTAAAACATTTGTCATTCAGAAGTTACTTTAAAAAAAAAGAAAAAAACAGGAGTCAAGTGAACTGCAAATTGTGGTACAAAGCGGTTACAGCTCTGGTTCTCACCTCCTCGTCAGTCAGGTACTGGCCAATATATTGTTCATACAACAGCGGCTCCCTGATTCTCATCTGCTCCTCACTGAAATATTCCCCCTCTGGAAAAGGAAGAGGGATGATGCATAGTTGATAAAGTTCATTGAGTACAATGAGGACGTTCGGCAGCACCATTTAAGAAGTATTTTTTGAAGTATTTTGAACAGGTGAAATAAGTCTGAGAGAGTCTGTTGTACTAAACAAGTCTTGACAAAAAAGCTCCTACCCCTCTGCAGGGCCCTGAGGGCGGCGTAGCGCTGGTTTCGAACCCGCGTCCTGTTGCTGCACGCTGCAGCCCGTCTCTGTATCACATCGCTGTAGTGAAGAACCCGCGGGTCGGAAAGGACGTGGGCGAACGCTGACAGGTTCCTGGGCTTGAGGCAGGTCTTGATATTGGGAAGGTTATATGGTTACACAGGTTGTCATTTTGCTGCGTATAAAATAAACCCTTTGATCAGCTGCAGCCACAGAGACATCGAGCCGTGTGCACGTACATGGTACCTCTCCAGGAACACCAGCGGCCTGCTGCTGTACTGGTGCAGCAGCTCCTCTCGCCGCTCCTCCAGGGTCAGCTCGGCCTCCCCCTTCTGCTGGCTCTTCACCAGGATCCCACTGGCGGCTATGGCGTCCACCATGGCATTCACGCAGATCGACTCGGCCTGGCTCACGTACTGTGCGATAACGAGACGCGCTATCAGCCTGGTTTGCACTTGCACATCGGAACCGAGATGGCGGTTAAGCGGACGCTGCTGGCGGTCTCACCTGGGGGTCTTGTCGTGGCTGCGGAGCCTCCGCGGGGCGTTGGAAAGCACATATGTGGGACAGTGTCACGGGTTCTTCTGGCAAGTCGCCCCCGTCTTCACTCTCGGACGAGCTCGGTCGGGTTCTAGCCGGAGGATCGATTTCCCCCCACATGATGAACCGTTGAGACGTCCGGGCAGCTAGTGGTGAATTAGCGTTAGCTAACGTTGATGTTCGTTGTCAGATACAGTTGGTTGGTCACTTCACTGTAACATTAACTTTCCTGAATGTTTTGTCTGACAAACTGAGATGGGGTGGCGATGTCTCTCGGTGCAGAGGGGGCATTTCCACTTGATAAGATACTGAATTGCGAGTCTATTACACAAATGCGTTTCATTTTAGCATTAGCTTTGTTTTTCCGCCATCTTGGTCCGCGTTAAATGTCGCCCTCCAGTTGTGCAGCGCAAAGAATGGTTCCACAAGGTGGCTGACCGGCCTGTATGGTGGATTGTGTCGCTCTCTCGTGGTTGCTTTCCGGTCATAGCAAGAAGTGGACCATTATTCATCAAAATAAAAACAGATATTGATTTCCAATATGCTAGGTGTCACGACTCAAATAGGGTACCTTTATTATATTTTATAGTGTAATTTTTGATCTCAACTGTGAATCCCTGGATTACCACGCATAGTATTTGGCTCCGGCACACATTTAAATGTTGGGATAGTGGGAAAAACAAATGCGTGGAGCCCCCACAGCTCACTTTCTTGACACATGCGTTTGATAAAATGTCAGGATGATGTTTTGGGGTATTTCTCCCTCACCCGTAATATGTGTGTTGAACCTTTTACCAGCTGGCCTTATGTCGGCTTTCTGGGGAACCACATGTTTGGCTATATACTTTTCCCTCTAAGATTCGGTTTTGTCCTGTGACGTCTGGTTCAGAACGTTGCTATACACAGAAACGCAATGTGCACTAACATCATCAATTGTTAAAAGCTAAACCACGCCAATTGTTTTTATTTTGTTTTATTTCATTTCTTGGATCCCGTGGTCTCCCTCGTGCTCCGCGGTGACGCACGATAAGCAAACCAAACCCTGTCATACATTTGTATTAAGTGCGCCTCCTCTTTTATCCAGGTGAGTGTTGTGTAATTTCACTTTCGACCCACTGCCACTCCCACTGAAATGAAAAAAAAGCACCAACCCTTTTTTATATCTGCGTGACCACATCATTTCCATAACTAAATAAGTGTCACGAACAGGCAGCCCAAAACCACCTCGAGAAAGGTCCGCTCGGTCGGTCGCTTTCACCTCACACGTTCCGCGGCGCGAGGGCCCCGCGCGCCTGGGAGAAGCCTGTGACGAATGCTGCGAGGCGACGCCGGAGGTCCTGCGACGTCTCTCTCCAAACCACCGTGAGCGACATCTTAAAGTTGTATTTCCTGTAACGTACGTTGGTCCGTATAACTGCAGCGCGTGCTGCGTAACGCCGGAGCTTCGCGCGTGGAGCCGTGACTGTCACGTCCTTGTTGACGGCCGCTGGTCCTCATTTTGACGTTATTAACATTTCCTTGTGGTGTATTTCTTATCTGGAAGACTATCTGTATTATTATTATTATTATTGATGGGTTGAGTCTGGGCGTGTTTACCGTTCTTTGTTAATGGGGTTAGTCCCAAACCCAAATTTTCTCAATGTCTCCCTTTTAAAAATATCCACACACTTATAACTCAGCTATTCTACAACAGGGATAACTTTTATTTGGGAATGTTATTTTAGGGGTCAAGTTCAAGAGACTAACTCACTTTGTGCGCGTGAGGAAACTCTCTTCTTTCCCCCTCCTCAAACCGAGGAAGTGGCTCATTCTATTTCAGCCGCTCTGTCCAGCTTGGTACTTTCCTCATGGAGGCCAGTGGCCTTTCTGGACCTTAAAGCTTGAGGTCTGTTCCCCAAGTCTCAACTTCATGTCCTCAAAGTGCTCCTCCATTGTCGGAGGACCTCCTGCCCGACCCTCAGCTTACCTCAGCTCATCGTGAGACTTTCGTCTCCGTCTCTGGCTGGTTGCTGACGGCCGGCTTTCTCTTCCCGAATCTGACCGGCGAGCTTCAGTTTTCAGTCTGCCCTCTTCTTTCTGTAGCCTGTCAGGAATCAGGAATCAGGAATCAGGAAACATTTATTGGCCAAAATATGTCAAACATACAAGGAATTTGTCTTGGCGGTTAGTGCGCGACAGTAGACAGACAAGACAACAGTGCACAGGTAATAAAATAAGGTGGAATGAAATGCTAATGCAATGGGTTAGTAAGAATAAGGCTAAGGCTATGGGTTAGTAAAAAAACAAGGGAATAAAGTTAAACAAATTTTAAATATTAAAAAGTTAAAAAGAAAAGTATTAAGCATAAAGTGCACTAACAAACAAGTAACAGACAAGAGACAAAGTGACAAGTGACAAAGTGATGAATTGCAGTTAAAGTGGCATGTGCAGTGTGAGGGGGAGTGACCGGTGGAGTGTTATAGTCAGGCAGTGGGGGACCGGGCTCTGTTGATGAGCCCGACTGCCGACGGGAAGAAACTGTTCGTGTGGCGGGAGGTCGTAGTCCTGATGGACCTCAGCCTCCTGCCAGATGGAAGGGGCACAAACAAACGCTCCACCGACTCCCAACGGGGCTCGTGTGTAACCGTCCACAGCGACACGTTCCTCGTCGCAGGCCGCTGCTCGGCCACTTTGAAGCTTCTACCGGACCTGGTTCTCCATCCACCTGCTTCCTGCCCGCTCGCTCCAGGACTGATGGATTCTTTAGTTTAAGTCGATCACGTTACCATGGGGAGTGCATCACGATAAACCTTTAAACACACTACTTTATAGAGTATAAAGGTAGGCGATGGTTCAACAGGAAATAAAAATCATAGAAACACAGGTACGTAAATCATCAGCTTCCTGTCAAACAGAATACAAGTTGAGATATTTTTCCTCTTTACTCATAAACACAATAAACTGTACAGATCCAGTAAACATTTGAGGGGTTTCGCTCTCTGGTTTAGGAGAATCTGCGTCGCTGCTGACAAAGCTGTGGAAACGGGTCCAGCTTTAATGTTTGAGTCGCCTGAACCGAATGAAGAGCGTGCACTCAATACATTGTTTACATTCCACCATAAACACGCTGGGATATTCTGGAGCTACATTAAGCCGTTGAAATGAGTCACAGCGCTGCTTGTGGTGGAATGAAAATAACAGCTGCACAGGTTATTATTCTTCTCTTTCTTCTTTGGTTCATTAGCAACATTTAGAAGCAGATTTCCTCGTTAAAGAACTGAGTCGAGCTCTCAGGTCAAATCCAAACCTTTTACTGCAGGTCGGAAAGTTGGCAAAGTATAAAAAAAGGTAAACGCACCAGGACTATACAGCCGTCTGTATATATGAGCCTTGCTCTAATTTAAGTGCAAAATTCTTTCGTTTTTACAGGACCGTTGTTTCATTAACTGATTTTCGGTTCATCTCTAGTTCAGGTCATTTCAGATCGGAAGCCTTTCCTTTGAGAATGAGAACGGCATTTTTACAAAAAAACAGTGAACATTCTTTTTCGCATTAATAGTTGTTCTTTCCCGCTCGCACAAGAGTGACGGCTACAGCGGATGATATTGAGTAAGAACTGAACTTTATTGGAGTTTTTCATAAGATATAGAGATGTCATGTGTTCTATTTTAGTTCAGTTTCAGTAACAGACAAACTGTAATTGATAGTATTTATTCCTATTATGATTATGTTATTGTGGTAAAATGATTGTGGTGTGAATTTGATTTGATTTGAAATTCTAATAAAAAGAACAAACAAAATACACACATAGCGTTTTGCCACTGAAGAAGAGAGGGATCGATCTTAATATGTATGTAGTGACCAACTCACAAGCTGTTAGTAAATTATAGTGGCTTGTATGCAGGCATTAACTGGGCTGAGGAATATCACATAGAGTATTGATGGACTTGGAAAGTGTCCATTACACATTACAGACGAGATGTGTGTATTCAGTCATCAGGGTTTACCTTCCCTCCACAGACGCTGATTATGTAATGTGTTGCATATTGTCAAAGCAGGGTGTCCAGCACCTTCTGTTATGTCTTTACTGTCAACATTTTATCTATATATATATATACATATATGTACATATGAGAGTGATGGGGGATGCAGTGGGAGAGCGTGTGCATTAAGCGAGGCCTCATCCATATCTTTGCCTCCCAGGTCTGTCTGCCAGCCTCACTCTGAATCCCCAGTAACCATGGAGACCGAGTTTCGAGACGTACTGAATGCAGGGGCCTTCATCCCCAGCCCCCAGAGTGAAGCTGTGGCCAATGAGCTGCAAGAGTTGTCCCTGCAGCCTGCCTCCAATCCGCTGCAAGTCAGAGAGAGGAAGGACGGTGGGTGTTTTCTTCTTTTTTTACACCCCTCATGGAACGGCCTTCGAAGGGCATGAAGTGCACAAGCATCGTGACGTTACTCAGACAGACGAGCAGGAGGCCCGTGGTCCCGTTGGGTTTAGTTTGAACATGATTTGAGGGCCGTAGAGTTTACATTTCAAAGACACACTAGATCTCCTTTGCGATTACCTCGTTACAAACAGCAAGCGCCGTCTTCCCAGTGAACTCAGGCGCGAGCTTGCTTATGCAGACTCGTAAACTAGAGGAAAGTGACACGCACGCACTGCATTCCAGCGCACTTCTTCAGATGAGGGCTAAACAACAAAGTCCACCTAAACTTGAGCTGCACACATTAAATACACAAAATATTATTTTAAAGGAATGCCACACAAAATGATACTCCAGCTGTATAGTCTGCAGAGGTCAAAGGGACCCTGTGGAGTTTTAGTGTTTTTTTCTAGCAACCTTCATACTATATATCTTGTTTAAAAAAATAAAAACTTTCACTTCTATTCCGTTAAACTGGAAGAAGGAAATAGGTTTCTGTAACATATTTGTTGTGGTGAGTACAAATCTGATAGGATGCTGATTACAAAGTGCATATTCGTGTATTCCTGTATTTATACAGATATACTGAGATTGCTGCACAATTATGAGTAAAATGATAATCAGCATTATTTTGATCAATATCGACATCATGACTACTTTTCACTATAATTTATGGAATCTTTGTATTGCACTCCAGAGCAGTGTTCACATTCACTTTGATATTGTGCTGCTAATGAACAAATCAAAATGTGAATTAGCTTGAAGTGGTTCTTCACCTGACTTCAGGTCATTTTGGTTTCCCACGTATTAAGCCACTAAGACCACTAATGTGCAGGATTTTTCTACTCTGGATTGGAGCAGCAGCATTCAGCAAACTTGTTACATGAGTCACGTGACATCTCCCAGAAGGGAAGCCAAAAAGTCTCCATCGACTCCTGGTGGTTGGCTGATCGCTTAGGAAGTGCAGCTTTTCATTTTAAACATGAATCAGTCTACACGGATGGAGAGTGTATGTTAATGACACGTGTAAATAGGGGCCAGTTGAACCAGCCGCCGCTCTCTTCTGGGAAGCCACATCCCCAGAGGCACGTGTGCAGCCGGATTGACTGGTAGTAGTCCAGTAGTATTGGAGCGGATCGCGTTGAAAGGGTGTAACGTGTGCGCTATTTGCACATTTGTCCGGCGTGATCGCTGTAACGCATGGAGAACTCGATATGGTTACTTAAATAAATCACAATAAAAAGACAAAGGGTTTACACTTAAAGGTTTTTAAGTGTAAACCCCTTTCCAGTGAAGGGACAAAGAAAAGGATCGTATCTTTGTTCTTTTCTTCTGTTCCTCACAAGGTCAAAGCACAGGGATTTTCCGTTTTGTGTACAAGAAGTGCGATATGAATATAATATCAAGTGAACGGCAGACGCAGTAATCCGATACATCGGTGCGCCATGGCTTCACCAGTAAGTCAGTTTGAGAGGGCGGCCACATCTCCACCTTCCGGCCGGTGCAAGTGCTACAGGCAGCCGGGCTCTTTGTAACACGAACTCCTGTGAACAAAAGGTTCACGAGCTGATCACCATCTGGTCCCAGGTTGTGTTTAAAACCCTGTGATTCTGCACTGAATAACTCTTACGTATGTGTCAATGTGGCTCTTTGAGTGTGTGTGTGTGTGTGTGTGTGTGTGTGTGTGTGTGTGTGTGTGTGTGTGAGAGAGAAACCCAAGCCCCACCGGGCACCGGTGAAGAGCTTCTGGATTTAGCGATGAGGCCAGCTGGTCCTGCTATTTAGACCAGTTGGAGAAAGTACAGAGGTTAAGAGCAAAGAGAGATGTAATATCAGAGGAGGGTTGGTTGAAGTGAGAAACGGTATCGGAGCAACAGGTTCCTACGTGAGTGTAAGGAGGCTCTGTGTGCACTCAGCAACTTAAAGGAGAAGTCAGTAGGATTCAAGGGGATTTATTTCATATTAAGGTCTTTCTCAAGGAGCCCACCCTCTTGCACCGCCATGGAAGCTGCTGAAGAAACCTTCAGCAGCTTCCAGAGCTTCTCAAGATTCCTTTTGCCAGCCAAAGGCCACAGTGCTTCTCTGACATGCTTGAAAAGAGTGACGTGAGCAGAGAGGCTTCAGTGCAATGCAGTTTGCAACCTCACCACCAGATGCCTCTAAATCCCGTTGAAGAAAGAATGCTCTGAGGGGTTTGGACCCAGGGTGCAATTTTGTGGCACCAGATTAGAAGAAATGCTTCAACTATACGACGTTAAATGCACCTACAGAGCTGTTGAATACACCAATTCAGTTTCATATTTTATGTACAGGCCTGAATCACAAATGTATCTCATAGGGTTTCACAATCTGTACGACACACAGCACCTCACACGGGAACCGGAAAACAGGGAGAACCCTCAGGGAGAACCACAGAGGACGGATCCCTTCTCTTAGGGTGGACAGATGGACACATGTCATGTGTACAGACGGAATAACAGAGCAACAAGGCAGTGCAGTAAAGTACCTTGTTTTTCATTTCGCCCACAAGCACAGTGCGACGGACCTGACTGACGGGGCTTTGATTGACTTGTGGATCAATAGTTAATAACTACATCTTCATTTTGAGTCTTAATTAAAGTGGATGTTGGGGAATAGAGTGCGTTGGACGATGGGTATAATGTGACTATCATTAAGTCAGCAGCAAAGGAAAAACACCACTAACTGAATACAATTGTGGTACACAAACACACAAAGAAGGAGCAGAGCTGCGTCTTTATGCGGAGAGCAACATTTTGATTATGGGAGAGTGCACAACAGTAACTCAAAACCACACGTGGGGGAGGGAGGGGGGAGGAGGGGGGAGAGGGTTCATTTGACACTTGTTTACAGCTTTGTCTTGTTTTAGGAAGGGCACAGGTGATGAAACCCAAGACGAGGCTGATATGTGGCAATACATTCCTGTGGTGAATATGAAAATAACATTTAGCCTTGGTTAGGTTATAAAAGATTGAAATAAACTACATGAAGGCTTTATTTGTTCGCTCGCTTTATAACACACGATGAAGCTCATTTAGAAAAGTTAATTTAAAAAAAGTTAAAGTTAATATAAAAACATTCTTTTGAATCCTTAATAAACCTTCCAAACTGCTTCTCAACAACAAGCAGATATTATCTACGGGCTTAGAACTATTCCTGCGTCTTCTCGCAGCCTTTCTCTCATTTCCCGTACTACAGAAACGGGGCCGGCGAGGCTCTTTCTCGGCTTTTTAATGAGCACGCTCACTAACGGCAGCTGCTTTTGGCAGTGACCTTTGACCCCTGATCTGATCGTTTCCTCTCAGTGACATAACGGGGGAATCCTTTTAATAGTTCCGTGGGCGACCTCTCCGGAGATGACAGCGAGACGCGGATGAACGCGTAGCCAGAATGTCTGTGGGCTGCAGAGGTCGAACAGGACGCACTCCTGAATACAAACTGCCTTTAACTTTCATTTTCAGATATCTCAAATAGAATCGCGTTGGCCACGTGAGCCGTGCGGCTTGATGGCGGAAATGTCGGCGTGTTGGCAGCCATTCAACAACTTTGCTCCAGTTCCCATGAACCATAAACTGCCTATGAAACTTAGACTAGACACACTCTGATAACTCTCAGACTAGAAATAGGATCATATTTTACAAAATGAACATCGTGCTCTATCAAAGAGTAAACTCAAGTGTACTTTGGAGTTGGACGTAGTAATTTCCCCGTGGACTTTAGCTAAATAGAAAAATACTTCCTTCATCTTCTCGGCACCTCAGTATCCATACCTCCGTACATCCATACAAACCGCTGCTTTGAGCGGGATGGAGCTCCGTGTGGGAGAGAGAGAGAGAGAGAGAGAGAGATATTTACAGTCCACATGCAGCCATGAGCGCAATGAAGGCTTTTACCTCAGCATCTATGACTCGTATGAGCTCACTCTCTACAGGGACTGAGTCGAAACAAATCTCTGAAATACTCGTCACGTTACATAAATGATACGGAGTTGAACACACACGTGTAGATCCACAGAAACACACACACGGGGCAAAGCGGGATAATCACGCCCGTGTGTTGGTCGGGGCCTAATTGGAAGTAACGGCGGCTCAGAGCCCCGATTCGTCTTCGCCTCTCTTGTCAGACTGAGAGTTTTTTTTTGTGCCAAATCTCACATCCAAACTACCTCTGTCATCCCAGGCGGGCCTTTGTGCCTGCAATCACTGCTTTGCTTTTCAGGCACTGCCCCTTCTGCATAATTTGCTCCATCACCATAATGTGATAACGATCGGCACCGTCGGTTTATTGTAATGCTAAGTGACAGCTGAGAAGGGAGCGCTTCGTTTTTCACCTTCAACGGGCTTCACTTTCAACTCTCTAATGTCATGTCACACTATCTGATAGTCACCTGGGACAGAGCCTCAATAACGGCGATGAATGAAACTGTTTTGGCGAGCAGGCGGGTAGAGGAGAGGCTGACAGGGAGAGATTAAGGCATGCAGGCAGGTCACACGCCGCATGGATCAGCTGGTAGTTTGGTCATGTAAGCAGAGGTGCATTGACGTGTTTTCTGTTTCTGATCGTCCGGCTCCCATCAACACAATTTCATGTGTTTTTAGAAAGCTTCGGACGAGAGAAAGACATTTTAGGGCTATTTTCGAAGAAAAGAAAACACGCTGCTGATTTTGGATAGTGAGCCTGCTGGACCCAATGTTCTTTTCATGAAGAGTGGGATTTAAAGCAGTTCTGCTTCCACCGTCTGTAATGCTCCTTGTTGTTGTTGGTTCCGGAGCCCCTCAAACGCGGTTAGCAGGAAGCAAAACACAAAAGTCAGGCAGGTGGGCCGAAAGACAAACCAGCCAGTAGAAAGTAAGACACAAAGCAGGGATGCAGGAGTGGAAGCAGGTGCTGCGGTGGGCGTGTAATGATTTTAGGCCTGAATGCGCGATGCCAGAGAGGTGCTCACGCAGGTGCACCTCATCTACCCGCGCTGAGCTCAGATCACAAGTGCTAAGTGAGAGGAATTTGGCGAGGATGAAAGGGGCTCCGCTCCAAACATGTGCTCATGTGTATTTGTGTGTGTGTGTGTGTGTGTGTGTGTGCCTGTCTCTGTCCGTCAGCGGCTGAGTGCTGCAGCAGCTGGGACGCACTGCTTGATCACGGAGTCATCGACATTTGACACACGCGTCTTCCTCAGTCCCGTCGCTGCAGCAAACACAGCAGAAGCTCTTCTGAAGCTGTGCAGTGCAGCTGTGCAGTAGCTTTGTGTGTAATCATATATATATTAGACTTTCTTTTTTTTTTATTTCAAGACCACAACACATTGAAGGAAGGCTTTGTTGTAGAGGACACTAATCCGATCAAGGCGCTTTTTTCAAAACTATTTTGGAGGAGAAAAACTCCTGCAAAACCCCTTTTTTTCATAATACGTTTCTTTGCTTTTAAGACTATTCCTTCATAGCAGCTTTACAACCGTCGGGAGGATTACGACACCCAGATCCAGCCGCTGCCCACTTCCTGCTTCTGGTTTCCTTTGCCCCCGAGAGTCGCTTTCTTTCCCGTTTGATTGCCATGCTGGAGCACCTGCGCGGTGTCCGCATCGACCCCGCCCCTCTCAGGCCTCCGCCAATCAGCCGGGACATGGACGAGAGGGCCCTGCGGTTCGAGTTAGAGCGCCAGGCCTGTCAGAGTCTCAGGCAAGGTGTGGTACCTGCTGTGTGTGTGTGTGTGTGTGTGTGTGTGTGTGTGTGCGGTGCTTCCATGAAGGCAAACCTCCACGTGCGTAGCTCGATAGGGGGATACTTGCAGGTTACCGTCTATGAAAAAACAAACATATTACAGATGTGTGTGTGGGGGCCTTCCCCTGAGGTTTTATTCTCTGGGTGTCGGGTTTAAGCGGATGTAATACTCCTCGGTTACAGCCTGAGAACAACCTGTTGACTGTAGCGAGGAAACGTCCATTCAGGAAAGGAGAAACCTGTGCGAAGTAAAAGAGGCCGTCGAAAGTGTAATGACATGGAATGAGCCAACGTTATTACAAGTGTCCTTAAGCTCCTCTGAACGCTCTCTCCTCCTCTTTTACTGTTTGCAAGTTTTGCAAAGTCCTTTTAATTCGGCTGGCCGTGCACAGGGATCGGTTTCCAGGCGGTTACAACATGGACACAAATAGAAAACAGAGTGCGAGGGCGAGAGAGGACAACAGGTTAGAGGTAAAAAAACAGAGGGCACAACAACCCGGAGGTGGTGTTTTAATGTATGAAGACCAGTTGACAGAAGCACAAGAAGAGGAAGTACAAGTACAACAAATCTTACAGGGGTCAGAAGAGATTCAACAGTCAATAGAAATGTGCTTAAAGCTTTCTTTAAACATGACACTGGTAGTTGTAGGAGGCTGCAATCGGATGTCTCATTAATAGACAATACATTTGTTTCTTTCGAGCAATGCGGCTGGAGATCATTTCGGAGAATTCTCACTTGAGATCTCGCAAAAAAACACTGAGCATTGTTTATTCACAGTCCAGTTTCTCTCCCACAGGGTGTTCGGCACCAGGCCCTGGTCTTGTCTGCGTCGGCTTGTTGTTGGGTGAGGGTGCACCGTGCAGCTCCCCGCCATGTGGTGGCATTTGAGCAGCGAGCGCACTCTCCTAGAATAGATTCTGTATCAGCACATCGCATCACTGGCCCGTCACCTCCTGGCACAAATCATCTGCCTCCAAAACCAGTGTTTTAGCGCGTGCGCCGGTGGGGGCTCGCTTCACACCCACACTATGCGGCCGTTGAGCCGAGGCATCAAGACGTGGCGTGTTTATTTCTTCCCGTTGGTCTCGTTAGCCCGGCCTTGGTCGCCCACAGGAACCAGTCAAATCTTGAGAAACGGCATCCGCGGCTGCTGAAGGGCGCACACGGGGGGAACGTCTGCACGTCCTACATGCAACGAGCCACAGTGACACAGACTACTTTGCATAGAACCACACGGAGCTTTTTTTCTGCTGAGTATAAAAAAAACGTTGAATGTCGACGAGCTGTGTGCAGTCGAGATAACAGAAAAAGAAGAACAAGAGGAGCCGATGCATTAGGAAGATTAGCACGCTCTTGTTGCAGTTGTTTGAGCGTGGGAGATTTAAGGGGAATTAATGACGAGCGGGCAGAAAAAAACCCAACCCAAAAACGTTTGATGTTTGAGATTGTTCACGTCTATTCGTGTCGGATGGAAAGAGGAGGGAAGTTCATTTGACTTTCAAGTGAAAGACTTTTTCTAGACAAAACAATATTCCAATATTAGTATCGGTTTAATTGTTCTAACTTCGCAATTTTATCGTCGCAAGTTATCTCGTTACCACATGCTCGTCACCTATATTTGTCGTTCGGCCGCAGCTAAAAAAGGCCCCTTTGCAGCTCAACAAATAATCGTACCCTGCACACAACAAAAACGCCGCTTATGAGTAGAGACCCAAACAGCGCTCAAAGGGGAGCCAAAACAGGACCTGCTAAGGTTGTTCCAAACCGCTGATTATATCTTAAAAAGATTACATTACTAATAGTAATATGTCGGTGTTTCATATGACGACTTATAAAGGTGGAGTTCATATTTCCTCCGAGTTGTACTTGTATATAGTCTCATAAAATAGCTACTACAGTTATTTGCTAAGTGCCCTGAGATTGTCCTTTTCGATGCATTTCCTGTCGTAATGCAGTATTAGTTTGCAGGTTTTAATGGACTTTAACCTGACTGCTGATCAAGTGACCCCCCGTGTTGTAGGAACGCTGTGCCGAGGAAAGTTGAGCTACAGTTTGAATGTCATCGGCGGGGATTGGCTTCACCCCAGAAGTGACAGCAGTAACTTTTTACTTTATGGATTTGTCCTTTCGCATCAGCTCTGATCGGACAGAACGATGCAGCTATTTTGTGTATGTTCCCGACAAAATAATTCACACGGAAGTGTGCATTTTTTAGGAAATCTATAGATCTGGCGAGTAATGAAAATATATCAACAGCATGCAGCATACACTGCGGGCAAGGTGACGTGTTCAAAGAACTTATTATCTTACTACCGGCAGATGCCTCAACACTGTGCAACACCTCAGTCGCAGCTCTGCGCTTTGTTGCAGCGGTTCAGGATGTGAGCTAAAAGAGGCCTCTACACCGAAAATGTTTACAGGTGTCTTTTGTTTTTATTACTTTAAAGCTTGCTCCTCAAACCTGAATGCTTCTCCTAAAAGTGCAAATGCTAGTTAGCTGGAGGAGTTTAAACTTACGTGTGAATGAGATGTGACGGATGCAGCGGTGTGTGTGTGTGTGTGTGTGTGTGTGTGTGTGTGTGTGTGCCATTTAATCAAATACGGAACAGGAAGCTGCTGGTGTGTCTGCGCTGTGGTTTCTTAGTGTGTTCATCTTTGTGCGTGCCCCTTTTCACAGTAGTGTGTCGCATAAGCAAAGGTTATCTTCTCACACACGACCACAGATTAGTAATTCTGCTCATCAGCAGGGAACGGTGGATGAAAACCTGTAGAGAGCAATATGTATCACTTCCTTTCATAGCAGATAGCTTTCTTCATTGTTTGGTGGACTTGCACCGAGGTTGTGAGTGATGTTCGTGCCTCTGAGGCTCTGTGGTCGGGAGCTGAGGTAGAGATGATACGTACGTCGGTTCAGCCTCGCTCTCATGCCGCTCATCGTGCGCTGACTGACTCGTGTTTCTTCTGCTTCTTGTCTCTGTCTCTCTGGCGCTCAGTTCTCCAGCTGAAGCTGCAGCAGAGGAGGTCGAGGGAAGAGTTGGTCAACCAGGGGATCATGCCACGTGAGTACATGAAGCGCTCTACAGAACAAACAGTCGTTTTGGCCATTTTCCATTTTTATTTGTTCACCACGTCGGCCTTTTATGATCATTTAATCATCAACTTTTTTTTTTTTTTTTTTTTATTGTCCAAAATGACAATACGTTGCAGCCCTTTAACATTTCATATTACAGCTATCAGCTGAGGGATCTGTATCTGTATCATAAAGATGATTGTGTTTCACTGCGCGTGAGAATCGGCCGTGTCTCCAGCCTCTGCACACACAGCAGATGACTGAAGTGATTTGGATTGTGGTCAGGACGATGGCAGCAACAGCAGTTTCATTCTTTAAAAAAAAAAAGGTGAATCAAGGTCGTACTTCAAGCGCCATCAAGAACATCTGTTTGCCGCTCTCTGTCTGATGGAGAGATTTCCGCTTACACCAGCAATCTCTAACCGTCTGGTTGCTTTGGACTATTACTGCTTATTAGATTCTTTTCTTTGACATCCATTCAACCGAAATTGCTGCTTCAGTGGTAAGAATGCCGTCATTATCATCAAATACCCCGATATATATTCATTCCAATGATAACAGTTATCAGGAACATACATTTTGAGCATAACCAAAGGGGCCTGCTAGTTTTTAATCCCTTTTAGTTTCAAGCACACCAGCGCAGCCTTTTTTTGAAAATATAAAAATCATCTACCGATGATATCTAGTTCATGTCACGTAGCCTCGTGCGTTCTGTCAAAGGAAGTGTGTAGCGCTCTGCTTGTATTTCCCATTCATGTGCATCCACCGGGCTGCTGCAGTCGACAAACAAACACACACACTAATTCCTTTTCACTATATGAGCCAACAGCACATTAAGTAGTTGTTATCTTTGTGGACAGACAGCATTAATAATGAGCTCAGGCCTCATCTGGTGGAGAGCTGCTCTAAAATAGAGAGATGCCGTGAACAATGAGGGAACGCGCGGCGCTGTCGAGTGGGACGCGCGTCTGTGAGCAGCGAGCATGGGTGGGTGTGAGAGACAGAGCGGGGGACACACTGTGAGAGGAGCAGACAGCCCTTGTCCGTCTTCACTCGTGTTTCACTTTGTAGAAACCGACGGGGACGCGGATCCAAAATGTTTTCTTCACGTGGTTCTCGTCTAATTAGCCTCCCTGTTCCCTAACCGAGGGCTTATTGCTTGACGAGGTGCTTGAATTGTCTCCTGTCACGTCCAGGGGCGTTACAGCATGTCCCAGCATGCCCTGCAGAGGTTCGCATGTTGTCGCTTGTTGTGTCGTCGGTGACCACAGGCTGGAATGTTTAGCAACGGTCGCAGTTTTTTATCCGACGACAACAGGCGACCCTCTCGTGACCTTTATCGTCATTGTCCCTGTAGTCTCTCATGGAGACAGAAGGCAGTTAGAAGACATTTTTATAATTACTTTGGGGATTTTGTAATTCTGTAATTCTCATGTGGTGACATGAGGCGGGCACAGGTTGCCACGGTTACCCGAATCGACGATAACAAGGGCGCTCTCAAGGAGTGATAATTGCAGTTCAGCGTGTCAAAAAAGACACATGCTACTGTTAACACGCGAGGATGCTGAACGGTGAGTGTGTGGTGCTGCGTTCACACCATAAGAGTCTTAGACTGTGAGTCATTTTTCTATGCAGGCTGGTGACGTGAAGCTGATCATAACACTTTGTCTCCTTCTTTGTTAAAGGAAACAAAGAGATTTAGATTGGATTTCTATTTTCGTCAATAATATTGCATAATGATATAGTTGGTATGCATCATCTCACCCATGGCGTGGAAAAAGAAGACGTTGACGTGCGGATTTATTCATAGTTTCTTTGGTATTGAAGTCAACTCGTTTTTGTTTTTTGTTTTTTTGCTCTTGATCGATGGTCTCATAAATAACCAATCTCAACGATGAAGGTCATCCTGTGTGCACCCTCTGTCCTCCAGAATGACTCTCGCCGTGCCCCCATTCTGCCTTTCACAATCCCGGTAATGAATAATGTTTGAGGTGTCTGCTTCGTGTAGAGAACTTATTTTCCTTCTATCAGTCGCAGTGTGTGGTACGTGTTCATTTGGCGCTATAACAAGCCGACAGAGTGAAACCCTGTCTAGCACCTTATTTATACACTTCTCAGTGTGTGAAAATGTTTCTTAGCTAAAGCTTTTTTTTTCAAAATATATGTTCACAAGAGCGATAACGAGAGCAGGTGACTGGATTTGCTCTTTCTGATGGAGGAAAGTCACATCCGCGGTCTGTATTTTCACTGGCATCAACAAACTTGACAAGTTTGTGGCTTTTCATGAAATATACACCATGTCACACAGTCGGTGAACGCATGAGGAAAAGCTGGTTGGCAGCGAACTGAACATGAAGAAAGTGCTCGCTGTGCTCGGAGTGTAAAGACCGGGGATGCTGGGTAGTTTGAGCGGGGCGGGAGGAGGCCACGTTGGGGCCACTCATGCTCATAATGGGGCATTTTCTCTCTGACCTCACCCCTCCACTCGCTATCTCCTCCTCTCCTCATTTGCCCTTTGGTCTTTTATTCCATTTTTTTCTTCTTCCAGCTGCCTCTCTTCATTTATCTCCCCTCCCCGTCTTCCCCGCATACGTTTTTCTTTCTGACGCTGCGTCTCCTCCCTATACGTTTCCATCGCTTTCGTCCGCCCGAGGGCTCATTTCGTGCCCGTCCACCCCTCGTTCCCTCCATCCCACCCCTCATTTTTCCCCGTGTAGCGGACTGACAGGCTCCACCCCCCCCCTGTTGGTGAGTGAGAGGTCTCGGTGGGTCGATGTCCGGAGGGGGCGCAGTGAGTGTGTACCAGCTGTTTGACAATGCTCAGCGACGTGAACTCAGGCGTGAGCAGGTACCAGCAGTCTCGCCCAGGGCCGCTAATTTAGTCACACTGCCCGTGTGTGTGTGTGTGTGTGTGTGTGTGTGTGTGTGTGAGAGTGTGCGTACAGTGCTGTGGGAAAGTAAGGGGACAGCGACACATTCGGCTCGAAATCAACTAACCAAGCCAAGATTTGAGGATATGAAGATAACGACAACAACAATCACTTTGATAAATAGCTTTTGTTTTGTGTAAACATGCAGCCCAAGCTCATTCTGCAGTACATCATTTCACACCAACAACCCCAATATCGTCCTTATTCAACATTATCAGCCTCCATTCACCAGGAATAACAAGTGAAACTCTGCATTTGCCTTTAAGCAGATCAAATCTGCAATAGTGTCAATAAAATGCATGTTTCTAAAAGGGACTCCAGCCATTGAACTTAAAAGTTGTGTATTTTTCTTCCCAATAACCCGCTTGGATGATTATTGTTACACGCGAAATAACATCATTTAACAGTCGGAGGTTTCGATTCTTGTTTCAGAAGCAAAATCATAAAGCCTGTACTGTTATGCTGCATTTAACTCCACATTTTGGTGTCATCACCACCCTTTAGGCTTTCCGTCACTAATCCCTGGGTTTTTGCATAATCATTGGCCTGCAGCGAGTCATTTGGGAACGCTGAACAGATTCCATGAGTTTCAGTGCTTTGAAGAAACGGCATCCTGAGGGTCTGTCCCTTTACACCTGTCAGCGGACCACTGGCCAGGCTTTCGTGTGAATATGTGAATCTGTGCAGCAACAGCGGCCATTCCCCACGCTGGCATGGCACTCACAATGTGGTCGAAACCGCTTTGGGCGTAGAAGCAATATCCCTCCCTCACCATCAGCTAACCTATTCAAACTGAACTGCAGCTGAACTGAAGAAGCGGGGAGAGCCGTTGAAAAGCCATTTTTTTGCCTCCCTAATCCCCCCATCTCTCTTTCCTCTCTCTGCTTTCGCTGGGATCTCACTCTTTATTCTTCAAGCGCTGAAAAGTTCCGCTGCCTTCCACGAGCAGAGACGCAGCTTGGAACGAGCTCGGGTGAGTGCGGCACCCTGGAGTTGATCAGTGGCCCCCAAAGGGAACCGCCTGACGCAGTGTGCTGGGAAAGCGTGGAAAGCGTCTCTGGAGTAGCTAAAAAATAGAAAAATAGAAATTTATTAGTGTGCATATTTACAAATGTGGATAAATATATGTACATATATATGTTTATATGTATAAATATATGTATACATAGTGTACATACAGTATATAGCAAGTTATGGATGATTGTAAAAGAGGAAATCTGGGTTTGAAATATGAAATATATGGGAACATTATAATTAGGTAGTACAAACCCAAAAGTTAGCGGTTGTCAGATTATTTTGACTGTGTTTTTCTTCAGACTGAGGACTATCTGAAGAGGAAGATCAGGGCTCGACCAAAGCGATCGGAACTGATCAGGATGCACATCCTGGAGGGTAAGCGCCGCATTCATTCTCCTGTCTGTGACTCCAAAGGCTCCCAACACGACGGCTAAACAAACCATTGCTCCGTCACTGCGCACTTCCAGAGACGTCAGCGGAGCCCTCTCTTCAGGCCACGCAGCTGCAGCTGAAGAGAGCTCGCATTGCCGATGATCTGAACGACAAGATCTCCCACAGGCCGGGCCCCATGGAGCTGATCCACAAAAACATCCTACCTGTTCACTCGAGCATGAAGCGGGTCATCATAGGTGAGCCGGGTCAGGGGTCTAGTACCTCGTGTTTATCAGTAGGACTGGAGGCTGGTTTCAGAATGGTGGTTTGTCATGTTAAAACGCTATGAGCCTTGATATGACTGTGGCTTCACGTTTCCTCTGCCCCCTAGAGGCCATGAAATACACTCAACACACTTTTAGGAAAAATAGGCCCTGCATGTGTGTGGATAAGCGAGGTGGAATTTAAATGTGAAAGTGTAATACATCAACACACCCACACTCCTCACAGGATTTTCCTCCTGGCCGCCCCCCCTTCCAGCTATTGTTCATATAGCGGTTCTACCTCGGTCGCGCCGACACACACACACACACACACACACACACACACACACACACACACACACACACACACACACACACACACACACACACACACACACACACACACACACACACACACAGACACACGAAACAGATGCCTTGTGATACACACTTGAAATGTAGACAACCAGAGTCGCCATGCTTCAAACAGCCACAGATGTCAAAGCAGGACAGCGTAAATGATGATTGCCATGGCGTCCCTGCTTGACAGACAGGCAAAGAAGACTCTTCCCGCTCTGCTGTCAGCTTCTAAGTGGCCATTACCTGTTCATAATAACTCATTCTCTTTTATTAGGAAGATTACAAACTAATTGAAGAGTTAGGACGCTAAATGCATGTAATTCTAATCAGTTGATATTTGGGGCAAATTGAGAGATGTAATGACTCCAATTTCACTCTTTACCTTAGTCACAGGCAAAATAAAAGAAGCACAGGAGCCGTACCATCACACTTTTATCGTATATCTTCAGTCCAGCGGCGTCAAACTTTGCGAATGATGAGATCAGAGTCAGAGGGTTCAGCTGCTTGATTGATTTGTGGAGGAAAGAACCCTGAGATTCAATAACGTCCAGCGTCGGGGATTATCCATCGCTGTCACAGCCGCACAATAAACTCAATTGCCTTACCGGCAGTTATTTGGAGGCACGGGGAACACGAGAGTTACACGGGGTTAACATGCGAGGATACAAACATACAAGGCGTGATGCACACACACACACACACACACACACCGCAGCAGTAAGAAAGCCTTCACATTATTGGATCACAGGGTGTTAAATCAGCCCCATGTTGTCTTTTCATCATCACCTGCTGACTTTAGATTAATGACCAGCAGTGTATTTTATATCGCTGTCTGCTGGATCCCATAAGAGCTCTTGTAATTAAATAGAGCTCATACGCCAGCACAAGGAAAGTCCTAGTCCTGCAGATCTTAATTAGGATTATTCCTGCGCAATGCTCACTCTGGCTAATATGGAGACATCCGTCCTCTAATTACACGTATTTATAGACTGCTTATTTTTTTCCGGTGATTTATATGTTTCATATGATTCGTCTGCTTTTATTGTGAAAGAGAATATCATTAGAAGCACAGACGATTGGCATAAACCGCAGGAACCCTTACATAGTGTATTCATAGGATGAATTGCGCAACCGATCCTTTCAAAATTCTCAGCATAACATCGTTCACTCAGAGAGATGCCATCTTTCACATAAAAGCCGCTGTGATTGAAGTGGCCTGCTGTACTTGGCTGCAGAGTAGGTCAACCTAGACAAGGAAACTATCAAGGACAGAAGAAGCCAGTGAAGATATCATCTAAAAACTGACATTTATGGGTGTGATGTGCAGGCAGCACAAGCATTTAGGTTTTCTCTTCGGCAGCGGCAGCCATCACATGAATGCACTGGTTGACACTTCTGGAGCAGAAATCTGAGAAGAAATGTGTATTTTCCGTCAAATTGTTTAGGCCTCGACTCGCCCATTACTGCGAGTCGAGTCGCCCAATCAGTGATGTGTTTGCTGATGCTTGTACAGGGATGCTGGTTCTTATGACTTAAGGGATGCTAGCAGGCTGCCAGCTCAGTGGAACAGTGGAGTTAGCTTGAATTGTAGGCAGGAATCCACTCCCTCAACACTGATTTATAGGTAATAAAACCTGGCTGTCGTTGTCGGGATATTTGCCAAGACGGGGAAATTCATTCAGAAGGGGAAAAAAGCTTCCCGTTCCCTCCTTCTCTCCCTCTCAGAGACACGGTTTCCTAAAGCTTCGGGTGATACCTCGTCGTGTGATGAGGACAGCAATTACAGTTTGTCTCCAGAAGGGCCGGGGTACCTGGACTCTCCTCTTGGCCTGCTGCCTTCGCCGTCCCCAGCGGAGACGCTGGCATGCGGCAGCATCCCATCTCCCTCACAGGTGGGGTTCCTCCAGTGACTTACATGTTGAGTGTCATGAATGCAAGATAGTAATACGCATACGTATGATAGCAAACTCTCACGTAGCATGAAGCTTCACTATATATATATATATATATATCGGCCTGCCTGCTTTATTGGTGGAAGGCCATCAGGAGTTTAGCTCATTTCAAGTGTGTCTCCATCTTATCAATCAGGTGTCTCCTCCTGCTCCGGCTCTCGCACCAATCTCGTTCAATTTGACCGGTGGGACTGCAGCGTCGTCCGCCCAGAGGACGGGAGCGACTTCACAGATGAAGGTAGGTCACATCCGTCCACGAAGCCAGTGAAACAACAAATGTGCAAAAAGTGACCTTTTTAAAGCTTGTGTGTATACAAGGCTTGATGCTTTGATGATCTGGTTTAAAGCTGCTCCTATCCATATTTTATATCATCAGTGGATCAAATTAATGTGTGTAATTGGACACTTAGTAGTGATGAACAGAATACTCTCAATCATCCCGGTCACATTAGCACCACTGACCGTTGTTATTCCGCGTGTAGCTAATTTTTGGGGGGTTTACGGTTTTCCAGCAGCAGGAAACCACACAAAACTCACAAAATCTCACTTTATGCATTCTACTTAACACCAAATAGTAGACAGACACAGATATTTACAAGCTGGTGGAGATATGGGAGGATTTAGCAGCTAGAGAGCCACGATATTTCCCTCAGAAGTTGGTGGAGACCAAAACAGAACTACAGGCAAAATGCATACCAGACATTACATTGGTTGATGTTGTGGAATAGAGGTTTACCGTAGTCACTTGCAACCCCTCTCTTTTTCATTCCCAGCCTAAAACAAACTCTGACCGCTCCGCACCAAGACTGAAGAAACCTAAGGACAACAAGCCAAAGGTCGGTTCAAAGCTGGGAGGAAAACAATGAGTCGTTGGAGCAGCAACACATTGCCCGTTTCTTATACTGTTTATGTGTGGCCTTCTAGATTAAAAAGCTAAAGTACCATCAGTACATCCCCCCTGACCAGAAGGGAGATGTAGAACCTCCTCCCCATCTGGACTCTTCTTATGCCAAAATCCTCCATCAGCAGCAGCTCTTCCTGCAGCTCCAGATCCTCAGTCAGCAGCAGCAGCACTACAACTACCACGCCATCCTGCCTGCGCCCCCCAAGTAAGTGTGTGTGTGTGTGTGTGTGTGTGTGTGTGGATGGTCAAGCCTGGGGTGGGTTAGAGGGGGGGGGCTGGTATCTTGTGTAAAGACCCTCTCTTGCTCCCTCCAACAGAGCTCAGACAGATCAGCAGCCATCTTCCTCTTCTTCTTCCTCCTTCAATTCCACGACTTCCTCCTCCCCTCCTCGGGCTGGCGCTGCCTCGTCAAAAGTCCCCTCTTACCACGGCGGAAACATCTGCCAGAGTTCTGCTGCTCCACGTGGGACTAAGCCAGTGTCTCTACCTCCAAACCTGGATGAAATGAAGGTCAGCTGCACAGCAACACACAAATCCAAAAGCAAAAATCAGCTTATGATCCATATTTAGTGTCAAGCACAGTGTAGAGCAACAGCTGTCTGCAAGCTGTGAGTCAATAGATTAACTGCTGTTGACGTGTGTAACATTTAGTCCTAGATAGGTGGTCTGTCAACCCAGAGCCGACAAAGAAAGGGGGAGTGATGGATTAGGCTGCCTTATTGTTTGCTCTTTTTTCCTTTTCCTTAGATCCATTTGAGTTTAACTCTGACCGTTACCCTCCTGTCTTTTGCTTTTCCTCGCTCCTGTCCGTCGGTCTTAACTTCTCTGCTAATCCGTCTTCTGTCAGGTGGCGGAGTTGAAATCTGAGCTGAAGCTGCGCAGCTTGCCAGTCTCCGGCACCAAAAACGACCTCATCGAGAGGCTGAGGACCTACCAGGAGCTAAACGGGGGCAGCGACAGCACCTCCTCTCCAACAGCAGGGGGCACCACGGAGCCAGGGGCCGAGGGAGCAGCGAAGCCCTCCAGAAATGCTGCTGCAACCACCAACAACACGTCACAACCACAGCAACAGTTTCAGTGCCTTCAGACATCTTCTCCGACCGGTTCGTCACACAGAAAACATGCCTGTACTTTTAAAGAGGAAGGAGACCTTCTGCCTGATCATCTAGTCAGCCGTGTAGTCATATCTTACCCTCTGGGTTGCTGATGCAGGAAGCAGCGCAGCCGCTCCTCGGCAGCTCACGATGACCTGCGGCGGCACCACGTCCCCCCCGACAGCCTCGCTCACACTCTCCGAACGCTCGCCGGGCGCCACGAGCCCAGAAAGTACCGGCTTCAGCGGCGGCGCCTTGGAGGAAATGGTCAGAGTATTTCGTGGTTGTCGTGGTCGAAGGGTCGTGGGGGGGCATCACAACACACAAAGGGAGAGTGACTTCATTATCCACTACTCCACTATATCTATACATAAGAAATGCTTGTGCTATATTAAAGCGGAGTAAGTATTTGAATAGAAATAATTATACCGTCTCAAAATAGCTCTCTGGTTTATGACTAAATACCTTCAAAACAGATGACATTCCCGTCAGCATCCGCTGCACTAATGCTAATCCAGGGAGGTGAATACGCTGAACACTTTACTTGCTCATGTCAACGTTCTCAGTGTGAACGTGTTTACCAGGAGACAAACCTCAGCATGGCGGTCGTACGTTTAGCTGGTAGAGTTTGGGTTTTTCCTACAGTACGTTTACCTGTTTTCCTCTCTTTTCATCTAGATGAGTGCCCGACTCCCCCAGGCGATCCTCCAGCCATGTTCAGCTGCTCGCCTCACCACCAGCGTTAAGGAGGAGTCGAATGGTTCCGACCAAGCGCCATGTCAATTTTCTTCAAAGCAGGCCTCCCGGGAGAACCGCTGCCTGGTCTCATCAACGGCCGTCACTATGACAACCACAGCTCCGGTGGGGCCCGTGGACAAGGACAGGATGCTGCGAGAGAAAGACAAGCGGATAGCGGAGTTGACCCGGATGCTGAGGCAGAAACAGAGGCTGGTGGAGGTGCTGAGGATGCAGCTGGAGCACGGGAGCCGAGGACGACCAGAGCCGCTGGTTCTTGTGAGGGTTAAACACGAGCCTCCCGACAGACCCGGTGTCCCTCTGTCATTTGGCCAGCAGCCACTCGCCCCCGCGCCATCACCCGCTTCGTGTGAGATGGACGCCGACAAGGTCGCGGTCAAACAGGAAGCCGTTGAGGCAGAGGAAGACGCGTGTGAGACGGCGACGCAATTACCAGAAGTCCCTGGATCACTGCGGCCTTTGGCACAAACTCGCCTCCAAGTCCAGCCAGAGCAGACGAGCGCACAGACAAGCCAACGACACGTTCGCCTGCAGCAAACCTCTGTGCAGCTTTTACTGCAGCAGCAACGCAGCTTTCAGAACGAGCAGAAGGTCAACCAGAGCCCCAGTCACACCCAGGAAAACCTGCAGAAGCTTTCTCAGCAGAGGAAGAAGAAGTCTCACAAACAGCATCTCAAACAACTGCAGCTGCAGCAGCAGCCTCCGCACCTCCACCAGCAGTCACAGCAGCACAACCAGCTGAAGCAACAGATTGTGCTGAAGCAGCAGAAGTCGTTTTTACAGCAGCAGCAGCAGACGAAACAACTGCAGGAAATCCAGATCCAGACAAAGATCCAGCTGAAGCAACAACAAGTGCTAATACAGCAGAAACAGCAGGCGCAGCAGCAGGTCAGGAGGGGGTTTGATAATGAAATTTAAGCCACACAGAAGTGTTTTGCTGTTTAGCACGTGACCTCTTGATCCAGTCAGATTTCAGAATACATACACTTTTTGTAACGCCAAGAAAAAAAGTAAAAGTGTAAACAATCCCGGATTCTTTTTCTAAAAGTTTTCCTGGTTTTTCGACAGGTGACCCAAGCGTCCTTCAACCAGCAGTCAGACTCAGCACCTTCTTTCCCACTGGACCTCATCAAGAGCCACTCCACCCCGACTCTGGTCACCGACAGCAACGGCAACCACTTCCTGGTTGCACTGACCAGTCACCTCACCGACAACCAACGGACTGATGCGCCTGGGAGCAAAGCAGCCGATCAAAACGCACTGCAGGTACATGACTCTCTCTCTATTTGCAATTGATGTCTTCAGCCTCAGTTGCCTCAGTTTTTCTCACAATCTGCGTGCATGAAGTACGAACAGTACAATCACAGGTTGACTTCTTCTCAAATAAGAACGAAACAAAAACTAAGATTAACCTCATCATGGATCAGAGGTACATTGGGGGATGTTTGAATGCAATTATACGAAGACTAACCGCTCTGTTTCTCTTTTCCAATAGCAACCACGCTCTGTTCCCGCCAGGCTGCCTGACCACATCCCGTTTAATCAAACCAAACACAGTATGCACAAGGGACCTTTAACACAACAGGAGGCAACGGTGAGCTTTAAAGAAAGACATTGATGATCTGAAGTAGCTGAAGAGGCAATGTACCACAGGAAAGCATTCAAAAGACGTAAAATATATGTATATCATGGATTGGATTGTCAGATTTCAACACTAATATTGCAGTCAAAAATGATCAATCATAACATGATTGCGATATCTGTAGAATTTGACGAGCTGGCCATTAAAACATTCTGCCACCACTAATGGTCACTCACCAGCACGTGTGAGTCCTTATGGCATCTCTCTTACACATTTCATCATAATGCACGCACACTTTCCAGTCAGGGAAAACGGCGTGAAGATGAATATGAGCGTGTCTTGACACAAGTCCAATGCTGATTATTATTACTGGGCTAATTAGTCCAACGGCATCGTCTGTTACTATGATCCGTGTGTGTGTGTGTGTATGATGTAACAAAAACTCCAACTCATCTCGGCTGATTGAGATGTCCTGTATCTCAAGGCGAGTGCAGGTGTGCTGGAAAATGTCAACATTTGATGGCACACATCGCTGTTGTCAGCAGTCTTCCCCCATATTTGAAGCCTTTTCACCACTCCCTTAATAGAGCTTATGGATGATTCAATTTGGCAGCTGCACGGGTTAGTGAAAGTACTGCAGCCTCTGCGTTCTGCCTCCCTGTGAGGAGGACTTATCTTTCCACTCTTTGTGATGACTTGAAGCGTCAGAGCGGGGGACTTCCGGTGTCTCGGCCTCAGCGGGACGGTGCTCTGTGTTCATCAGCCCCTCCCTGTCTGCGGCCTTTCTTTGAGGACCACCAGGACGCCGTCCCCTCTTCGCCGTCCTCTCCAACTGTAGGTGATCTTCGGATGGTGACTCGTCTCATCCTGTCACATTGTAAAATGGGCCTGAAGCATCTCACCCCTCCTGCTCCCTCTTACCCTGTATGGCCCCCTCTTCATTTCCCTCTCCTCCAGGAGCTGTGTCCCAGTCTAGATGACTTGTTTAGTCCTCTGTCTGCAGCTTCCAGCGAGACGGCTGCCTCCTCGGCCGATGACAAGGTATGACACACTCATGGTGCCATCGTGCAAGAAATGAATGGAATGTTATTAATCTAAAACACGTGATTTGAAGACCTCGGGGCTGTTTATCAGATTTTGCTAACCTAGTTTAAACTACGTGAGCTGTGCTGCTCTGCGTTTCGGGCCCAATATGTCGCATCGCATCATTTCACGTCAAGTGCTGGAGTCACATAGTAATGTGGGGTTTGAACTTTACACACAGTTTTGAAGGGTAATGTGTTGTCCCCTCTGTGTGTTACCCCAGGATACAGAGCAGGAAGAGGATTTTATTGACATCATTTTGCAGACCGGAGGTAAGATCCAAAAACAATGTCTGTTTTTTGCATAATGACCTTTTTTTTTTTAAAGTTATCGGGTTGTCCGTGCATCCGTCAGGTTTATTACCGCAATAGGAATATCTAATAAATCTACCCGAATGATGATGAGGATGATGATGATGATGATGATGATGATTATGATATTATGGACCGTCATGGATGTGAACTGCATATTGACTGGACGGCGGAGGTGGTGACTCTGGTCTAATACTGTGTCTTTCCCTTCAGAAATGTCAACATCTTTCAACCCAACACCAGACCCTTCTCACGACCGTCCAAATCCACCATCCTCTTCCTCTTCTCCTCGCCCCTCCCCATTCCAGCGCATGCTATTCCCCCCAATTCCTTCTTTTTGTGACGCGCCACAGTCGGCTTCCTCGCTGGAGTCTGATCTCCAGACGGACACCGTGAGTGAGAAACAGCACCTCAGTAGGGCTGAGAGTGGACGTCTCGAGGACTTTCTCGAGAGCACCACCGGTAAGCCTCTTTTGGGGGTGGAGCCCGGGGGCTTGTTGACTTTGATTGATGACCTCCACAGTCAAATGCTGTGCACGCCCAGCATCCTGGACCATGTCTTGTCTCCCATGGATACCTTCGACCTCGCAACGGAGGCGGAGCCTGGGTTGGACGGTATGGACTGGTTGGACCTCACCATGGGAGGAGAGAGGGGAGAGGAAGCCTCCATTCTGGCCCCACTGGGCCCCCAAACACCCACTAGTGTCTTTTCCACAGACTTCCTGGACAGCTCCGACCTGCCGATACACTGGGACTCCTGCCTATAGCCGATAGGAGCAGTCCTTAAACAAACACGGCGCTCGGCTTCACTCGCTCACACTGTGACACGTGCACAAGGGAACATTCGTCTTGTCACACACTGCTGTCGTGAATCTTAAAGCACTTCAATTATTTATTTAATTTACGCACTGGTGTGCTGATTTGTGCGCAGACACTTGTTAGGCAGGTCCTATATCTGTTCCAGTTTGTGTCAACACATTAGCGGGACCGCTGTGCATCTTGGACCAGACTAATGATAAGACGCTCTTAACTGAGCCGTGAACCCGTCGCTCAGAAATAAATGAATCTCATTATTCTTAACACCATGATTTCGTGAATGCCAATCAGTTGGACCTTTATTTAATTAGGAGAAAAAATCGCCTTTGTCGCCTAATCAAGAGTTTACCATTAGAGGCAATAAATGAAGTTCTGAGGAAAGACGATAACTTTCTATCAACATGCGTTTATGAGTTTATAGGATTCACTTTGGTGCTATAATTTTAAAAGATGTGATTCTGGATCTCATGTTTTTTGATTCAAGCATTGTTAAAGTTGCCGCGTCCATGTTTTAAAAATAATGTTGTGCAGGTTACTGCATTTGATGCGTTACTACAATTTGCTTCATATTTACTATTATTGACCCACAGCTTACATACGTACAGCAGGCTGCTGTGAAACCATTCGTTCATATTGACAACAGCGAAAGTTAAATTCAACATGAGGCACTTGTAGGTAAAAAGAGTAGTGTTTCTGAGCACGACCGCACTGATCGCCTCGTGACGTAAAAACCTTCCCTGCTCCCTTTAAAAAAACACTTTGTATTTTACCGCAGTGTGTGGTGTGCCAGGCTCTGCCCTGGTTCTGGTTCTCCCGTCCCTCTCCTCCCTCCTGCGGGGCCAAGCGATTTGGCTCGGGGCTCCGGCAGCGCGGCGCGTGTGCCGACTCAGGGGAAGCGGCTGGTGAGCTCCAGGCCCGGCTGCCGCAATCAAACCCTGCAGTTTCCTCATATCGCCCCCCCCGCCCCACCCCCCTCGCAGTAGAACTTCCCGCCAAGGTCGATATACAGGTCACAAGGTGAACGACACTCACAACCCACAACTTTGTCATTGGCTGATCCCATCTGGACCAGCAGGGAGCGGCGGAGCGTCGGGGGCAAACTCCGTTGGCGGAGCAGCTGCCGCCGGGTTGCGCGGCGTCACGTGACGACCAGGCTGGCAACAGAATCCAATCCCATTCGCTGCGTTGTGGACCAAGCTGCCGCTGCAACGGGAGAGCCTGGCAATTCCGAAGGTTCCAGTAACGCTGACCTCACGACAGCCAATCAGGTTGCAGCAAAGGCCACTGCAGCCACTAAATGCTAAAACAAGACTAATGACAATTGCGGTCAAGTATCAGGTAAAGAAACTATAACTTTTTCAGTCAATGGTTTTCGCTCAGCTGCGTTCAGAGCCGGAGTAACGTCATGTCACGTTTGCGTACAAGCGGTGTGTTGAGTAACACCTTTTTGTGGTAACTTTGGACACGTTTGTCTCGGTAGCTGCCGTCGTGTTTCTTTCCCTTTCAATTTGCACTTTTTTCTTTTTTTTTTTGCATGTTTACACGCACACTATTAAAGGAAAGGAGAAGTCCTGGAGTTTAATAAATTGTCCGCAAAGGCCTTATTCATAATGATTTTAAAGTTATTTAGTTGTTGCTCTCAGTGATGATATGTGACAATCCTGTACTGTATCAGTGCCAATATGGGCCTATTTACGTCCTTTTTCTCTTTGAGATATTAGAATGCTCTAATACACAAGTTTAGACACTTAAACTGTTATGAGATGCATTTATTTTGTCTTTATAAAATTCTCTTGCTCTCTGAGGAACACTCTGTTAATACAGCGTTGTGTTTACTGTGACAAATGTCTGTATTGTGAATCCCAAACCTTGGGGAAATACTGCAAAAAGTAACACAAGTTCATTTTGGATTCACTACATCTTTTGAATTAATCATTTTACCCGTCTTTATTCACCAGATACAAACTACCCCATGCTTTAGGTTTTGCTGATTGTCTTTTCAATCGAGCTGGTTAAAGAATAGTCCTGTCTTTAAACAAAACTCAGGTGACTCATTTTTGTCGTTGTTGTTGATCCGTCCCCCTCCTCAAACACGGCATTCATAATGCGCTTTGAAACTGTGAACCTGCGCCTAATAAATTCTTGGGCCGTTGCGCAACAACACTCTTATGAGTTATGTGGTACGAATGCAACAACAAATGATGTATTGTTAAGATTGTTATAATATTCAAAATGTTTAGTGCACTATCCAGTATGGAGTTGGGTATCGTTAGCCAAACCTCTGCTAAATACCAGATGTAATTATGTGCGTGATTCACGCATCTCTTATGTGGGATTCTGTTCTTTTGAAGGAATGTAAAGTGCCTTGCATGATGTAGCAAATCCAACTCACTCCAACTTATGTGGTCTTTCAAATAAGAATAAAGTCTATTCACAGCTGTATCTCTCCATGGAAATTATTCTGACCTTTTGGGCAAATTGTTTAAGCTTTTTCTTTTAATTAAGTAATTTTTCCTTAAAAAAAAGTGGATTTGTGAATAAAAGAAAATTAAGTCTAGTGTGATAACATTATTCATTTATAAGCAGTACAAGATAATTGAGGGGGAGGTGGGGGGGGGGGGGGGGTTGCCACCCCTCTTGGTAACCTCCCCATCTTGCAGGGATAGTGACACACACACATCGCTGCAGGAAAGACTGACTTGTAAAAGTTGGCTATTCCTCACTTCTAACCTTCCCTCTTTTCTGCAACTTCCCTTTTTTCATTCTTCAAGCTTTTCCAGCAGATGCAAGTGAAGTGAATCCAAAAAAAATCTGAAAAACAAAGTGCTGACTCCTGCAGACATTTGTACAAATTTTTTACTTTGATTCTAAAATGAAAATAATTGCAAACTTGGCCCGTCAACGCACTTTACTATGGAAGGATTCCACGCACGCACAAATTCATCAACGCACACAACCACAGACCCTATATGTTGGACTGGGCTTAGAGGAGGTTTTGCCTTGGGCAGCATGAAGTCACTGCAGATGCTTTGATGCGTCTCAGAACAGCAGTGGGGGGTCTGCTCATTATGTGGAAGTTTGTTAGTATTTGCAATGTATTTACAATTTCTGCAGCAGAAAAGCAAAGGTGGGAACCGACCCGTCCAAGAAGATTCGGCTTTCCGTGGGTTTGAAATGAGCTCCTTGTGAAACAAAACGGTTGATCACTTCTCAACGCCAACTGCAGTCTTGCTTCTCAAAATCAGAAATTGCATCAATAAACACCGTTTGTAGTTGGGGGAAAGCCACAGCCATAGTTTAAAAGAGGACAACCTCACCTACGACCTCTTCGGGCTTTGGGCCTTTAAACAATGTCTCCCAACTTCCTCATTTTCCTCCCGGCGAACAACAGTCGTGGTCCCCATATGTGCTTCAGGGGTTTGGACGTATCGCACACGGTTCTGGGGAATTTGCTTAAAGGAAGCTCTTGTTTTTCACGTCTCGTTGGGATTGTTTCTGAACCAGTGACCAAAACAACCGAGCCCACATGAAATCTACATTTTCCATGTTTGGTGATGACTAAGCCGACCCAAACTACTGATGTGAAAGCCCCCACGGTCTCACGCCCGGAACGATGTGAAACTGAACGTGTGGCTGCTCTTGTTCTAGATTAGATGTGACAGTCCCTTAAAAGCTCAGGTTATTCCAGACCAAACGGCACGACATCTCCACGGTGCATTAGGAAGCCAATTTAATTTGCTAATGGCAAACGGGGTGAAGACTCATCTGCCTGCAGAAGCAGCTTCCTTTCACACACAGTACATCATGTATTCTTGGAAATTCTTCTCAAGGTCAAAGCCGTCTCTCTGCAGACGGCAGATAATCCGCGGCGCTCTAATGGAAACCTGCTGCGATGACATGTTCATCCCGACACACGGAGACGCACAGCAGAGAGGCGAGCTCGAGCTGCGCGTCGGACGGAAATGCTGACAGCGGCTGTCAGATACACACGTGAATGAATAAAACATGGCTGAAAGCCACACACACACACACACACACACACGCATACAGACAAACTGCAAGGATCGTGTTGCTTTAGTTATTTTAGATACTAAGAGTCTGATTTACAAAATGCCAGTGTTTTACAATGAGGGAACACTGCAGTGTGAATAGCTCATTCATTGGATTTTAATGAATGTGTGTTATGTGTGTTATTGAATGGCCTCCTCAGTATCACCTCTGGTTCTCCTGAGCCGCACCGATACGATCACAGAATGCAGAATCACACCTGCATTGGGTCGATAAAAGGACATGCGTGAATAACTGCACACGTAAAATAAAACTGCAATTAATAAAAAAGAAATACAATTTATATTTCTGGCTGTGGACGTTCCCACATCCCTCATAGAAAATCAACGGATCCAAAGCTCCTCTAAGCTCTACAGAGTATTTTGGCATCTTCTCTTGTTGATTCACTTTCAACGATCTCACAGGAACATCTTTTTAGTGAAAATATTTTAACAACCCAACTGTGCATGACCAATGACCAGAATGAGCAAACAGCTGGTGGGTACGGCCAAACATCTGGAGTTGGTGGAGCCCCAAACAGAGCTAAAATGAGAGTGTATTTTAGCATAGCTTTGAGCATAGCTTCTTAGCTGAATCTTATCCTACATGTTGTTGTCCTGTGGTAAACAAACAAACAACTTTGGCAGTTTTAACTTTAGAATAAGAAACGTATCATTAAGTTGTGATATCTATCCATTTTTTTTATGTTTATTTAAAAGAACATTGTGAATCCTACCCTTTTGTTTGGCATAAAGGACACTTGCTTTAATAACATCAATAGGTGTATATATTTGCTAGCAGAGCCGATACAACAAACATATAGATCTTCTTATGGGCGGGGGGGGGCTGTGAAAGCACATCAGATATAAAAACAATAAAAACCCATCTTAACCCACTTCTGCAAAATGGTGGAACTGACTGATGAGGAAGATGGAGGAAAGCTGACATCAAGTCAATTCAACACACAAAGGGAACAAAGAAAATGCAGCTTGGAGAAATGTAACAGCCAGAGATAAGTGAGTAAGAAGAGGGGACGGGGGACGAGAGGGGGAGGGCGTGTGACGAGTGTTTGTGCGTGTGTGTGCAGGATCGAGTCAGATCCACCTCGACCACAGTGGGGTGTTTGAAGGCGAGGAAGTGTACGAGCAGGAGAAAGGGGGAGAAGTGAGGGAGGTGAGGTGAGGAGAACCGGAGAACGGAAATAGCTGCAGCCCATTATCCTCACCCCTTCCTGTCTGACTGTCACACCTCCTCTTACTGCGCTCACGCTGCTGATGCAGACGTTGTTTTAGTGAGCTGTGTTCATGTACAGACCCCCACGCCCACCAACCCCCCCTCTACGCCGTGTAGTTTCAGCAGGTTGAGATGTTTCAGTGGCTGTAATTCACTTTGTGTGCGCGCGATGGTCGTGTGCGTGTGGAGATTATACCTCTCCTGTTAACCACCTGGAGAGAGGCAGCCTGCTGAGAGAAGCTTACAGAGAATTTAATCTCTCTCCTTAATGTGACAGCAGCATTTTCTGTGAAACTACCATCATTACTAAACTGTTGAGCCTTGGTGTGTGTGTGTGCGACATCCCATGTACACACACACACACACACACACACGCACACAGACGCCCCTTGAAGGCAGACATTTTGCAGGCGGATCCAGTAACTGTGACTTCATGTGTCGTCTTAAGCGCACTGCGAGCAGCCGATGTAGGTCAGGCGTATTGCAAACCGAGTCTCTGACTTATGCCTGAAACCAAATGCTACCATGGGGATTATATCGAGGCACAGACGAGCCACCCACCCACACACACACACACACACACACACACACACACACGTGCACCCCGTTACCCGGAAAAATGAAGGCTCTTTTGAGTCGAGATCAGCCGAGTTGTTAGGACAGCACTGACCTTCACGCACTCGACACAGCACACATGAACTGACCACAACCGCAGGTACGAAGACGGAACACACGTCAACATCAGGGGCACTCGGGTCTTTTATGCCTCCCCCCTTAACCCGCGTGTTTGATAATCACTCCCCTCCGATGTCTCCTCGTCCTCTCCGTCAATCCCTCTCTCTCTCTCTCTCGCTCCGTCTCAACGTGTAAACTGCAGAGGCAGCATCATATGGCCCATGACAGCTTCCATGCTTTCTCTCTCTGCTCAACAAAACGGATGGTCTCCAGCCAGAGAGAGAGAGAGAGACTCCCATCTGTTTGTGGTGATGTGGTTTTTCTAGTCAGGGTCCTCTGTCAGGTTCACATATGTAATGTCATGCGTCGGTGTGTCCATGTGCCTTTTGTTTTAGTCATTCTGTCTTTCGGCTGCAGACTCAGCGGCTTCAGTGTCTCCCTGTATTGAAATTCACTCTCACGTGCTGCAGTTATCCAGCTGTGACGCATGACCACGTCTTTTGTTTTATGTCGTGTATGGTCGCTTCCACGTTAACGCCGCCGCGGGCAATTGGGTTCCTAGAAATCTCATCTGGAAAGTTGTGCGACACAAGTAGTGCGAGATGTTGTTCAACCTCGCGTCGCTCATCGAACCCAGACAGACGAGCTCCAACAAGGGAGGCGGACGATGGTGGAATGAAGAGCGGCACTTTATCAGCTCACTGAGAGGCTGGTGAACGCTGACAGTGTCAAATTAGAACTTGTTATCCTGTTTGATCTCTTCTACGAGGATTGACCTTTTAACCCCCCAAAAAGTAAGGAAGTAAAACTTTGAAATTAAATAAAGTTCACTACTACATTTCAAACCCATCTCAGTCCTTTGACTGTGAGGCGACACTACTCACAAACCCCGCCGTGCCTCTCCTTAATAACGGAACAAACAAATATAGTGCTCAAGGTTTTTCTGTTTTTCTTAAATCTAATGTTCAGACAAATGCCGTGATGTGTGTAAACAATTAAATAATTATTAAATGACACCAAGTGTAAGATTTTGGCCTTTATATATTTAAAAATATGCATAATTAGACATTTTAAAGTAAAAAAGCCTTGATAATATGAAATGATAACATCTACAAATATCCTGAGTGGGAGACTGATCCTGAAACCTTGAATGAATAACTTCACAGTTTGCCTGTCTGGCTGCTGCAGCTCATCATTTATTAAAACATTACACAGAAAAGCTCCTTGACTATTACCACAATGAATAAATCAACACCACCGTAACTCTATTTTGGATAAAATAACAACTGACACAGTATAACACGCTAAAATAAATGATTGATAAGAGGGAATCAGTGGCAAGAGATTGGCGATACCGGCTGACACACACGGCAACATGTGATCAGGGGAATACGGCAGCACTGGTTACAAGTAAAAGCGATGCGTTCATTTACTTACTGGGATTCAGACGATTATTATTCATGAAAGAAGCCTCGGTTTGAGACTTT